CCTAACAGAATGTGGCAATGGTTCTTTTTAATGGCTCTCCCTTTCCATTCCTCCAGCTTCATTCTCTCGGCCCATTAGTGGGACATCTAATCCAATAAGCACTATCTGAGGGCGTGGGGGGATTTTAATCTTATAAATCCCCAAATCAGCACTGTTCCCCCACCGCCTGACTAGGAACAGCCAGTGCCCCTCTCTTATTCCTGAAGGAAACAGACACAATTCTCTCTTGACAATGTCCTTTTAATAAACATTTTAAAAAATGTTAGAAAGACATGAAACTATACCTGGCTAGGTGTGTAATCATTGGGGGCACTGCATCTGAATCTGAGACTTCCTTCCGTTCTAATGATGCAGTGGACATAACTGATGAATCGTACTCCAGAATTTCAAGCGGGCATAGAAAGTGCTGGCTTGTAAAGGAAAGGGGGTGAGCTTTGCAGAGGCCTCAGCACTTTCTGGAATACTACTTTCAGCTTCTTTGGATTGGATTGGACTGGCCATTAGCCATGCCTCTGATCCCAGTTCAAATCAGTATGATCACCTTCTGAATGAAGAACTGTACATGGAATGTCTGTATCTCTGTGGAAAATTGTAGGCTTGTTCTGCTTTCTTTTTTAAAAAAGAAAAGATTTCTTACCTAATACACTGTTTGAACAAAAGAACTGTGTGCTGTCTTCTTCTTCCGTTATTTTATTAGATTTATTTACCACCATTCACCATAAGATCTTAGGGCGGTTCGCAGACTAAAATACAGAATAAAAAACAGTAAATAAAACACATTATTATTATTATTATTATTATTATTATTATTATATTCCTGATTAGCATTCCCCATCTTTGGAATGTAATGGCAAGGTCAGGGTCACAAATCTTGAAACTCTGAGCAGAATCAACAATTGCATGTCCATCCATGTTGACTGACCCTTCTTTTACTGTGCTAGAATTTCAGCTAGCTTCAAGGTAACAGAGAGACATCATTTATTTATTTTTTGTTCTGGGTAGGTGGGGGGAACAGGACTGGAGTTGTTGGCTGCACATTATTTATCTCCCTGTTCCAGCCTAGCGAAGAAGGAGCAAACCCATTACATAGCAAATTGAAATTGCACTGATAACCAATGTGAACTGAGAAAGCGATTAGTAGTTCGTTACCCCATTGGGCTTAGGGATCATTTATCAAGCTCTCTGATGCTGCCTACCTTAGGTAACCCTTAGCAGAAAGTGCAAGAGGAGGACAAACAAAAACCTCTCATCAGGAAGTAGCAGGTATAAAAAGAGAGGAAGTAACAATGGATCCTTCAGTTTTAGTGCTGTCATGCAATGACCTGATAGTCATAAATGTTGGCTCAGTAATTGCATCAGTGGGATGTATGGGGTGTGAGGAGAGGAGTAGTAAAGCATAGGATTCCACAGGCCCTACTGATCAAATGACTGATGGTGCCTGCAAAAACCTCTTTCAGTCAAGGCCCATCTTTAGTCAGCCCACACCTGATGATGTCAGATACAGGGCAGGTGGATTAGTCTAAACAGCCTCACAGGCCAAATGTGGAAGCTTGGTGGCCCTAATTAAGCCCATGGGCTGAAGGTTCCCAACCATGGCTGTAAATTGCCCTCTGCAGTGATGTAAAACAACAGCAACACGGATATTTAGAGCTTCCACTCAAAAGACTTCGAGTTGTAACAGTGCTTGGTACTTCTTGAATGCTTTTCATTTTCTAAACAATTTCCAGGATATAGCCCACTGAAGGAAAATGAATCTTGATGAGTGGGATTGAAATTCTAGATAAACCATTCAGTTTTGGGATGGCCTTGAGCAAGAGAGGCCTTTTAGCTCAGATGGGGGGCAATAATAACATGTATTGTTATTGTGAGGATGAAAGGATGATAAACAGAGCAGCAAATATTCTTCCTATGCCTATGGAATAAGAAACAGATTCATTCCTGTTTAAATAGGTGAAAAATGCTAGACGCATAGGCTTAAACTGCCATTATTTTCCCACCTCTGTGAATTTACATTATGCAAATTTAGACTTGTGCATTTGCTGACGGATTCAAATTCTCAGCTTGAAAAAGTTTAATTTGATTTGGTTCAACTGAGAACTGTACAGGGTGTACAGCAGGGATGGGGGAACCTGTGGCTCTCCAGATGTGATTGGCTGCCCCATTGTTCAACAGCAAATAATGAAGAATTAAGAAATCTAGTGATGTGGTCCTGGGATACTGAGACAAGACAGTGTTTTCACACACATTTCCAAAGCTGTATACTGCACACTTTTACTATAACCTGGAAATATAAGCTTTGTTGGTGTTGCAGTTCTAAGAACTCTTAACAGGGGAACAGGCCTCACTAAACTCTGCAAGACTTTGAACCAAGTATAGGACTGCAGTGCTGCTCTGTCTAAATTCTTCTCTTAAATATATGGATAGCGCAGGTACTTTGTGCACAAAACACTGTTGGGTATATTGGTAGTTACTTTGTTGAGATCTGGACTGGAACTTGAATTAACCACATGGGCTCTGAAGCACAGTACAATGTTTTATTTAAAAAAAATCACGAGAATGGTTCCTTTTGCAAATTATGAAGTAGCAGCTATGATTGCATACTGCATAGTGTGTGGACAAAGGATTTCTAAATGCTAGCTCATCGGGAAGATCTGCTGTTTGTTACAAACATAAGAAGGGGGGGACCTTAGTTTTAGATAAGAGCTGCTTCCCTCTAATAATACCTCCCCTGAATGCACTCATGCACACTCCCATACCATAAGCTCTGCTATAGGGATGAGGTTCTACTGCAGCATTTTTGCTCTGTTCCCTTTGAAGCTAAACTCAGAGCGGAAAGATTTATATGGATCAATACAGGGAAAGAGTCTCCTGCACTCAGACAAAAACGAAGCAGGATAACAAGCCCCATCAGCGGAACAGGGCTGCTTAAGAAGCAAGACAACATATATTAATCATTGATTACTAGATAAATTAGCACTAGATGGGGGCTTATTAAGCCATGGTGAATGGAATAAGCCAGAGATGGGACACAGTTTTCATTTCAAGGGCCGCATTCCCTACTGGGCAACCTTCCAGGGGCCACATGCCAGTGCTGGGTGGGGTCAGAGGCAAAATTGAACAAATCAACAGGTGCAAATGTGATCTTTGCATGATGGCTGTCTCAAATGTCTACACACCCCAGCTTAATTGCAATGTGAATTTGTCTTAAGTTTTTCAATTGGATCAAAGCCGGTTTGGAAAATGCCTCAAACAGCAGTATTTCCCCAGAAACTGCAGCAGAGATCTGGAATGTGGCTGATGTTGTGTGCACAGTTTCAAAACCAAGGGGTATGAGCACAGGGGAAACATGGGGAAATGGCAGTGTGTATGCAGCCAAAGACCCTACCTTCCCTTTGCTAGTTCTAGGGTTTGTGTACAAGCACCTTGAATCAAAATATTAGTCTCCTGAGAAATCCTTATTCTGCTGGGAACATTAGCAAAATGAATCCAAAAACCAGTGGCTAGCAAGCCTCTAAGAAAGCCAGTTTTTCATGTAATACATCTTTTTTTGTGTAATATAATCTATTATTACTTAAACAGGATGGTGAATAAAACTATTGCAAAGGAAGAAAAATGCAATTGAGAACTTTTAGCTTGACAATTTGACCACTGAGAACTATGACTATACACACCTGTAATTAACATCAGGCTTGAACTTTTACCCTCCAGTTCTGATTCATGGGCCAGCAGGATGCCTGGACCACCACCTAGCCTGAGGGTAAGGTTAATAGGATTGGCCACAAAGTGAAAAAGCTTTCGAGGTTGCGACAAGCCATCAGACAAATCAGAAGACATGATTTGGTGAGCCTACACCAAGCTGAGTGGTCAGTGAATCACATCCCAGAGGTATGGTGGTGGCTGCTTTGTTTTGGTCAAAGGAATGAATGAATGAAAAAGAACTTCTGAAGCATTTCACTTTAGATGCTATGGGGAAGTTAGAAAAACTATGGTTTGCCACTAATGTAGCACTAAGTTATGCTTGTGCAACAGGACCCCCCCCCCTCCCTCCATACACTTTCTAAAACTGTTCTGGGTCCCCCCCCCCCCCCAACCTTCCAGAGCAGATTTGGCAAGAATGAAGGCGGGTGATGAAAGTTGAAACAGTTGAAGACCACCCCTGTGAAAGGAAACTATAGACTGTCTATTCCCAAAGACTCTTACCTTATTAATTATTTTCTATTAGCATTTATCAGTTGAACAAGGACACACTATTTTGGTCCTGAACACTAGTATACCTGGCCATTCCTCATGACTTGCTCTTGGGTTCACCATCAGCCTTTCTAATTTTGCTTCTGTCATCCAGGAGATCCAAAATGGAACAGTATGTTCATATCTGATGGAGAAAATGAGTTACTCCGTAGAGAATTGTCTCCATGTTGGGGGCAGCATGACTAGAAATAGCAAAACAATGGATAAGCACAAGAGAGAGTGCTCTAGAGCTGTGCTACCAACAACTGGGGATCACTGTATTAGCTGAAAAATTAACAAAGCAACCTCACACAGTTACTGGATATCAGAAACAGGCAACTTTATTGGAATATAGCATCTCTTTATAACATACATCACGTAGCAGGCATCTGGAGAGAAGAGGAAATTTTAGAACTGCCTAGGAGTGATTGTAGTTTAGTTCACCCTGTGCATTTTCCTCCTGTGTGCACAATGCCTTCTTGCTTAAGAATCACATTCAGAAACCTATAGAGAGGGGGAGAAAATCCTCAGAGCTGAGAATTTGACAGTACCAACGCGGAACTGTCTTATGGTCAAGACTTAGGCAAGAGGCATCACGAACTCCAACAAAGCTTTATTTGGAATGAGGGATTTTGAAGAAAACTTAAGAAGTGCTGTGATGACACTTTTAGTTTTGAATGTTTTATGTAGCTTTTCCCCAATAAGGTCCCTGTGAAGAATGCAACATCGGATATTTCTCACATTGTCACCCTGATCATGACACTGACTACTTCGCGTGTTATGTCAGGAAAGGAATTACATCCTTCCTATTAGAAGCATTGGTGGATACTCTGTGGAGAATAGCAGTGGAGTGCAGGGAGGACCTTGGGCAGGGGGAGGAGAAATGTCTATGCTCAATCAGGCTCCAGGGTTCTAGGGGAACCTGGACTACTTAATTTACTTTTCACATTGGTGCCAGTCAGTTTTTTTTTACTTCACCTAACTCAAAGTGCTGGTCCATGGACCAGAGCCTGTCTGCAAGCCATTGGCTGCTGGTCTCTGGTGACTCCACCACAGCCCAGATTGTGTGGGTTGTTTCAGGACCAAATATGGTACCAATCCATGGCACATTGCAGGGGGTGGTGAATTGCCAGTCCACCATAGTTTGAGAATCACTGACTTAAGATCATGCAAATTTTTTTTTTGAACAGCACGAATGAACTTTTTGGACTGCCTTTACTTATTTGGGGTCTGGCTGCCCATTAAATAAAACAAAGAAATGGATGCAAAGCTACCCTAGCATGAGGGGGAGAAAGAGAATTAGACGAGTAAAGGTGCGTGGGAGCGTCTGTGTCTGAGGGGCACCAATCGATGGGGCAAGAGAAGACTAGGGAGGTGCCCACGTGAGCGCAGACCTGGAATTGGGAGCAGCTGACTCTGCGAGGCTACTGTGGCAAAGGACTTGGGGAAAGCCAGAGAGAGAAAGGCGGGCCTTTCCCTTCAGCAGCGCTGTTGAGGCTGCTGTCATTGTATACCGATGGCCGCACCTGATCCGGAAGGGCGGGGTGAGCGCCTGGAGCCGAGCCCCCTGTCCCAGCGGAGGCTCGCCCAGCAAAGGGAGAGGAGCGGCGCGTCCTGCTGGAAGGGCGCTAAGACCCTGGATCTGACGCGGAGGAAGCGGCGGGGAGGGACTGCGCGATCTGCGGGAGCCGGTTTAAAGGTTGACGTTTGTGTGCCGAAGGAGCCGGGCGCATCCATCTGGCTGGTCCGCGCCTGAGCCGAGCGCGCTCGCCAGGGGGGCGCAGAGCGAGCGTCTTCTCCGCGGAGCGAAACGGGCGCCACGAGAACAGCCGCCTCTCCTTCGCCCATTAATGCCCTGGACCATGGACAGGCTCAGCGGTAAGCAGAACGCCCAGATGGCGGCTGCCTGTATCGATCCGGTCGCTTGGATCTGGAGTGGGGCTGGTATGCTGGGGGGCGTCTGATCGGATTGTCAAGGAACGGGACCCGCTTGCTCCGGATGGGGCGAACACTTGTTGTCACGTAATTGGGAAGCTGGCTAGGGCAGGGCTCTCGAGTGATCCCCTGGCGGGGCGAGATCTTCGGTTTATTTAGCCCTGTAGCGTCAGCTGCTCCTGATTGCCCTGTTCCTAGGGGAGATCTCCCCATGCAAAGAAGACCTGTTCTCTAGAAAGCCTCGCTCGACGGAGCGTGCCATATTAATTCATGCTATCCGTCGCGGCTCGCGCGCTGCTGATTTGTGCCTCGGTCGATATTCTGATCAGAAGATGAAGCGTGCCACGCCCACGCGTGCTCACATTCACGGCACGTTCCGCGTGGGGATGTACCATTGTGTGCTTCAACGTGGGGTGGGGCAGAGAGAGGTTAGAAATCAATAGGGCGGGGAACGTGATCGCACTTTTGTTTCCATGGAGTAGTATTTGGAAAGCTTAAACGTGGGTGGTCAAATGGGATTCTGGTCTATATATTTTAAAGTAATCGTGTGAGAATATTCGTGGGACAGCTTTAGATCTACGGTGAAAAACGCTTTTGCGTGAGATAGACGTTTAAAAAAGAAATAACAACACAAGCTAGATGTACGCGCCCCAAATGGTTAGTAAATGGCATTGTCTTAATGGGGCTTTGTGTAACCCTGGCGCTTGGAGGTGGGCCCGCGCGGTTGCCAAATTGCTCTGGAAGAATCTGCTTGGCTCCCTCCAGACTTCATTATTTCTTCACTGTTACTCCACCGATAGAGAGGATGACCTAAGACCTAATGTAAGAACGATCACGGCCAGGAGGGATTGTTTTGTTTACTCCCCATGTGCAAGACACCACCGTGAGCTGTTTAATTGTGAACTGTACACACACATCAGCATGCTTTCGGGCCCTATCCTGTGCGTGTCTCCTTGGAAGCAAATCCCACGAGTTCAGGGAGACTTACTCCCAAGTCAGCGTGCCCTGGGTTGCAGTCTTCTCTGTTATTAGGCAGTAGTCTGTTGAGAGAAGCCTCTTCTGTTCGATGTGGTGGAGAGAGAGAAAGCTGATGAATCACTTTAAACAGACTGTATCAGGACATATGTGCTTTTAAAATCGCTGTGCTGTTTTGGAGAGGCATTACTCACCTTACAGTGGCTTAGTGGATAAATTGCTGGACTAGGAACAAGTTGACACAGGTTCAAATACTTGGCCACGCAGCTCACTGGGTGACTCTGGGTCAGTCTCCCCTTCCTTCTCTCAGCCTAGCCTACCTCACAAGGTTGCTTGTGAGGATAAAATGGGAGGGGAACAGCCTTGCAAGCCACCCTGAGCTTCTAGGAGGAATTATCAAAGTAAAAATGGAATAAATAAAAAGTCAGCAAGTAACTGTTGGGCGCACAAGGGTCTTGTTGGAGATGAGCTTGGTTTTGGTAGCACCAAAAATCACAAGAATCCACTCTTAATCGATCTGTCTAGAGTTGACTCGAGCACGTGGTGGTCACCACACCATGTCAGTTGATGATGCACAAGACTTGACTTTTGACATGTGTCTCCCCACTTCAAGCTACTCTCTGAAGATTGGAGAAGAGACTCTCTTAAGAATATTAGGGGGGTGGGCAGGGGAAGGACTACACCATGTGAAAAATGAACAACATATTTTAGCTGCAGTTCATTTTCAGCTTTGTATTCTTGTTATAAAAAAAGTGCCTAGACATTCCGTTGCTGCACCCATAACCTAGGTTTAAGGTGCCATTTAGCTCCTAGCTTTCATATCTCAGTTTCTTACACTGGCCAGAGTCCCTCTCTCTTCTTCTCTGTCTCTGGGCTGGTTTTTCAATGCTACCTTTGTGGTAGCTGCATAAGGAATGGCATTTGAGCTGTTGGTGCTATGCAGAGAGGCACTTGTGTGAAGGCTGGTGTGGGCAGAACTCAGTCAGAGTTGACTTCTAGAGCATTGCTCTTGACTTGGAGTGGCTCTTGGAGGGCTCACGGTGTGGCTTTCTAGAAGTCTGTGCTCATGCCTCCCGTTAGCTTCCACCCAGTGAATACTGCAGCTGTGGCTACTGTCCTGAACGTGGCTGTGCAGATCTTCCCCTCTTGTGGCCCTTGCTCATTCCTTCACCTGCTTTCAGTACATGCAGGGAAATATAAGCAGAGGAACAAAGCAGGAAAGGACTCATGGCAGGAGACACAACACACTTACTCATGACAAAACTTATTTGCAGGTGCAATTGCTTTGCAAGCGCTAATATGTTGCGGCCTGGTTTCTCTTGGAAGAAAAACTAAAGGAGTCTTGCCTCTGTCCACTGTTAGCAGAATGAAGTGAATTATAACTTTTGCTTTGAAAACTTGGGGGGCAGGACAATAATGATGGTAATATGTTTTCTGTGCTGTGCCACAAGTGTGTTCATCTTGGCCCCTCTTTTGGAGAGCATCTGCAGCAATGCCTCTCTGCTTCTCACCTCTCTCTCTCACAATGAAGTGGGACACTCGTGTAGAGTGGAATCTTAACTGTTTGTATCTGGAAATGCTATGTATATCTCCTCTATATACAGCGAACACATTCCAGCAGCAGTCTGGGCAGCTGGGGCAGTCTCAGTAAGGTTTTTTTTGCTATGATTTGTGGCTATAAATAAACCCTCTTCTGCACTTGTCCACCATAGGCTTTTGCTGAGGGCTGCAATTTTTTTAGGGTGGAGAAGCCTCGCTAGACAGGAGGGAGAATGCCCGTACCATCCTGCCTGCAGGGCAGGGGGTGGCGCAGAATGGCTGGAGAAGCAGGAAGGAGAGTGAACTCCCCATTTCCAGATCTGCCCTACAAAAGAAGTGACAGTGTGATCTTGGGACCTGTGATGTTTTAAAGAGTAGTGGAAACTCATCAGCCCATTGCAGATCCTCTGAAGGTCAAGGGTTCTCCTTTTTCCTCCATGTAAAAGGATGGGTGATGCTTCCTCTATGGAAACGAAGTGATCTCCTCCCCTCTTGTAAGTGGTTGAGCATTCGGAGGCCAACCCATGCTCTGCTTGGGGCCTGCATCCTGTTACTCAGCCAGCTCTTGAGGCTGGGCAAAGGGCTTGGCACGGCTTCATTCTCGCATCCCTCCTGAAGCAGGAAGCATTTCTGCTGACTGTTGATAAGGGAATGCCTCTTGCAATGTTTTTCTTGGGAATTCTGACTGCCTTGCTTCCCCAGTGGGGGAACTGAAAGCCACTTCTGAAATATCATGAGCCAAGTCTGCAGATAATCATGTGCATACTTTGCTTAGAGGCAACGAACCTGATGTGCATATATTGTTCATTTTTTAATTTAAAAAAAGGTCTGCTGTCGAAGCACAGCTAAGACATGGTACACTTAGTGCCCTTGCGGAGCGAGTCCCTTCAAGCATGAAGAAAGTGGAGCCAGCCCTCAGAGAAAAATCTTAATCTTGAAATGCATGATCCACTTCATGAAATATAAACACCGAAGAACATAAAGAGTGGCCTAGGTTTGGTACTTTCATCTGTAAAATGGGACTGAATATGCCCTTCACAATGGCAAGATGCAGGAGCAGTGTTAGGGACTTAAGAGATTTGAGGCATGGGCTCATAGACATAAATTTGCACGTGCTAATTTGTTTTGTTTTTAAACAAAGTTTACGTAACACTTGACCCTAAGAAAACCTGTAAGCAGTTTAGGAGAAATACTAAATTTATCAGCAAAAACAGCTTAAAACAAGTTATAAAAGCACTTAAAAGATAGTTGAAATTAGAGCAGACTAAGAAGAGATTAAAACATGTCAATATCCACGTGTCTGGCTAGGCTTTCTTAAGCAAAAACGTTTTAAGCAGGCACCAAAAGGAAAACAGTGAAGATGCTTACCTGATGTCAATAGACAGGTAGTTCCAAAGTTTAGGTGCTGCCCCACTAAAAGACCCATATCTTACAAGTGTGGAATGAGTATGTCGGGGCACCTAGAACAGTTCCAGTTCCTCGGGGGGGGGGGACAGTTGAAGGGGCACATGTGGAGTAAAGCAAACTGCTCCCAAGCAAACCGTTACAAATTGTAGCACCTTAAACTTGGTGCAATAACAAATCAGCAACCAGTTCAGATCTTCTGAGCAGAAGTGTTATATGCTGACAGGGTCTCACAATCCTGGAGTTAGGAGAATAACTGAGGAGTGCAGCTGAGCATTCTCGATTTCTTAATGATTCTCCGAAAGAAAGAAGGGAAAGAAAAGGCTCCAGGACTGTGCTCTTCAGAGTGAGCAGGAAGACTCTCATCCTGCTTCCCTACACTTGCCTGCACACCACCTTAACCTCCCAAGTGATGGTTGTCAACAGAAGTGCAGTGGGGGGGGGGGGAGGGAGAGGATTGGCTGAGTTTTTTGCCAGTAGCCCAAATGTGATAATCTCAGCTAAAATGCCCTTATTGTCTCCTAGACCTTTGAGTTCCAGAGTGCAGACATGTAGCCTGTGATGCGGTTTATAAAAAATCTATTGTCTTAATACTTTTCAGACTATGCTGTCCCATCTTGTCTGACAGCTATTTAAATATTCACAGGACAGGAAAATGGATTCCATACTCTTACCAGAACCCACAAATCTATTGTTCAAAATGGCTGGGGGTGGGTGGGATAGCTGTTAACTCAAATTCAGATTTATTTATTTCTGGGTCATTATCCCTTCAGTCCTGAGAGATATTCCCCTCCCTCTAAAATATCACAGCTTTTGCTGTCTGTGTACTTAATAGTATCTCCCATTTCCATAGAAGCCAGTTGGCATCACTGTGGATGAATGAGCTAAGCATTTGAAACAAGCAGACCTCGCCTTTGAAAGTCATGCATTAAGAAGAATAGATTGTGGCATCTTTTAACAGTACACCCTGATGATAAGTCACTGTGGGTGGTTATTCAACCAAGTTTAATTCAGAGTAGATCTGTTAAAATTAATGGACCTCACTTAGCCATAGTCATTAGTTTCTGCAGAATGCTGTTGGGTCCCTCCAGACTGGTGGGGATATTTGTGTATGTGTGTATTCTGCAACATGTCGTTGATGCGATGATAGTGGATTTATACTGAGCCATTCCACTTTATTAGTTGTTCTCCAGTGCACCCCAAGGTTAGCACATTGTCATCCACAGGAGCACTCTTTGCTATAGCTATAGCACAACAAAAATGGGGGGGACAAAACATTTGTGGTATGAAAAGTTACAGGATTTTAGCAGGAAACTATGGGAAATGCACCAATTGGAAGGAAATTATCTGCCTGAAACTTTTGCAGGCGCACACAGTATTGAAAGCACAATTACGTATAACTGTCCAGATACCATCATGAGCACAAAACATCATGAATGCACAATAAAAAGTACAACTAGAGCAGCCCATTGTCTTTTACTTGCCTTCAAACAGCCCAAGGTTCTGCCACCCCCTAAAAACCCTTCTGTGCCCAGACTTTCATATATATTTTTATTTGATGTTGACAAAGAAGTTGGGGCCCACATATTTTGGGTGGCCTTGGCATCTGGCCAACATGTTGTGGTCACCATTAGTCTTGTCCCTCCCCTGAGTCCTCTAGTGTGCACAGAGGATGTGGGGAAAAGGGAGAGTCATGTCTGTGATGCCTCCAAACTGCAGAACAGAATTAAGTTGGTGATGAGACTCTTTCTGTTGCCTAAGCCGCAGGCATGGCATGAGAAGTGAAGTTCCATCTGGGGAGCTATGGTGGGAGTGGGCTATTTCCTTCATGCCCCGCTTGTGGGCTTCTCAAGAGGCATGTGGCTGGCCACTGGGAAGCAGAATGCAGGACTAGATGGACCTTGGATTTGATCCTGCTGGATTTCTCTTGCAGTCTTACCTGTCCATTGATCTTTTTAGAAGTTATGAGTGCATCCAAAGTGCAACAGAATGTCAGTGGTTCTGCTAGCCAGCTGTCACTCACTTCCTGAGCATACTCATAGATTGTAGCAGAGTGGAGACAACTACCCGCTCCAGTTTATATGAGTTGAAAGGACAGACCAGGGGTGTAGCTAGCTGCTCCGGCACCCAGAGCGGCGGGGGCAGAGCAATCTGAGCACGGGGGCACTGCAAGGGGGCACCGCGGCGATCCGCCCAAAGGGGTGGCTCGGTGTGGTACGCTGCCCACGGAGTCTGCCTGGCAGACACAAGCCCCACACTACCGTTTTGGGCAGTGCGGGGCCCCGAGCCACTGTGTCACCATGTCACTCCCAGGAGAGAGATGTGGTTCAGGCGCACTGCAAGCCAGGCCCCATGGTAAGTGCCAACCCCCATGGTGTGCCATTTTGTAACCCCCTCAAGGATGGCACCCAGGGCGGACCGCACCCCTGCACCCCCTTCCTACGCCCCTGGGTCAGCCCCAAGCATGTGACTAACAAGACCATAGGTTATGGGAAATCTTCTCTGGTGCAGTGGTGCATTTGGACTCCTTGGGTGCTTAAACACCCAACATGTTAGGAAAGAGGGTGACCTGTTTAAGATCAAAGCCAGGGCTAGTGTGGCTACTCTGGCCTACATTATTCCCAGACTCCCTGCAGGTGCTTGCAAGCTGATTCCAAAGCTTGGCTACCTGTCACTTTAGTTTTGGTACGCAGCCCTTGTGTGAGAGATGTCTAAGGACCAAAGGGATGAGATCCATGACTAGCCATCTTGATGCAGAGAGTGAAGAGGTAACTCGTCCTCCCTCACCACTATTTCCTCAACCTAATTTCTCCCCCAAGGTCTGTGAGTTACAGTAGAGAACACACTGTGTCTTATCAATGTGCCCTCTGATTCCCATAGGTGCATGTGATGGAACCCACAGTGTGGTCAAGTGCTGTACAACAACAGACTTGTAAAAGTTGTATTCCTGTCCACAGCACCCTTTGCTTGTACAGTCAGGCTCTTTAGTATTTCAGTTGTTTTTAAAAATATATTACATACAAATTTTCTTCCTGTTACAAAGTCCCGTGTGTCTGTTTTAACCCAAGAGCCAAGCGACATAACGCGGGGAGCTCTTCAGTTCCTTGTGTGTGATCACTTCAGACCAGTATGCAGCCTGTGGGCCTGCCTTGCCACGGAGAAAGGGTGACATTGGATTGGGTGGGCGGAATCCTGAATCATTCTTGATCTTCTGCCTAAAATCCACTTTGGGAATTCCACCCTCTCCTAAAACGCAGCCAAATTCAAGGGTGTGTGTTGTGAAAGAGGGTTGGGGATGGGATCACCGCACCCCCAGCTGCTACAGAGAGCAGCCCTCCCCTGCATTGCTGCAATTCTATCTCTTGGCAACTGAGTCACTGCAATGGAAGGAGAATCAACGCAGGGGCAGCTCTTTCTAATACGTGGCAAAGAAGGAGAAGGCAGCCATGCTTCTGAATGTCAGCTGCTGGAAACCGCAGGAGGGGAGACTACACTTGTGCTTGGGCCCTCCTTGCATCAGCCACTATGAGAACAGGATCCTGGGATACTAGACTGGCCTGATCCAGCATGCTCTTGTTTTGAGAAGGAACTGAGACCGTTTCCCCGATCTCTGTTTTACCCTATTGTGGGGTTTGGGGTTTTGAGTAAAGGTGCTCACCCAGTTCCTGTGGAGGAAGGTGAGCATTAAATGGAGACCAGATTCATCAAAGCGTTTGCTTCCCTCCAGCCTCGCATCATCGTGGATGGGCTACCCCTTGTACAACCCTGTTTGCATTTAATTCATTTATTGTTACATTTGTATCTCTCCTTTCCTCCAGGGAGTTCAGAGTGGTGGGCTCTTAATCTCCCCATTTCATTCTCACAACCCTGTGGGGCAGGTTGGGCTGAGAGACTGTGTCTGGACCAAGTTCACCCAGTAAGCTTCATGGCTGAGTGGGGATTTGAACTCTCATCTCCCAAGCCCTACCTAGTCCAACCACTGCAGCACATGGCATCTCTACCGCCTAGACCAAGCCTGGGGATTTTGTGGCCCTCTAGTTGTTGCTGTTCCCGTCGCCCCTGATCACTGGCTATGCCGGCAGGATCTGATGGGGATTGTAGTCCAGCAACACGTGGACAGTCACAGGTTCCTCATGTTTGGCACAGACCCTTGATTTTGTGACGCCCTTCATTAAAGTCCTGCTAGAGAATTCCCATTCAGCTTTTGCCTCTGATACTGCAGACTTCAGGGTATCCAAAAATTCATCACCACTGTGCAGATGGTGCACATCACCACGATTCTGCCCCTCCTCTGCCTTTTGCATTCTTCCACCAACGCTTAAGCACGGGGCCTGCATGGTGCAAATTATAGTCATTTATACGTGAGAGCAATTTATCTTTGCTATCAGCTGTGCTTAGATAGGAACAAAGGAAATATGGAAATAAGCCCAGACATAATTGAAAAGCCAATGTCAAGATATAGGCAGAGGAGGGAGGGAACTTGTGGGCTGCTCAAGCATTGCTTTCTGATTATTGTTGTAGCTGCTCCCTTGTCAAACAGACCAGCCGCCACTTGAGCTTCCAGTAGCTTGACTTTTTAGCAGTGGAAATCGCTGAATTGAAACCAGTCAGCAAAGCTCCAGCCAGGGCCCCCTTTCCATTTCCACACTCAGGCCATTAGTGACTGATTCATTCTCCCTCAGGATGCTGCGCAATCTAGTAGGGGGAAATGGAATTGATCTCTAGAGCCTGTGTAACTTGGAAACAACAGTTTCCAGAGGGAACATGTGGCTTGATGGCAGGGTGCCAGGTGCATTTTGCACCTAAAGAGTCTAGATTTGCAAGCATTTCATTTTTTAAAAAATATAATTTTTATTAAATTTTCTGTTTTACAATTTAGAATGTTCATTTAAACAGCCTTAAAATATCAAAAACTTCCCTTCTTCTTTCTATGGTTCAATTTGCATAACATAAATCCCTGCATATGGTACCAATATTTTTATTATAAACAACAAATTAAACATGTATCAACTGTTTCTGATAAAAATGTGATATCGACAATGTGTCTCTTATGTGAATTGTGTATTAGTTCATGCTTATCAAAATAATAAATAAAAAGTGTTGCCGACACCCCCCCCCCCAATGGCTACTAGACATTCTGTTTTGGCACCCAGGTCCCAGGAGCCATTTGGCTCCTAGCTTTTCTATCCCAGTTTCTAACGCAGCTTGATGGACTTGACTGTTGCCCATCTGCAGTAGGTGACGGGGGCAGAATTTTTTGTTCATCTCCTGATAACACAGATAAAACAGGATTGCTCAGCTGGATAGAGCATGGTGCTGATAGCACCAAGGCTGTAGGCTTGATCCCCATATGGAACAGCTGCATATTCCTGCATTGCAGGGGGTCTGGACTAGATGATCCTCAGGGCCTCTTCCAGCTTTACAATTATATGATTGGCTTACTGAACAGCTACAATAGGCCCTTTTGGCAACCAAAAATGTATCTTGAATGGGCTTCTCGCATGTTGTGTTCAATGATGAGTGCCAGGCATAAAACTCCAAGGAAATATGCTGAATGACAATGTGCCAGGAATATCTAGATTTCTGCAGCTGACGTCCCAGATGTGTTTTGCCCTTCACTTTAATAGATCTGGGACTGATCCTATGAACTGTTGCATGTGCACTGTTGCAACTGGAGCAAAAATGGCATGGTTGCTAACCACGCCTTTGGGCTAGTGCTGGGACTCAACCCTTTCTGGATGGTACTGCAATATTCTTACATGGTCTTGTATCATCAGAAGCACCATAATTGAAGAACTGGACTGATTGCATCCCTCTTAAGGCTCAGCTAGCTAGCTAGCCTGCCCGCCCACCACCACTGAGCTCCCTCCTTAGAGGAGAAAGTGGGCAAGAAAATGGTCCACAATGGGATATGCAGGGCAGGTACTTAACCAGGGTCAGCGTTTCTAGGGCACTAGATTTCCATCCAGGGAAAATTCCTATAACCTTGTTCAACAGATCTGCACACAAGTTTCCAGTGTTACTGCTTGTGGAGAGGTTAGAAGCTAATCTCCCTAGCAAAGGACGGGCTGTATTGACAGGAAGTGCCGTCACAACCTGTGGCCTTGGTGCTGCACCTGAATATCCAGCAGTGGGTGGAAATGGAAGGGTTGGACTTGGCATAAGATAGAGAGACTGTGTGTGTGCTCTTGTCCTGTTCTCACTCAGCTGAGCCTGGGATTATCAAACGGAGTACAACTGAGGGACTTGAGCACTCCTTCTCTTTGCATACTCCACCACCATATGGTGAGACAGGGGGAAGTCTCTAGTTACTACACAGCTGTTGCAGCCATCCAGGCTTCTGTGTGGAGAGCCTCTCTTAACAGATCACATTACAATGAGCCAGCAGAGCCAAGGGGGTAGCCATAGGGCAGCTCACACCCTTTTTCCAAGTTGCTGTGACAGAAGGGCTATGTGGAACGTGTGGTCTCTGTGTGGGATGCCCTGTGCTGCTCAGTCATATATAGCAGAAAAGAAAGATAAGGAGGCTTCCGACTCCTGGTAGTAATCTGTGCAATGGAAAAGGCAAGGATCTTGAAGTGGTGGCATTGTCCTAACTTGAAATACTATGTCAAAATAAGTTTCCAAAATTATTCCTTCTGGGATTTGGGGGAAATGGAGATTGGGGGCAGAGAATGAACAGAAGTCACTTCTGACTTCAGAAAGTTTGTGAGTGTGTTTTAATTGGGGCAAGTGGAAAGAGTAATCCTCAGGCAGATGCTCCCTAAAACTATGGAATAAAGGACGTGTTTTGAAGAGGGGTTCTTGAATTTTGGCTGGCCTGGATATCCAGCCGCTACAGTCATACCTCGGGATGAATACGCTTCAGCTTAAATATTTTTGGGTTGTGCTCTGCAGCGACCCAGAAGTAACGGAGCGCATTACTTCCGGGTTTTGCCAATTGTGCATGCGCAGATGCTCAAAATGACATCACGCGCATGTGCAGAAGCGGCGAAACGTGACACACGCAGATGCGTCTTACGTTTGCTTCAGGATGTGAACAGGGCTCCGGAATGGATCCCGTTCACATCCAGAGGTACCACTGTATTTGAGGTTGGAGACTGCCTTGTCCCGAGTCTTCTGTCACATGCAGAAGGGACTTAGGAAGCTACCTTATATTGAGTCAGACCATGAGCTAAAAGAGGCATTGATGCCTTTCACCAATAGAAATCTTAATAACCCCCCACAACTCTTAACATTGCCCAGATACCTTCAAACCCATTTTCACAGCATGAGAACTAGAAACCAACTTTTTTAAAAAGAAGAAAAGAAAGATGGGGTACTATTACTATCTCCTGTGAGTCTCCTATACTGTTATGCTCAGATTCTGGGTGTATATGTACACATTGCTTCGTGCCCCAACAAAAGCATTTAGTTTCTGCTGAGCACTTCATTCCAGTTTTTCCACTATCTCACTATCTTCTGAGTGGTCTTCATATCAGCCTGTGTTGCCACAAAAGAGTTCTGTTTTCTTTAACCTTTTGAAACCTAAGCAATCTCCCCACATTCCTTGGGCTTCATTTACTGGGGGGGGGGGGAGAATCTAAATGTAAACATGATTCAGCTCTGCATGCTTTTTGATCATAGGCTCTTCTACAGTGGTTAAAACCATGCAGATGTTTAATCCATGCGCACATGCTGTCAAACTTGCCTTTGCTTCTGAGTTGGGGTGTCTGGACTTTATTGTACTTTTTGTTGAAGTCTCCTGCATCAAAAGCAGTCAAAATGGATTGCTTCAGGGATTTCTCCTAGTGTTGACTGTACACTTCCACACCTGTTTTCATAGCCATGACAGCTAGAACCTGGGGCATGATCCAGTCAAAATGAAGCACTTTTTAAAGTGGTCAGTTTCCAAAGTTAGGCATGTACAGCTGAAATCATTTGAACTTTCAGTGAAATCCTATGCATGCCCAATCAGAAGTGGGCCCGAATAAATTCAGCAGGAGTTACTCCCAAGTAAGTGACTACAGTGGTACCTTGGTTCTCGAACTTAATCCGTTCAACTCCTGAAACCATTCGAAAACCATGGTGCGGCTTCTGATTGGCTGCAGGAGCTTCCTGCACTCAAGCAGAAGCTGCATCGGACGTTCAGGTTTGTGGCGTTCGGGAGTTGATTTGTTTGACAGGTAAGTCGTTCGAGAACCAAGGTACCACTGTATATGTTTGCAGCCCATACTGTAGCAGTACTGGAGAGTCATAGGATAAGACTGCTAGAATGCAGCAAGTCAGTATAATTAGCCAAAGACTGCACAAGTCAAACCTCTGATCCAGGTTTCTGGTGGTACTGGATAACATTTAAGATACCAATTCGGCAACAGCATTTTGGGGGTGGGGGAGGGAGCAGGCTGAACTAAAGTAATCCTGATGAGCTGGGTGGAGCTCTTGTTTTAGATGCTCTGAGGAAGCATCAGCCGGAGCAGGATTTCCTGGTATTGCATCCAGGTTCTTGCAGTTCCTCTAGCGGAAAGATGTTTCACTCGTGTCTTGGGAGCTGTTGGAGAGCTTTCTAGCTCTTGCTAACTCTGGGAAGCTGTGGCTCTCTGGCTCTTGCTGTGCCCTTCTCTTTGAAGAGGGCAACAATGCTTCAAAGCTGGGGGGCTACTGAAATGGCCATGGCACCAACTACATCATGTGCTCTTTGTGTGCAGGATTTTTTCTGGCAGAAATACCTAGCATTTGGGATCCAAAGAGCAGAAGGACTTTAGCTGTTGTTTTTCCCCTTGTTGAGGTCCCAGTCTGCATCCCGCCCCCCCATGCCTGCAATTTGCATGGATTTAAACATCTCCTATGGGAGATTCTCTCTTCTTGCCCCTTGCATTGCAAATTGCAGGTGCAGGGGGTTCAGCTGGGACCACAGGAGGAAGCAAAGGGTTCAAGTCCCTGCCACTTCCTTTCTTCCTGTGTCGTGGTCCCACTGTTCACCAGGACATTTCATCGCCTTATGGTGAGGGTGGTGCAAAAAGTCCCAGCCCCTCCTCTCTAGCTTGGTGCTCTGGAGGGAGTTGGGATCATCCTGTGCTGAGCTTCAGCAATGGGGAAAATGCCTTGCCCTTTCTCCAGTCGTGAGGTAGAGCAGAAGATTAGGGCTGGCTATTTTGGTGCTGGGACACTGATGTGCTTGGAGCATCTTAGATGACTGACATCAAAACAAGTCCCTGCTGCCCTTCCCCAGCTTCAGAACCTTGGAGCTGTCGAGAGGAGCAGAGGATTGTGGTCAAGTCCTGAAGAGACAATTAGCTGGAAGGACCATTGCAGAGAATTCTGAATGGCCCTTATTTCAGAATAAACATGCATATCAATTGCATAGAGAGAGGCCAGGTCCTCATGATCAAGGCCTGCCAAAAATCTGTGGCTACTGGCCACGATAACAGCTATGTTCTACCTCCATGGTCAGAGACATCATGCTTCCAAATAAAATACCAGTTGCTAGAAAATGCAGGAGAGTGTTCTTGTGCTCAGGTCCTGCTTTCCAGGCTTCCCATGGGCATCTGGTTGGTCATTATGAGCACAGGATGCTGGGTTAGATGGGCCACTGGCCTGATCCTGCAGGTTCCTCTTATGTTCTGTGGCCCCCTGTTCCTTGGTATCTCACTTTGGATTCTGCATCATCTGCAGACCTGGATCATGGCTCTGTCTCAGCTGGTGGAAAAAATAATGGAAGAACATATGAAATGATGTACTTGCCAGCCAATCAACTTACTCCCCCATTTTGGGAGGCACAAAATATTACCCATACTGAAGGCTGCCTCAGTTTCTCTTTCTCACTTGGAGGGGGAATCATGATCCTTCCCAGAAAGGGTCTCAAAACTGTCTCCTCCTTCTGTCTTTTTTTGGGGGGAGGGGGTGGGATTGCATCTTCATTCGACCATTCCTGTTTAGCTTGTCTGTCAATATAAATGCCTCTCCTGTCTGATGGCCACAGTTTCCCGGAGGCTCTTCGAAGGCCCTTTCCCCCCTTGTCTGTGGGTTTTATTCATAAGCTATTTACACTGTCCCATTTCCCAAAACCAATCTCAGTTTGGGAAAGAGAGAGTGCCCAAGAGCAGGAAATGCCATTCCCTTGGGCTTGTGGGGGGAACTTCAGCTGGGGGAGCTTGAAAACAACACCACAGAGGGGGAGATTGCATTTCCCCCTTCCATCAGGGGTCTGTCCTTCCGCCCTGGCTTCTCCTTCAGCTCTGGTCCACTGAGCGGCTCTGGGCTTTGCTCTCCAACCTCCCCTGGGCACTCCTATCTTTGTGTCTCCATCTCCTGTATCTCTGGGCAGGGCAGGGTGCCAAAGCCCTGCAAAACCTGCTGCTTTTCTCTACTCCACAGTGATTGTTTTGAAGAGGCCCATACCAGATCTTGGCTTTGAAAAGCAAGTTTATTCTAGATTGTGAGTAATATTAACATTCTCTCCTTTGGTCTTAAAAGTTTGTTTTCATACATTACTCAGCAGGTCTGGCAGTTTCTTTAAAAGGACATGTTGGCCCTCTCTTCTGCAAGCCCCTTGATGCTCCCTTTGTTATGCAGAATGTCATGGCATGCGCCAGAAAAGAGCTTGCCTGCTGTAATATACTCATAGATTCCTATCTAAATCACCCGGGTTCTGCTGACATCAAGAATACACTGCTGGTGTGGCTTGATAACATTTTATCTCAAAGCAGCTGTAGGCCCTCCCTCCTTCCCCACCCCCCACATATACCTTCAATACAGGGCCATCCCACCTCTGTGACCAAGTGGGCTGCAAGACTACTTCAATCCAGAACCCAGAGGCCACACATTGAATTAAATTTCCATGTCACCTGTGTGTACATATGTACATAGTTTGTGTATTACTAAAGCAGCCTGCTTTCTGTCTGTATAGATAGCAATCCTTGCTGCCCCCTGGAAAACTCCCTGATTTAGGAAGCCCCACGTATCTATGTGCCATGTCTCATTTCCAAATTTATCTTCCTAGTGGTCACTGCAAATAATTCAGCAGCCCACCCAACATTCCATTCCTCTCCTTTGTGCCTTGGCTGGCTGTGTGTTGGAGACAGGGAAGTATCTGAGTTAACTGTGTAAAAATATTTGCTAACCCAGAACAAAGGGAGTGAGGAAAATACAACTGGTTACCCACCTCTCCCTTACCAATGAATGGAAAGTGCTACAGTGAGTTGAAATGGGCTGTGCGGCAGACTCTAGCAAAAGAAGGCTGAAGTATTCAGCAATTCTCCTTCTGTGGCAAGGGGTAGTGAACTCACAGGACTTGTAAATTTGATGTCTTTGGGAATGCATAGCCATTACTTCATATTATCAGTGATGATATTTGGAACACAGAAGCGATGCTAGTCTTTGCCTGGAGAGTTTACAGGTTGTTGTTTTTTAAGGATAAGGAGGATTGGATGTGAATTCGATGAAGCATATTGAGCCTTCCCCACTGAATGCTCAACCTGTAATCTTCGTGGTGGGAGATGATGGTTTAGAGAAGACATTACAGGCTTTGAGGAAAGGATAGAAAATGGAATAAGGGAATAGGGGTGGTGGTGGGCTGCTCAGGTGTAACATGACAGGCAAATGCAATGAAAATGGGAAACAGATGAGCTTCTGGACCCTTTTATGATGCTGAGACCTCAACCAGGAGATGATTGGCCTGATTAAATTGCTTAATCTATCAACCTTTCACACAGCCCATTATTAGTATAAGTACACAACAGGCATCTTACATAGTGTGGCATGTTTTAATTTTCCCCTGCCCCCCACAATACCTAGTTCAAAAGCCCTGGGGCTGTTAGTATGCTAAACAGCTGGAAAGCTTTCAGTTCTATTTGCTCCTTCTTTCTGGTTAGCCGACCACAAAAATGTTTTCAGAGATTCTTTTAAGCAACCCAATAATATTTTCTTTCCCTGTTGCTTCCTCATTATTGCAGTTCAAGGCTTCTTTCATAGAACGCAGCACTGAAGCAACAATTAAAACCATTAAAACAGTCAATGATAAGTGGTTGCCACTGATATCCAGCTGTGTGGCTTGGTGGTGTGAATCTAACTAATTTTGTATACATCTCACTGCTGGGGGTAGGGTTGTGTCCTCCTGGGTAAATGTTTTGTTTAAATAACCAGATGGATCCCTTGTGTCGGATTTTGTGAACACTCTTTTATGTGGCATCCGTTGCACATTAGGATAATTATATGTAAAAAGTTACAGACTGATCCCCGGTGCTGAAGAAACAGGCCATGTTACCTAGCTGCCCATATCCACGTATTTTAATTGTTACTGAATTCATACAGTGTTGTTGTTTTTCAAACTGCTTTTCAAAGCATATTAGAACTTGTCTAATTAAAAACATGATTTACTAAGAACATATAGTTGTCATTTGTTTACTTTCAGCTCCTGTCCTTGCCTTCCTTTGTATCTTCACATTATCAAAGCTTAGATTATAAGCTTTTCTCTCATTCATTCATTCATGTGTCACTCAGTAAAGCACCGCTGATGACATCAGTGTGTACTGCAGGGATGGTGAACCGGTGACCCTTCAGTTATTCTTAAGACATTATATTGTAATGAATAATGCAAACATATTTATATCATGACTTATTGTATGGATCAATCCTCCTCCTCCTTAGTGATCACTTATAGCCAAGTAAGATTGTCTTCCATGAACAAAGAAGTGTCCATAGGTGACTGTGGAAGCCAATTCTGGATCCACACAGTGGAGATATAGGTTTCCGGGTGGGAGTTGATCATGGTGAGGGTTTGCCAAATGTGCCTTCCTCTGAGCCTTTCAAAGTCCATGACACCTTTGGTAAAGGCTGTTCTCCACTTGGAGCACTCGCAGGCCAGTGTTTCCCAATTGTCAGTGTTTATATTACATTTTTTAAGATTTGCCTTGAGAGAGTCTTTAAACCTCTTTTGTTTACCACCAGCATTATGCTTTCCATTTTTAAGTTCGGAATAGAGTACAGTGGTACCTCAGGTTACATACGCTTCAGGTTACATACGCTTCAGGTTACAGACTCCGCTAACCCAGAAATAGTGCTTCAGGTTAAGAACTTTGCTTCAGGATGAGAACAGAAACCGTGCTCCGGCGGCACAGTGGCAGCAGGAGGTCCCATTAGCTAAAGTGGTGCTTCAGGTTAAGAACAGTTTCAGGTTAAGAACGGACCTCCGGAACGAATTAAGTACTTAACCCGAGGTACCACTGTACTTGCTTTGGAAGATGATAATCAGGCATCCCATCAACATGGCCAGTCCAACAAAGTTGATGTTGAAGAATCATTGCTTCGACATTGGTGATCTTTGCTTCTTCCAGTACACTGACATTAGTTCGCCTGTCTTCCCAAGTGATATGAAAGTTTTGGGGGGGACATTGTTGATGGAATCTTTCGAGGAGCTGGAGATGGTGTTTATAAGTAGTCCATGTTTCACACGCGTATAGTACGATTGGTAGTACAATGGCTTTGTAAACAAGCATTTTGGTTTCCCTGAAAATGTCCTGGTCCTCAAACACTCTGCACTTCAATCAGGAGAAAGCTGCATTTGCAGAGCTCAGGCGATGCTGGATTTTGGCATCAATGTCAGCCCTTGTGGAAAGATAACTGCCCAGGTAGGAAAGTGAACATTTCCCAATGTTATACCAAGAACTTCCAAGAAGTCCTCAATGGCAGAACAGGCGGATGATAACAAGCGGTATGTTACAATGGCTGTGAAGGTGGATGAAGGCTGCAGCAGATAAGAATCTACGGTCGTTGTGATAATCTTGCCATCGGTATAGAGCCTCACTGCGAAGACTATGTGTTGGTCAGCATGCACTGATATCCACACATAAAACAAATTCACGCACAGGCATCTTCCAAAAACCCATCCCAAACCCGCATAATGATATGGGGCATAGTTGATAATAGATAATCTTCAGTGGCGACTTTAGCAGCTCTTTTCTAACTTGGAAGGAGTAAAATCAATATAAAAGGGGAAAATAATAATCTGCATCTGTTTTGATGTTTCAAAACATGTTTTTCACCCTTCAACAGAACTAACTTTTATTATCCCAGAATGCTGTAACCATTGCAACACAGTCTTCAAAAGAAGCTATTATCTTGATGTTGCAGTTTATACACAGGAACTGAAGCAGGGTTTACAATTTTTTGCTATAAATCTATTCTGTCTAGTTGGGCTCTGCCACATGCTTTCATATTCACCAATTATCCCTAGCTTCCCAGATGGCCCTTGTTTTAAGATGCCACAGTGTTCCTGTTCCATCTTTTACTGTACTGAGATTTTTCTTGCGGGGGGGGGGGGAGAATATCTTGCTAGAGTATATTCCGTATTCATGTGTTTAGTACCTGTAGATACTGAACACCCAGCCTAGCCTCATTCATTCGAGTGAAGCCAACACAAATGTGCTAGCCAGACACACAAGCCCAGCACGCAATAGTCTTCTTTCAGACGGATGCCAATGTGAGCGCAGGTGTATGTGTGTAAGGGCCCCTCCATGGGAATGGGAACTCTGCGCCATCAGGGAGAGTCCCAGCTGTGCACATATGGTTCCCTTCAGACTGATACAGATCACTTGCTACCTGGGGTGTGTGATCAGTATCTGGGGGTGGGGTTAGCCTGCACATTCTTGAGACCCCCTTTGCCCCTTCAGGACCCATGGGTACTGAATGCATGCCTGTGCACTTGGGCTCAGTGCCATGTTGTTGGGGCCTCCAGAATTACCTCTGAGTAGGGGAAATGCATCTCTGCTCCAGCACACACGTGTGTGAATGTACACAACAATGCACATGAACACAAAAATGCCGGTGACCTGCTTCTCTTCCTTCTTTCCATCCACCCACCCCCTGAACTTTCTGTCCCTGCAGCAAATGTTGCGAAATATGTTTGAGTAGCGGCTATTATCTAATAAATCCAGCCAGATCCACTGTGATATTAAACAGTTTTAATGTGTGTGTCAAAGAGAAAAGGTTATGGTCCGTTTACTACTAACACACCCTTCTCCGGAATCTGCTGCTGGACCGACTTCCTTATGAAATCAGCGAATGTTATCTTGTGAAGTAAGTGAATGTTATGTGCAGTGAACAGAAATGTCTAATGGCTGGGCCGGTAATGGAGGTGCTGGGGAGTTAGGAGAACAATCCTTGGTGTGAGAATAGGGGTGTTACAAGCCTGCAGGTGCCCCCCTCCCATTTTTCATCTGTGAATGCTTTGGGAATGGGGTGCAAAAAAGAGCAACTTAAGGACCGAGATGAGTGTGTATGTGTAGGATATATATTTCCATGCATATTCCATCGTTCTCCATATGGCACATGCCTAACAGCAGTAGTAAAAAGTGCAATGCAAGTAATAATAATAAAAATCACAAACATGTGACCGCAGGTTTTGGCTTCCCCACCTTGCCTCCATGTACATGGTCTGCTTTTAAGACTTGTTCTCCTTCCCTGCTTCCGTTTTGCATTGGAGAAACATGCTAAAGCAGCAAAGCTGAGGGTTGTAAGGTGGTGGAGAATTGGTGGTTTCTGCTCTCTTCCCCTGCACACTCCCAAAGTATAAGAAGAACCCCCTTCCCACTCCAGCTTTAGAGCCAAAGTTGTGAGCCCATGTTGTTTAATATACATGCACACTTCTGGTTTTGACTTAAAACAACATGGCGTGAAGTTCCACTGGGCTAAATAGGATTTACTTCACTGTAAATACAGTATGTTTAGTGTTGCCCCTTTAAAGGGTAATTTTTAAGCCAGGCATGGTGAACCCGTGGGTCTCCAAATGTTGTTGGGCTCTGACTCCCATCAGCATGTCCAGCATGGCCCATGTTCTGGGATGATGAGATTTGGAGTCCAACACCCTCTAGAGGGCCACAGGTTCCCCGCCCCTGGGGAATAAACATCACCCTAGTCGTAGGCAGCTGTTTATCCATGAGCAGCTTCTGAACATCTGGGCAACCAACCATGAGCACTGATCACTCAGTTTCTGGCCATGGGCTCAGTACATGATGGACATGTGTGGAGCTGTAGCTCAGTGGCAAAGCATCTGCTCTTCAGGCAGAAGGCCCTTGGTTGAATCCCCAGCGCCCCAGGTAGGGCTGGGTATGTTCCCTGCTTGAAACTCTGGATAGCTACTGACAGTCCATGTCAACAGTACTGAGCTAGATGGACTAATGATCTGAACTCACTGAAGGGCAGATTCTTATATTTCCATGACATCCTATGGTAGCGTTTAAAGGACCCATATTCTGAGTGGTAGAGCTATACGCCCACCCTCCCACATTTAGGGCTGATCTCACTTCTATTAGCTTTTAAAATCTATTGGCTTTGTTATTGTGTTGAGCAGTTGGGCCAAACATGCTGCTAAGCATTTGGTTCCTTGATTGAGCTTTCCTGTACAATGTTGTTGGCAATTAAATGCTGCTTTTATCTAGCAATCGCAGTTCATGCATGCCCCGCAGCCAGACCTCAGTTCCTTTCCAAGCTTATTTATCTAAGCCTTGCAAAATCTGAACTGGTAGACCAAATCGGAGCTCCTTGCACCTTCGCCAGTAAGAAATGTGTAGAATGGAATTTACCAATGGAACAGAATAACAAAGACTTAAAACGGGCTCATGTTTTACCGCAGAACACGGAAATGTGATATCCAAGAATGCAAATAGAAGCACATCTAGTCTGGTTTTCTTGGCTTTATTTTTATCATCCTCATGGATATGGGGACATCACAAAAATGAACTTCATTTTTTTCCTCCTAAATTTTGGCAGGGACACCGTTTAAATTTCCCTGGGAGACAAGTTTGTGTACATAGGACATCAGTGTCCTATATTCCAGTGGATGTGCAGCAGAACATTGAATAATATCCAGCAAAGCTTACTTCCAGTGTTCACTGCTTTGATCAATACAATACCTTTAAAGCACCTGACACAAACCCAAAAGAATCCTGCAAACTTCAGTTTTGTCCACTCACAGTTAAAAATCCAAGTCCCTTTAACAAATCACAGTTTCCAGGATTCTTGGGAGGGCATCATGTGCTTTAAAGGTATGGTATGTGTGCAGTTTAACTCTTCCTTTCCAAAGCAGTTATTTATGCACTTTAAAAATAATAATCATAATCAGTCACACTTGCTGAAAGCTAGGGTTCTACAGATTGATCAGAGCAGCAAACACTGGAGGCAACCTTGACTGGATATTATCCAGAGTTCTGCTGAACTCTGTATACTTTAAATGTGTGTGTGCAGCCTTACTATTTGACCTCTTAGCCAGTTAGTGGAGCTGTAGCTCAGTGGTGAAGTGCATACAGTCGTACCTTGGTTCCAGAACGCCTTGGTACTCCGATGTTTTGGCTCCCAAACGCCCCAAACCTGGAAGTGAGTGTTCCAGTTTGTGAACGTTCTTTGGAACTTGAACATCTGGTGGGGCTTCTGTGGCTTCAGATTGGCTGCAGGAGGTTCCCGCAGCCAATCAGAAGCTGTGCTTTGGTTTCTGAACATTTTGGAAGTTGAACAGATTTCCAGAATGGAATCCATTTGACTTCTGAGGTACCACTGTACTTTGCATGCAAAAATCCCAGGTTCAACCTCCATCATTTCCAGGTGGGTCTGAGAGAGAAGACTCTTTGCTGGAATCCTGGAGAGAGGCTGACATTGTAGTGACAAAACTGAGCTGGGTGGGCCATTGAATTGATCTGAGGTAGCTTCCTGTGTTTTAGTTCATTGGTACTTCTTTATGGTTTGCATATATTTCCCATATTCAGACAATGTGTTGTGTAATAGTGGAGTTAGCACCAGTAGGACCCTTCCCTGTCTTAAAAACAAGATAGTTGCTTCTCCAGGGGAATTTCCTGTTGTAAACTTTAAAGTTTTCACATAATCCTGCTATTTTCCTCTTCCCCTCCCTAGAGCACACAATTCCTCCATTTTTTTCTAATATTTGCATTGAATTAACTCTGTGCTAAAGCATAAATAATAAAAAAGATTAAAGGTAGATAAATATGTGCTTAACATTGAGAAGTACACCAAATATTGTATTGGTCACAGTGAGTTGGAGCCAAGGAGACAGTATTAGCCTATGCTTAGGTTTTGACTCAATGCAGTAAGCCCCAATACAGTGGCACCTCACGTTAAGTACTTAATTCATTTCGGAGGTCCGTACTTAACCTGAAACTGTTCTTAACCTGAAGCACCACTTTAGCTAATGGGGCCTCCTGCTGCTGCTGTGCTGCCAGAGCACGATTTCTGTTCTCATCCTGAAGCAAAATTCTTAACCCGAGGTACTATTTCTGGGTTAGCGGAGTCTGTAACCTGAAGCGCATGTAACCTGAAGCATATGTAACCTGAGGTACCACTGTAATGCTTTGTGCTGCATAAGACATATGATGCATTTACTTCGAATCTTTGCACAGGCTCTTGCCTAATTCTTTGAGGAAATTCAAAGAATTGGCGTTTTCCTTGTATACTTGAGAATATGTTCATTCAGAAGTTTATTTCTTGTTTCAGCTCCCTCCCCACCCCACCCCCCAACAACTTTTAAAACAACCTATTATTGTATCCTCAAAATGAGCAATTCCGTGCACAGAATGTGAAACGTCAAATTAGGCGCATCTACAAAGCGGCCAGAGAGCAAACAAACAAAGATCAGAAATAGCAATGTCTGTACAAACACTCTGTCTCTGTTTATATGATTTGGTAGCACTGTCATTGTATGCAGGAGGCAATTAGGGAGAAGCTGGTCTCTCCCTTCTCTTGGCCTTCAGCCTTAAGTGAGGAAAATTAAGACCCATGTTGGGGTTCTTCCCCGATGTCTTCAGCATTGAGGAAAGCATTATTTGCCCCTAGGCTGCTGTAGGCAGGAAAGATAGACCTAAAGCCTCCATCCTTTATAATAAACTGATTGCATCATGCTAATGCTGTCTCTGTATAATAGGAATGGCCACTTCATAGGATTGAAAGGCAAAACTCCTGTGAATTGATATATGAACATTAGAATCAGGCCATTGGTTCTTCTAGTTCAGTATAATTGACAAGGACTGGGAGTTGCCACCCTCCAGACCACCTGTTGAAGGGGCACAAAGAAGGGCCTCAGGTGATGATCGCAGGGTTGGTTCATATGGGGAGAGGCAGACCTTGAGGTATTGCAATCCTGAACCCATTCAAAAATCTTCACTGCAAATGCTGGCAAATTGGGAATTGCATGCAGTTTGTCATGTGCAGTGTTTATTTAAATGGAATGGAAGAGAAGCTAGTGTTGAGGCATGTAGAAGATGAATGTGATAAGGTGATTCCTTTGTCCTAATAAGGACACTCCTTCATAGATGGGAATATAATTTGTGTGGGGTGTTGCTTCAGGGACGCCCAAAGGGGCTGATCATACTTCTGGGTGTCATATTTTACAGTCGTGCTACATAATACTGCCCTTTGAGTACGGAATTTGAATTCTCAACCGTCGGTCTCTCCATGGTCCTATACATTTGGCCGAGGAATGATTCCCTTGGATGGAGACATTTTAAATATAGGCAGGCATGAGATGCCATTCTGTCACATGAGATGACCCATTGATAATGCTGTAGAAATTATTCTGGCCTGATGGGCTGATAAATGGTTTAGGACAAACACCAGCTTGAATATTTATCATTTGGTGGTGCTGGAACAAATTGTTCTTAGTACACACACATGTTCTTTATTTCTCCAGTTGATGCCGAATGCTCATCTTGAGCTGTGGAAATTGGAGAGACTTCTGAACTTCAGAGAGCCACACCAGAGTAATTTCATGTAAGCAAGGAGAACTGCGAGGCTTTATTGCCCCAAACTGGGTTGAGGGTGTGTCAAAAGACAACACCACTTTTATAGGAAGAGCATCCTAAAGCAACTCCTGCTTTGAGGGATTTTTTTTTCTTTGCTCCCTCTTTTAAGTTAAGCCTTTTCCACTTAGGGGTCTGGCCAAGAACAGTGTCAGAATAATAAGCTGGGGATCAAACAGTTGGTAGGTGTTCTGCTTTCTAAAGGAATGTTTACTTTCTTTGTGATAGTAAGCCATCTTATGGGTTGTTCCCACTCCATTCCTTGGTCTTTTGCATTCTTGAAACCACTTCAGACGTTTGCTTTTGCTCCACAGAAGAAAGCCTGGTCAGTGGTCTTACCTTTCCCCTGCATAGCAGGGCTGGGGGCACTCAAATTTGGCCCTTCAAGTCACTCTGATCTGGCTCCTGGGTCTCTCTGCAGGCTGCCACCTCCTCCCCAACCACACCTCCTGCTTGGCCCTGCTTTGAGTGTTTTTTGCTTTGCTGCAATGTGTCCTTGAACTCTGGCAATGCTCCCCTGGATGGAGGGACAGAGAGTGTTGTGTGAGCATGCATCAAAACTAGCAAAATGTACAAAGTTCAAATTCACATATATTGATTGCTCTGGCCCCACCTACCACTTGCAGGTGGCCCCCAGAAGGGAATGTGGCCCTTGGGATGAAAAAGATCCCTGTCCTTCTCTTGTTGGTCCTCTCATTTTCCTTCCCCTTCCCTCATTTCACCAGCTGCCAAGCTGCCACCCTCAGTACATTACCTATAACAAGGGCAGCCCATGTGGTGCACTACAGAGCATATACACCAATGCCCACCAACCCCAACCAGCATAGCCTAATGGTTAGAAATGCTAATATTTGTAGTTCAACAAACTCTGGAGGGCACCATGTTGGCGATCCCCATCCTATGGTAAGCCTCCTGGACTGTGGCTAATATAAGAAGTCTGGCCTTTTGTTTTTACTCTACAGGTTATCAGGATTTATTTTAAGAAACCGTAAATGAAACCAAGCCAGCTAGACAATGGAAACGCAAGACCATCACCACCATCCCCCGCTGCATTTTAATTCCATTCTTTGAAATGACTGGATTTTATGTTCATCTTTCAAGGCTGATTTTGTAGGGTTATCAGAAAGGGAACATTAATCATCCTGATCTTATAGTGATAAAAGCCCCATGAGGCATAGATCTTTTCTTGTTTTACAGTGAGTTCATCATGATGGGAATTCTTTCCTCTCTTCTGCTAATCTGGGCTGAAAAATGAGGCGTGCTGGTCTTTGATCTCTGAGACTGATGCATGGATGGAGCAGGTTAATGCTTCCTTGTGGTAATACTAAGGGGTCAGCAGGTCTGGTTAATTTGTTATGAACTCTTAGTTGGTTTTATGTGTGCGTGTTTGTTAAAGGAGTGGAGCACTAATGTGGCTGGGTTGTGGAGTGGAACTGCCATGCCTATCAGGACAATGGGTTTGTAAACTCTTTTTGTGAACTCTTGCCAGCATATATCGTTCCTAATAATTCTCATCTGATGGCACAACTGCTATGGGAGTATAGGTGTTCAATTGAGTTATACTCAGTGGTATTAATGAACATTATTACATGGGGCAGCTTTTCCTATGAAGGAAGCAAGTGTGTAGATTGGGAGCATTCACTGTTTCAAAGTTCTCATTGGAGGCTCACCTGCCTTCAATGGAAAGGAGTGCTTGTGCCCATCTACGGTGAGTGCCAGAAGTGGCCATTCCTGGACTGGCATATCCTGGCATCAGTCCATGCTTCAATAACCACTCATTTGGACAGCTTAATGTGCTGTACATGGGGCTACCCTTGAAGATGGTCTGAAGGCTGCTGTTAATGCCAGGCTATAACTTGTGATAGTTACACCAAACCTTCAAACTTTGTCAAGCCTGCCTGTTAACCACTGGACCAAATTCAATACCCTTCAACGTGATGCAGCCAAAATCTGGGACACCATCTTCCAGGTCTGAAATCCTGCACAAGTCATGTGACCCATGTGAGATCGCGGACCTGGAAAAAAGCACTTTTATCTGGCACAGCACCTGGAAATGCGTGTTTTGGGGCATTGCACAAGATCGTGGACCCAAAAAAATGCTGCCCAAAAGCATCTGAGAGCAAGGTGCTAAAAATGGCTGCCATGCTCTCATGGGGAAAAACGAGGATGTCCCAGTTTTTCCAGGCCAGTTGTCGGGTATGGTGTTGGTGTGCAAAGTCCAGTATGATGAGGCCCAAATACTTAAGAGGACGTACCTTCCCCAATTCGTGCAGACAGGTATGTTTTACCTATGAAAAATAGTGCTGAGCATCTTGGTCATTGCTTTCTTGCTTTCACTTTCTAGATTGTTAAGCCTGTTTTTCCTGTGGTGACCAGTGTTTGGGCAACTCAAGTAGATGCATGAATTAAGAACAATCACACACTTACAATTTCTATAGAGCTTTCAGTGTGTGTTACGAGACAATGAACTGGTAGACGTGGGTGTAGAGAGGGAGGTATATTTCTAGCTGGAATTCCTGTCAACCTGGGAAACGGCAGGAACAAAGGAACAATTCTGAGAGAGTTGTGTTTCCCCTCAGAAATGATGGCCTCAACTTCAGACTCCTCACTTCCATGGAAAATAAGTTATGAATGGAACTTGTACAAAGCTTTTTGGAACGGTTGCAGTAGTGTTGAAAAGTGATAATGAATGTATGTGGTCCTTGAACTCTGGCTTGTAAGAGAGAAAACTGTGGTCAACATCCATAGTAGGTACCAAGGCTGAAGCACTGAGTGTCTAGGATAGTAGCTGAGATGCTGGCAAAAGATGATGGCAAAGTTAAGGTGTAAGAGATCATTTTGAAGGGAAGGAAATGGAAGACTGACCATCTCCTGCTCTCCTATGTTTAGATTGTTGAGTCCTTAGCATGCTTGTAAAAATTAGGGTAAGCGGATGCATGCTTTGCATGCATAAAATAGCAGGATCCTGGTGTCTCCAGAGGGAAGGAATCAGATAGCAGGTAGAGGGGCCAGGTGAAGAAGAGGACAAGGGCTCCTGCAAGTTTGGTAGGTGGGTAGAAGAGGAAATTTGGCCCATATTTTAACTTGGTCTAAGGTAGCTTCACATGGTGTGTAGAATAGATATGCACTGTTTTCTCCATGCATATGGCCGATTTTGACATCTTGAAAGGTTGCATATCTTTCTACATCATTCATTCTAATAATCTGCCAGGAAAACAGTAGGTGTTGAATTGGTTGCGCTGTAGCCAGTGCATACAAATCTCCTGGAGTACATTTTGTGCCTTCAGCATACTATCCCTTAATCAAGTCCTCTCAAGATTCACTTCCTTTTCTGTTTTTGGATATGTCCATCTATTTATGAGTTTCAAGATGGGGTAGGGAAAAGTGCTCTCTGAAGGCTTGTTTTGTTTACTTCCTCAATAAGTCCTCTACTTTCAGGCAGCTGATTGTCTTGGGGTCTGAGCAACAGGAAGTGCTTTGTATTAAGCTACAAACAATGGTTATTCTCTGCCCCCCACCGCCTTTTGGCCTTCACCTGGAACTGGAAGGAAGTGCTTGTAATGAGGAAGGAAGGCAGGGCGTCAGAGGCTCCCACACTTGCAAGTTTCTATATCCAGAAGCCTGCAAATAGAGATGCTAGCTAGATGAAGGCACTATGGATACATGGTTGAGGATGATTACGTACTCGGCCTTTCCCAAACTAATCTTCTGTACTTCCTTCCTCAGATCTGAATTTAGATATGAGAGATCCAAGTCCTCATTATTTTAGGAAAGAAAGAATTTAGGCTGCAATCCTCTATTCACTTACCTGGGAGAAAGCCCCATTAAATGTTATAGAGTTTACTTCTGAGTAGACATGCATAGGGATGCACGGTTTCTCATTAGATTTTCCTGTGCTATGTTTAACAACTTGAATGGAAGGTTGGTCTCTGGTCAGCCAGGTGCCTTCCAGATGTTTTGGACTACAACTCTCACCAGGCTCAGTTAGCTCATTTCTGCTGACTAGGGTTGATTGGAGTTGTAGTCCAAAACATCTGGAGGGCACCAGGCTGGCAAAGTCTGGCTGCTCTAGATAGCATTCCATGCTCAAGCACTGAAACATGTCCTGGTGAAAGGGAAGTGACAAAAACTTCTTGTACCTCTGTGTTTTCCTTGGGTCTTGTGTTATTTGTTGGGTTTTTGGACAGGATAGCATTTGAACATGGAACAAGAAGCATGGCACATCCGACTTCTGCACAAACCACAGCAGGGTCTGCTTTCTGATCTCAAAGTAGGCAAAAGGTAAAGGAGATGCACACCATTTACTGGGTACTAAGCGTAGATTTCCAGTACCGTGGGCTAGAACCATTTCCCAAATGTTTGTTATCTCAGCAGAGTTCAAGATAAAAATGGCCCTAATACTTCCTGTACCCAAACATTAAAAAATACTCACAAATTTAGAGAAATGATCAGCTAGAAGGCTAGCATTAAAAAACCAAACATCCCTTCCGGTTAGGCTACGCCTAGTGTGTGAACGCTTAAAAATAAACGCCATATGGCAACCCTAGCAAGTGTGAAATGTTCACTAATACTATAAGTAGGTGAGGGAGTCCACATAACCTGCTCAGTGAACTAAGAAGCTGGGAGGGGCGATCCTTGCATTCACCTGTTCAGATCCCTCCATCTCCTCAATCTACTTTGATGTGGATTTTTCAGTTCCTCTAAAAGGATGCAGAGATGCCTTTTGATGTTTGTTTGATTCCCCCTTTTGAGGGCTTTGTGGCTTCACAGCCACAGCTGATTAAGCTGCTATGGCTAATATTGTTTATTGACATACAATCTTCTTGCATCCTTCACAGAGAGCTTGAGCTAGCTGAGTTCCTGGAACCTTAACTCTTCCGCCAACATCAGACCATGGGGTGATCCCTTTAATATTACTCCCCCCCCCCCAAGCCAATGCTCTTTTAGCTCTTCAGCCTAAGGGGGTAGGAGAGAAATCCTCAAAGAGAAGCTTAAGGTGTTACTCATTAGGGAAGTATAGTCTAAGGGCCACTGTGCACAAAATTACCGTACTTGGTATACAGACATGCCAACTATGTAAGAAAGTCGTGGGAAAATAAAATTCAGCTAAGACACATTAGAGGCTGTTTCCCTTTCACTCATAGTTCTTTGAATCCCACCTGACATACCTATTCAGATGTACAAAATAGTTCTGCTGATTCTGCTCTTCAAGAATACCAGGCATTTGTTTTTGTTAAGAAGAATTTATGAACTATTTAATCAAGGAATCTCTCAGTGATGTACAGGTACATAGAATAATGTAAAGCAAATTATCAGTATACAAATAAATTAGCCAAGTTTATATATACAGTGGACACTTGGGTTGCGAACGTGATCCATGCGGGATGCACATTCACAACCCGCAGCATTCACAACCCGCGTCTGCACATGTGCAGGTTGCAATTTGGTGCTTTCTGTGCATGTGCAAAGCGTGATTTAGCGCTTCTGCGCATGCGCAACCGCCGAAACCTGGAAGTAACCCATTTCGGTTCTTCCAGGTTTTGGCGGTCCGTAACCTGAAAAAACGCAGCCTGAAGCATCTGTAACCTGAGGTATGACTGTAACTTGTTCACATATATATAACTTTGTGTTTATATATTTTTGTTCTAATTATTTATTAAATTTGTATACCACCCTTCATCTGTAGATCTCAGCCAAAGTTCAAAACACCAGTGCACATACATTTGTCTCAGAAATCCTCACAACTACCATGTAAAGTAGGCCAGTACTTTACATTTTGAGTTTTCCCTGGGAAAGGAGTGGGGGGTAAGCGGAAAACTGCTCAAACCAATATTTTCTAGGCATAGGGTAAGCAGAAGTGTAGATGAACCCTTCCTTCCTTCCTTCCTTCCTTCCTTCCTCCCTCCCTCCCTCCCTCCCTCCCTCCCTCCCTCCCTCCCTTCTATCCAAAAGACCTCTGAACACTAGGTAGGAGGAGAGCGCTCATTATGCACATGGACTCTCAGTTCAACAGATGGTAGGAAATGATGTTTCTGCCAAAGAGACAAGGCCAGCATGGGGGGCCCCACCCCGCACTTCAGTGATAGAGGGACAAGAGGGGAATGGTGTTCCAGGCTAATAAGCCAAAAAGTTGGAGGAAGGATGTTCCAATTGACACATTGCCCAAAGAAACAGCATGTGTTACCATATTTGGGCATATCATTGGCAGCAATTATTTAAGTGTGTATTTGCAGTAAGCTAGCACAAGCGACATTCAATATCCCTGGTGTAGCTGACACTGTGTATGTTGCCTTAAGCTGCAGTTGTCATGAGCTGCACCCTAATGGCATAATGGAATTGCTTCAAAATATATAGTTGGGAAACTGTTTCTGAATTTCACCCTTCTTTAGAAAGGGGTTGAAACAGGAATAAACCACAAGACTGTTTGTCAGTGTGGTTTTCAGCTAGATGGATTTACATTATACATATTTCACTTTAGAAAACGCCTTGGAGATTGATGGGTTGGAAAGACCCGCTGCTATTAGCGATGGGTGTTTCTCAATGGGATCGTATAGTTATACCCCTTAGAGGTCTAGGAGGGACCAGACCATGTCACTTCCATCCCAGTACCACATCTCTTGCTGCATGACCCAGCTGACCTAGGCAGGATACAAATTCAGATATGTTTAGGAGCTTCAGCATTGAAGAAACTTTTGGGGAACCCAAGATGCTGGAAGAAAAGGGGCTTAAGGTGTCTAGTTAGCTTGCTCCTTGAAGCTGCCACATTGAGACTGAAGCTGAACGAGTTTAAACATTAAGACTTTCCTGTTCTCCTCTCTCTTGGGTGGCCTCTACTCAGCAACCGGGTGCCCCATGTTGGATCACAGGCCTCTTTGATTAGTGGTTCTTTCTCCTCTTTAATTTTTGCATATGCATTTAATGAGGCAGACAGAAGGAAGGAAGGTAAAACAAAGGCGCTTTTAGACTCTGTTGATACCCTAGCCACTCGCATCCCAGAGCTCTCCATCGATGCGGCACTGCATGAGCTCACTGGCTTGCAATTTTTGGTCACAACAAGCCGGCCTTATCAGCCCAAAGACTGGCAATCTGTTTGGGGATATTTTTGTCTCTTTGCCCACTCTGTTGCCTGCTTTATGGTCATCACTTGATGAGCTTGCAGTTGACCCTTCCCAGTCTGTTGGGACTCTGAAGCTGATGAGCAAATCTGCCCCATTAAGATGCTTGGTAATCTGCTTACTCAGGAATGAGAACGTCTCACATGCCTGGGTCTCTGTGTATCTACAAACTGGGCATTGTGTGGTGCTTGGTCCAAAACATTTGTTTCTGACACCTAGGGATTTAGAAGAGCTAGCTAAGAATAGCACTTCTAGTTTTTAGCACTTTTTAGCATCATGTTGTGGCTAAGAAGAGACTGGCACATGAACCAGATCTCTGATTCAAATGTCCCCTCTGGCATGAACTCTTTATGTGGCATTAGTGAAGTCACTATTATGTACCCCCCCCTACTCAGCTGCAACTGCAAAATGGAGATGATAGTCCTGATTTACATTGCAAAATTGATTCAGCTGTAATAAACCATAGTTTAGCATTACAGAAAAGAGCATGTTTGAGCCTTGGGTGCAAGCACTTTTCCTCCTCTCCTTCTGACATGGGTGTGAGGAGATTGGAAGCATCTGTTTCTTGGTTTAAACTAACCACTGCTACGCCCAAACCGGGCCAACATATGGTTAGTTTAAAGTATGGGCTGCTGAAACAAGGTAAGATCAAATTGTGGTTTCTGACCCTGGCTTAGGTTCAGTAAACAGGCTGAAGTTCCCAGTTTGGAAGTAGCAATGCTTACAACCTTCTTCTTGTGGCTGCACCAGAGGACTGTGTCCAGGACTGAAGCAGGCCCATTCCTGTTGAGCTACAGGGGTAGCCAACATTGTGCTCTTCCTTGCCATGGGCAGCATACAAAATGGGCATGGATGCTGGGAACTGTCATCCAACAATCTTTGGATGCTGGGAACTGTCATCCAACAATCTTTGGAGGGCACCTTGTTGGCTGTGCCAGGTGTAGCATTGTATTCAGTCTGGGCCAGATAGTTGTAAGGAATATTGAGGGTGAGGATGTTCATCATCTTTACAGTAGGATGGCTGTTTCAAAAGTGACCTCGCTGCATTCAGTCCAAACACAGCTTTCTTCTCCAGGATCTCTTTTCTGGGGAGAAAAGTGTTCTGCAAGTATGCAGCGCAAACCAAGTAGGGGGGGGGCACTGGTTGCCTGACTGGCCACCCATGATGTCACACTGAAACCTTCCCCCAATTAAATCCCAAGGGAGCAGAAAAGACCATTTATGTATGCAATCACCACTGCACAGATGTTAATGGCCCAGAAATGGAAAGAAGATAAAGTCCCTACCAGAGAAGAATGGCAGACCAAGTTGATGGATTATGCCGAAATGGCTAAAATGACCAGAAGAATCAGAAATCAGGAAGACCAAATTTATAATAAGGAATGGGGGAAATTTATAACTTATCTTAAAAACCATTGTAAACAGTTAAAATCGTTAGTAGGATTGGAATATCACTTGCAGATTAATGGTGAATTTTGGACACAATGGAGAGGTAAAAGATTTGGGTTATCATAAAAGATGCAGGAGGAAATGATTAACAATAGGATCCACAAACGGGAGGATGGAAGTCCAAGACATTCCTTGGAATCTGGTTTTTATGTTGTATGTTGGATATGTGACTGTAAAATTTTAATCTGAAAAACCAAATAAATAAATATATATTTTTAAAAAGCAACCTTCCCCCAATCCCCATATGACTTTTTCCGTTTCATCCACCCCCCTTTTTTAAGTAGGAGGCAAATGAATGAATGAATATACATGTAGCTATTAAAAAAAAAAAAAGACCAGGCAACTTGTTTAGAAGCATGAGGTATGGGACAAGGTGAATGGCTGAACCGTTGTTCAGTTTGTTGGTATGTACAGCTGTCATTTCAGTTGCCAAGTCAAGAGGAAGCTGTGCTCACATTACAGTCCACAGAACCACTGTAAGTCCTCTTTTTATACATACAGTATATTCCATCCGACTTCCTCTGAATATAGGGCCAGAGTTGTGGCCCTATGTTGAGGGTGAGTCAGCTAAATCACAGCCCGCCATTATAAACGAGAAATTGGCCTCAAGTTTCTGAGCTTCCATGGGCGCTGGCTGCAATGACAACTTCTTTGGCATTTCCGCACACTCTGGCACTCATCATGGAGTCCCATTGCGCCAGACATTTAGTCATGCTGGCCACATGACCCAGAAAGTTGTCTGTGGACAAATGCCGGCTCCCTCAGCCTGAACAAGATGAGCGCCGCACCCCATAGCCACCTTTGACTGGACTTAACCGTCCAGGGGTCCTTTACCTTTCTTTAGCCCAGAAATGGAAGACACTACTGGACTTAAATTTCTCATTGCTATGCAATAATATGTGGACTCTATAGCAGAGAAAATAATTCACAATTAACACGTTTTTAAAGGTAAGTAAGACCTTGAACATTTCTGCACCATCTTGTGGGATTTAATTCCTTATGTGTCAAATTTGGATATACCAAACACTCTTTCCCCCATAAAATCATGAAATTTGGCTTTCATGATGTGCTTTTCTTTTTCTACACTATTTGCTCTCTATTTATTTGAAAAATACGACACCTGTACTGCTTCTGCATTTTGTAGGTTTTGTGGATTATAGTTGGAAAAAGGTTTAACAAATTGATTTGAAACTTAGCAATGAGCTACATTTGAGGATGGTTCATACCGAATATGGGGTAGATAGAATAAGAAATGGCTTATTTTGAATGAGCTAAATGCTTGACAAGTGACTCTTGGAAATTAACAAGTAGTGTTGCATTTTTTATTCCATTGGCTTTACCAGGTTGATTTTTGAAGGAAAATTTCTGTGCTTGTACTGCAGTTTGGGAGAAATTTTGTTGTGTTAGGTCAAGTGGAACACCTAGTAAGTGACATGACCTATAAACTGTTTAAAATGTTTGTTCGTTTTTATGAACAGGGTATTTTTGCAGCCAGTGTGCCCAACACATGTTCATTGTGAACCTGTTCTGAGAATGCTGAGCAAAAGCAAAACACAGACAGTGAAGTGTTGTGAAGTGACATTTTTTGGCACTGTAAGGGGGCAGAAAATAAATTGGGAAGGGGGGAGAGAAGTTGACAGAGGCATAAAAGTTTATCTTATTCCATTTATATCCCTATTTTCTTCTAAGGATCTCAAGGGTAGCATACATTATTTTCTCCCTCCTTATTTTATCCTCACAACAACCATGTGAGGCAGATTAGACTGAGAGGCGGTGACTGGCCCACGATCACCCAGTGAGCTTCATGGCTGAGTGACTATTTGAGAGGGTTGCCACATGACCCAGTTGGGTGTGTTTAAGTATCTAGCATTTACAGAAGCAAATCACTCTGCTCCCAACCACCATCCAGCTGCAGTGTGGTGGTGAACACATTCATATTGCTTAAATAAAATGTCTGTTAAGGGTGAGGCTGCAATTTATTAGCATTTTGGAGCTTCAGTAAACATGGAAAGCCCTTAAAAACATTACTTTTTGTGTTAATTGATATAATGTATATGAAGTTCTTTGAACATTCTAAAGGCAGAATAGGTGCTAAATATTGCTGCAGTTAAAGCGCATAATTTCTAACCCAGATCAAGGTTGAATAGTTTATGTTGGTGGTTACTTGCAAGAACTTGGTTGGGAGATGAAAAAGATTAATAAATGATGTCAGCCTTTATTGTGGGTTTATAGTATATGTGTTGAATAGACCTTTGTTCTTGTAGACCTTTCTGAAGGGACCATGCATGTGTATGTGCAGGTCACTCCAATGTACAACTTGTGGGGTATGTTCAGTGCTGACCTCATGCACTGATGGTACTGCTTGGCAATGAGAGCTTTTAGCCATGCACATTAGGTGCACTTTTTCTGTTAAACCTGCACCCTGGCCAACCAGATTCTGGTGTTCTCCACTCATACCCCTTTCCTTCTCCCCACCTGCTTCTCATTCCAGTATTCCTGAAACCCATTGTTGGTGACACTAAGTGAAACCCTACACTGGAGCTGCCCAGATCCCTTTGCTTTGTATCCACCTAAGCTGAAAATCTCATATTTAGATTGGCCCCGCCGAGGGAGGAGGAAACAGAAGGCTTGTGAAGATAAAAGCGCATCAGCGGAGGTGGCAGGAAAAGGCTTATGATGGTTGCATCCTGAACATGCTGTGAACTGGGATTAGGAACCTGTTCCCAGCAACGGGAGACCTAGAATTTGTGGATACAAATTGTGAGCTGGGGGACAAGACGAAAGCTGAGGGGTACCTGGAGATATACAGTGGTACCTCTAGTTATGAACTTAATTCATTTTGGAGGTCCGTTCTTAACTAGAGGTGTGCTTTCGCTCTTGCTGCCGCTTTGCCGCTGGCACGCAATTTTCGTTCTAATCCTGGGGCAAAGTTCTCAACTCAAGGTAACTCTTTGAGGTTAGTGGAGTTTGTAAACTGCAGCATTTGTAACCTGAGGCATTTGTAACTCGAGGTACCACTGGACTTGGTTTTCCTATGAGTATCCACTATTGAGCTATGGTGCTTTGTCCTTTAAATAACACATACAGAGAGAAAGAGCTACTTCCACATGGTAGCATCCCATGCTCAAAGGGAGCACATGACAATGTGGACTATGTGGACAGGGCCACTCATGTGGGAAAGGTCATTCAGATGTGCATATGAAGCCAGTGGGGGTTTAGATATAGCCTAGCATAGAGGTAGGGGGGTGGGAATACTGAGTAATAATAAATGATTCCCTTTTAGCATGCAAGGTGGAATCCAACATAGTGCTATGGTGAATGTTCCATCAGCACAGGGATTTCTCTTTGTACAATGAAACAGTCTCCTTCTGTCCTCCCCTCCCCTGTGTGCCCCCTAAATCTGTTCCAGGGGTTCTCCTATTCCTCTGGAGCACCTTTGGGGAGGGTGCAGGGTGAGGAGGGGGAACAGTCCCATTGTGGAAGCAGAAATTGTTGCACTGACAGAACTCCTTAGTAGAATACCACCCCTAGCATTTAGCAGTTTGCGATTCCAAATTCCATCAAGGCTTTCTGTTTTAGACCTTGCTAAGGAATGAGATGGGAAAGGCTCTTGACTATTTGGGATTACACAAAAATATGTGCTAAAATAATGAAGAGGGAGGCAGACCGAAAGAAAGGGAGGCATGTGCATTGTCCTTGAACAAAATGAGTCCACCTGTTTCATAGGGGTTGCTGTTCCCCCAAATGTGTTCCAGGGTCTGTTTTTACCTCCCAAGACAGTCCACACTCTGGAAAATACACGTGGGCTCCATTATGAAAAGGCCTGTGTTGTGCCCTCCTTGAGGATAATGGAAAGCTCTGCAGCACAACATGGGTGAATAGTTTTGCAGGGTGTGGGTTCACTTGCCGCTCACAAGACATATATTCACAAGAGGACTGAAGTTCTTTTGTTCTTCTGGTGTTTGTATGGAAATGTGCACAGTGTGTCTGAACAACCCACCTTACTCGCCATCCCCATCAGTCAGCACTTTGGAATTCACCTTGCGGCCAATGCTGCTGAGAGCTTGCTCCCTGTGGCAAGAATTTGCCTTATAAAAACCTGGAGCTTTGCAGGGAAGCTACCTGAGTCAGATTGTGACTCACAGCAAAGCTTCTGTGGCTCATGCTTGTTACTGATGCAGAATCTCTGCATGCTAACTATAGCGCTGAAATGAAGGACCTCTTCCTCAGCAGATGGCTGCCAGGGTATCGAGTCAACCTCTGTTCAGCTTCCAGCTGCAAGCTGACTGGCCACATACCCATTGCAAAAAAAAAGGAAATAAACAAAATCCATCATCCAAAAATGATGACAAAGGAGGACTCTGATTTGCACAAAAATTGCATTTGCTAACTTATTTCTATAGATGCAAGTGTAGAAATAAATTACTATAACTTAAATAGAACTAAAATACATTTCTCCATTGAGGGGAAGACGGTGACTCATTTGGCTGCTCAATCAGCTGGCCAGCTGCTAACTATTGATGGCCAACTTCATGACCCCTGATCTACCTACTTATAGTTCTTTGTCTTCAAACTGAACTTCAACAAAGGAATTCAATTAGAGGACTGCCATCTGTGCTACTTATCAAATTCTCACTTGGACGGTTTTGCACATAGGAGCAGTGGTGCATTGCTTAGACCTGAATGACTGGATATCTGGGTAAGGCCAAGGCTTTACACGACAAGCAAACTTTCCTCATGAAACTGGCTTCTGTATTGCACAGTGCCCTCAAGTATAAAAAGGGGGCTTGTGTATCCAGACAGTTTTTGGGGTGTGCCAGGAAGTTCTGTGGCAACTGCTTATCCCTGACTTGTGGCCACAGTGTATCCCAGAGTGTTTGGAGATGCTCTCCATCCCATAATACATACTAACCCTGTGCCCCACCCCCCATGGTAGAACAATGGCTTCTATTGTCCCCTGGGACACTCAGTAGGCCCTTGGTTGCAATTAGGACCGCATCACATCCTCTTTATGGCAAATGCATGTTATAAATTATGAATCTTGGCTTATAGGAAGCCTTGGGGCTGTGCACTTCCAGTATCCTCGTAATGACACTGAAGAAGGGGATAAAGATAGATTATCAGGATATATCATCCAACTCCAAAGGGTTTGCTCTGTGCTTTGTGGGCCTGGAGGTTGGAAGATTTTAGAGAAACCTGAGTGAGTGATCTTGCCTAATGGCTTGGTGCAGTTCTCTCTTGTTCTTCTCTTTAACTAAATCCAAGCACCTCCTAGCCATCAGGAATTAAAACCAAGCGTTTGCCTCCTGTGCTGGATAGAAATAAAGGCTCGATAGAGTGTTCCAGGAATGAGGAATGAATTATTAGAAAGTGCAATGCTCCCACTTCCACTCAGCCTAAATCAAGCACTTCTAAGTCCCATTAAACTCCACCCATGTTAAGCATGTTTGTGGCTCTCCCATGTTGAAATCACTCATTTTGACTGAGTGATGTCCCAATTTTGTAACAATTCTTGCTTCATAAAATGCATGTTGCAATCCCATAAGGTGGGATACGCACCCTGTCTTCTTTACCTTTTTGTAAAAAAAATAAAAAATTAAAAAGAGGACATATGTCTGTCTTTTTCCTCTGGCAGTCAGCAAACAGTTGCCTGCTTGTGGATCTCTGGTGTGGAACAGTGTGTGATGCTTGAGCCTTAAGGCTGCATCAACCCACATGTTCTAAGAATACTGAATGTATCATTGCCTTAATGCCTTGGACAACAAGAACCAAAGAGAGCAGAATTAGGGAAATGGGGCATCTCTTAGGACCTGTCCACACTTCTGCTTGTGCTGTGCCTAGAATGCGGTTTTCCACTTGCCCTGCTCCTTTCCAAGGGAAAACCCACTCTTTAGCGATAGATCAGAGCAAATGGCAATTGCTCTTGCTCCGACTGAGCACTAAAGACCAGTTTTCCTAGAAGGGAAGCAGCGGGACAAGAAAAAGTGTGGATAAGCCCTGGATGAAGATGTCTGTGAGAGCATCTTTTTTTAAATGAAGGTTTTATTTAAGCAGAGAAGGGTCAGCATGACCACAGCCATGGATTGCAAAATTGCTTTTTAAATTAAAATGGCAAAAAAAGGCTTATCAAGATTAGCATCTATTTTCTGCATTAAGAAAATAACAATGGGATGGAATGTGCAAGCTGGGAGTGTGTGAGAAGAACATGCATAAATGCAGGCCAGTGTTGTAAGATTCTCCCCTTTGAATAATATAACAAGTGTCTCTGAAACCAGTTCTGTATCCCTGAAAAATTATGCTGCCTCTCCCGACTCTGGCATTTCTTCCCTTCTGGACTCATTTCGCTGCGTACTTGTCTTCCGTGAGTTTGCTAGGAATCTATTTAGCTAATTTGTGAAGCGTTTGGTATAACAAGCATCTGGACAGTGCATGGTGCTGTTCAAATAATCTCAAAGAAACAGATGAGTATCTTGCTGCCGAGCTATTCAAATATTCAGAAGTGGAGGGCCTCATAATGCATCAAGAGTTCATTAGGCAATGAGCCAGCTGCTTAGTAGATTGCATTGCAGTAGATAATATATGTAATACCATCCGTCTGAATAGTGTTGGGGATGTGAGGAGACAAAAGCCACTGAGAAGAGTGCCCTGTTGGCATGAGAGATTGTGCTCTGGAGAAATTACCCAGCTCCTTCCTCAGTAGCTTCTTCCCTGGGGTAGTGATGCAGTGCAGTGGTAAACAGACTTAGCTATGAATCAAGAACTCCCAAGTTTGAATCTCTGCTCTGCACTCACAAGCAAGCAACTTGATCTCAGCTTACTTCCTCACCCCACCCTTCTGCAACAATAACTTACCTTTCAGGGTTCTTGTGAGGATTACAAATAGATGGTGCAAATGAAGGGTTTTGGTGCTATCCAAATGTCTATTATTACCATCATTGTTATCATCTGCTTGCATTCCATGCAGAATTTGGAGCCTTGAGGAGTCACATATAGGAACCTGCAATGGAAAGGACAACCCCAATCCTGTTATTACTCAGTGAATGTTCAGCATCCTGGGAATCTCTGTTTTGTTTTTATGTTTAAGCTTTTGGCCCTTTGGAATTGCAAAGTTAGGCTTGAGATGCCAAAATTTCCACTGACAAGGGCTTTAGTGGCCTGCAACCCCTTGATTCTTTGACTGGCAGAAGCAAATAGTCTGCTTCATTGGTACATTTTATGCAAGCCATTGGTTTTCTTGACTCAGGCAGAATACACTGTATACAAAGCCCTCCTTTTCATAGCAGTTGCTGTCTGTATTGCAGATGGTGACCGTTTTCTCTTTTGGAATGTTATTGCCTGAATTCAGCAGCCTTCCCAAACAAGCTGATTCCCCATCAAAAGGCTGACTTTTAAAAGTGGAAAGGTATTTCTTAACTATGATGGGAGAGATGCACTTTATACCACTTTCTGAGGATGAGGTGACTTCTCTTAAACAACACCCTCGTGTGCAGCTGGGTGTCAAGTTAAAACAAGCTGAGCTGTTTAAGAAATTTAATTGTAGCCTCGTTTTATTCTTTGTCTGAAACTGCTTCCCTCCCCTGCCGCTGCAAAACATTTATAAAACGGTGCTGTTTAATTTTGGGTTAACTGTGTTGTGTGCTGTAGTTTGCATGTTGTTTCCACGGGATGTTCAGAAGAGCAAGTGAGCCCTGGCTGAGTGCATAGTCAGTCATCATTGAGCCAGGGAACATTATTTGGAAGAGTCTTTTAAAAGGAACGTGATAATTAAAGGATGCAAGTTGTCAGAGCAGTGAAGAGGGCAGCACAAGAAAATGTGCCTCTGCATGGAGCTTTGCAGTCTTGCAGAATTATCTTTGGGAGATTGCTTTCCCCCATCCTACATTCAGGGGCTGGCTCTTGAGATTGGAGCATGTAAATGCGATCCTTGAGGAGAGCTAGCTTGTACAAAGCATGCAAAAGCAGTGCTCTCAGGCTGTGGTGACTGCTCTGATGAGGCATTTTACCTCAGTGTGTATGGGAGTGACCCTTCCATGAAAATAGGGAGACCTGAGGCACCTCTTCATATGCACCTACCTTGAGGTGATAGCCCCATAATTCATCAGAATAAAATTATATCCCTGCCTCACCAAATGGAAGCTTCCTGTGTTGAGGTTAAAGTGAGCGTTTACCTCTTCAAAGCACCCTCCACCAGTGTCGCTTCTCCCTCTCCCTGCTCGCCTTGGTACACTTGATCTGGCCCATCTTTTATATTCCATACGGTGTTGATGGAAACAGCAGGAATCTAACTTGGAGTTTGCCAACCCTTTGGAGACACTGGGCACCTTTGGAATTTTGAGAGCGTGCCGCAGCTACTCGTCACAAAATGGTAGCATATAACACAAAATGACTGCCACGTCTAAGGGAGCAGAAAAAGAAACAGGAACACAACATCATGTGGTTGTGCTCCCTGCCAGACCCCCGTCAATGGAAAATGAACTTCCACACTACCACACTCACTTACAGAGAGAAGGTTTTAACTGCCTCTTGTGCTTGGTGGATTTTTTAATGGACAATTACTGAGATCTTTTCCGGGTGCCATAGGTGGAACGGGTGGGCATGCTGGGGCCCATGGGTGCTGAGCTGGTGACCCCTACCCTAATTCGATTCTCTCCTTTTCTGCCCACAGTTTTGGATCAGCTCCTCCCTGAGCTTAACGTACTGCTCAAGCTCTTGGACCACGAATACTTGAGCTCCACCACAATGGAGAAGAAAACAGCCGTCTCAAATATCTTGCAGAAGCTGCAGCCCCCTGCAGGTCAGAAAGCCCTTGCTGCCATCTCTCACCCCTGCCCATCAGGCTGACCCCTTTTCTTCCTTTATTTGTTCTTTGTGTGATTCCTCAGGCTGAGGCAACCTTAAGGTACATTACACGTCTCCGCCTGCTGCATTGTGGCACGTCCCTGGCTCCTGACATGCCTGCACATGCTTTTGTTTGTGCAGGGTTCCTCTCTTTCAGTGTGAGGGAATGACAAGGGTGGACCACAAAAATTGTCCCGGTTGATTTGACTCCAGTAGCGACAGCCACAAGTTGTATAGCCAGCAGGGCCTGTTTCTTCCCCTTTAAAAAAAAAAATATGTCCCTGCCTTCAGGATTCTAAAGAGGCAAAAAAGTTAAGTTAAGGCTGTGTCATCTCGTACTTATTCATGAAAAATGACTTGAAGACTTTCTCTTAGCATGGAAGGAGATGTTGGTTTAGGGGGCGATTAAGATCTTCCCTAGCTGCTACTCGTCAGCAGTTGCAATAAATACAAAACAAAAGAGCATGTGTGTTTTTTTCCTCATGAAGTAAATGGCAGCTTTGGAGGAATGAGCAGTCTACCTCCAAGGAACCAGCATTGGGATGGGGCAGGAGTAGATTAAACCCTGTTCCCCCAGCGCCATAGTTCTGATCCAAATTGCCTCTGCCCACATCAATGAGTGGTTTTTATGTTTTGTTTTAAAAAATAATAACAACAGCCTTTTCATTGATCTCCCACAACTCATTTGGTTTGGCCCTATAAAGTGAGCTGAGGATATGCCATATGTAGACTCTGCATTTTCACAAGTGGAACCTACATGCCATTGTGCCTCCTTTATATAAACCTGGAGTGGGGATTCTCTGGTCCTCTGGATGTTGTTGGGCTATCACTCCCATCTTCCCTGACCATTGGCCAGTTGGGCTGGGGCTGATGCAAGTTGGAGTCCAGTGATACCTGGAGAGCCACAGGTTCCCCACACCTGATATAAGCAAGCAAAGAGAGAAAGAGAAACTACACTCCCCCATCTCCAAACTAAAGCAGTTTTTCTTTTTCCCCTGCACTTTATCCTTGTTTCATGCTTCCTGCGCCTGCTGTCCTCCACAGCAGCTCCTGGGTCACCCGCTCACGTCTGCTGTGTGTCCCATAGTCATTCTTCATAACGCTGCTGTACTTTGTCCTTTTGTTGCTAGAGGTACATGACTCCCTCTGGTGGAGCGTTCCATTGAGAAGGAGTCCTCCAGCTGACCTTGAGGAGCAGAGAAAAATAGGCATTAAACAATAGCTGGCAAGAGCTGACCATTATGTTCTTTGATATATTTGAGCCCTATGGATTCACCCAAACTTTCTCAATATTTGTGAGAGCTCACTGTGCAGGGCAGGTGAAATGGCAGGCTTCTGAAGATTGAAATGTCCCCACCTCGACTTTTTAGTGTTCCTTATCTTCTACGGCAGCTGTAGCACATATACCTTTAAGGAAGCCACTGAATAAATTCCATAACAAGAATCCCCAGGAGATGGGGTGGGGGTACCTAACAAGTGCCACATGGAGTGGGTGTATGTATGTCAGATCAGCAGGCACCTGTAGCTCTTAAGCCTGCAGGCAATGTGAATAGTGATATTTGGCCACGCTGTAGCTGGACAGGAATTGCCCTGTGTTTCCTGTGGAAATGTGTGTTTCCAGTAGCCTTCCTGCTGGCTGATTTCTGCTGAGAGATGAGATTTCCATGGGAAGAGCCAAAGGCTTGTATTCTCTCCTTGGGAAGCCTCTTGATTATCCCCTCTGCAAGACCCAGAACACAGATTCTGTGGGGTAGTCAGCTCTGAAAGAAGAGGATGGCTTCTCCATTTTGCTTTGCCACTCTCGGACAACAGTTATTTCGGCTTTTGTTTCTGAATCTTCCTGTGTGGGTGGGGAATAATCCCCACCCCTCTTCTCTCTCTCTCTCTATATATAAGCACTACCAATTTAAGTTGGCTAAAGTTCAGGATGTTAATAGCTGCTTTGAGGGCACTTTCATTGAGCTGGGAACAGAAGTGCAAAATTCATGTGGCACGAGATAGTGCTACAGGGCTTGTAAGATGTGGTTGGTAAATTCAGTCAATAAAACCTCTATTTTTTGTTCTGGTGAATTTGGCGTTGAATAAGGCTGGGTACATACAATGCTTTTTAAAGCATATCTTAAGAACATTTTTCTCCTCAAAGAATTCTGGGCACAGTAGTCTGTTAAGGGCTGCTGACAATTGTAGCTCTGTGAGGGGTAAACTACAGTGCCCAGAATTCTTTGAGGGAAAGAATGTGCTTTAAAGGTATAGTATGAATGCAGCCCAAAACTACCACTTTTGTTTTTTGTGAGTCAGACCCAGCTTAACAGGAAGGGGTTGAGAACCTGCTTTTTTGCATCATTGGCATTTTGCCTCTAAGCCCAGAGCAGTGGTTTTCAAACTGTTCTGGAGTAACTTGGCGTTCCTTGAAAGCTTACTGGGCTTCCTCCATGAGAAGATCTCTACTGAGATGAGAGCTTTCCTGGAAAGTTTCAATCTTGCTGCTTCTGATTGTCTCCCTAAAAAGGTGCAGCTGTAAAAGAATGTTGATATGTGCAAAGATCTTTCCAGTTTCATGCAGATCAACATTGAGACCCAATAGGCACCTTGCATGAACCGAATGTGCCTTAGAACACTTCTCAGAATCCTCTGTGACATGCAAAAATTCCATGCCAGACATGCTGATCTAGGAAGGATTCCTCGAAGCAAGAGTTCCCACTGGTTTAGCTCATGGTCTGATGCAATCATTCCTGTTGATGGCAATATCCTTTCTGACTTTGCAGGGAAGGAAATGAGCTACATGTACGTGAATACAGCGACCTTGCATAATGGCACTAGCTTTGTGGAGTCACTCTTTGAAGGGTTTGGTACGTACAGTGAACTGTTCCAACCTAATGCTGCTTGCCCAGAGCTTCCCTGCCTTTTATGCCGGTTTGGCCCTCAGCTGTCTGGATTAGCTGGTTACAAGTCCAAGCCCTGCACAACAAGTCTGTGGCCCTTGGCAGTGTCCTGTTCTTTGCATGATTCCCTAAACTTAAGGTGCTTCCCTCCACCTTTCCTCCTAACAATCCTTGCAGGAGAAATCCATAAAGGACGAGAAGGACCCATGAGTAAAAAGCTAAACCTTTGCAGCTGAAGGGGCCCTACCATCCCTCTCTGGTTATCAGCTGTTCTTGAATTCAAAGATACCTGTGATTCAATATCACCCTAGTATTCAGAAACCTGAGGGCTTGTGCAGACATATTTTTCAATATGTCTATTAAGAAGATATCTGTGAAAAATTCACAAAATATATTAATAAGTGGTTGGCATTAAACCCATCCTTACATTTAACATGCACTTAAAAGGGGGGGGGATAGCAGCCATGGGGTGGGTGGGATCATTAGCAGCAGGCAGGGAATAGTTTTAACTCTTCATAAAATCAAGCACTCATTGGAAGCTAATAATTCCATTGGAAGGAAATCCTCCATTGGCAGCTAGTTTTAGCAAAGTTGGTCTCATCCATTCTAGGACCCCCAAATTATAATTCCCCAAAATGCCTAGATAGACAGAGCATCAGGGTAGAGGGGTCAACTGCACAATTGTATAAACCTCATCCCAGAATGTGGCTGTTCTTCCTGACTTAACACTTTCTCCTTGACCTTGTCCCCTCTTTGAGTCCCTCCCCAAACCTTCTCATTTTCCCCATACCCCATAGTGGTTCAGGAGCAAGGGGATAAACAATTCCACAGCCCTGTACCATTGTGGGCGCAGGTGTTAGCATCCGTAATTCCTTCGGGCAGAGGGAGGGAGGGATGTCCATAGGGGCTCTGTAATGCAACACAGAGATTGCATGTGAGATTTGATGGTGGCATTGCTCAGTGACTGTCTTCCAACCTTCCTACCAGACTGCAACCTGGGCAATCTTCAGGACATGCAAGAGGATGATGGGGAGGTGAAAGAAGGCATTAACTTGGAACTTTCAAGGAGCCAGCCTGCTAAAACAGTAAGTCCTTGCAACTCTCAGTTTTCCACTGCTGAACCTAGGAAGCTGCCTCATACAGAGTCAGACCATTTGTCCGTCTTGTTCAATATATCTGTGGCCCTAACAGGCTGAAGTTTTCCAGGGTTTCAGGTCAGGGAAACTTTTCCAGCCTTGCCTGTAGGTGCTGGAGAGTGAATTTGAAATATTTTGCATGCAAATCATATGCTCTACTGCTAACCTGTTCCACTTTAGGCTCTAATGATGCTGTGACTGGTTATGGCAGAGCACTTGATATCTGGAGAGGAACTACAAAGAACACCTTGCTAAGGTTCTGCAAAATACAGCTTACCATGGAGGAAAGCTGTATTGACATTCATTTGTTTTCCTAATGTTGTTTCCAGTGCTGCGGTTAGCAGGAACAGATCAGTAAGGAAGGGAGACTTACATTTTTGTGCCATCTTCTCCTCCCATATGCATTCCAGGGATAAAAATCCTAGCTGTGCATTTGATCTTTGCCCATCCCCTTTCAGAAATGCACCTGATCTACACTGAGACCTGGGTGCAGTCACTGGAGGACACAAGGTGAGGCTGGAGACCAACAAGAAGTTTTCTTCTTGTTGTTTTTTCTGGAGAGCTGAAGGCAGTCTGAAAGAGGCATTGCCACTTGTGGTATGTTCCCTCATCCCACTCTTGCCTCCGAGGAACAGATTTGTCAGCATCTTGTATTGTTTTAAACAAACCTGTTTGGCCAGAAGCAATAGTGGGACAAAAGAAGTGTGTCTGTGCAACAACTGCACGGTGAGAAGGGCAGCCTCTGTCAAACCACTTCTAACTTTTTTAAAAAGGGAATTGTCTGTCTCCAGTCTAAGAGAAGGCTTGGTGGCAATTTGCCATGTCTGGGAGAGAGGAGGTGGCAGAGAAACACAGAAGTTGCCCATCCGTTGTCCGAATGGGAGTGGTTCTCTGAAAGCGAGCCATGCATAGGGTTGTTTCCAACAAAGTGCTACTCGGAGTAAACCCATAGAAATCAATGGGTTTAGTCATGTCTAGTAATTTCAGTGGACCTATTACAATTATGGCTAATGTTGGACACAATCCATAATTATATTCCTGTGCTCCCAGTTCAGTGCTCTTAAGTCAGGAATAGGCAGAAGGTAGCACCAGAAACACCTGGTGTGTTTTTTTATTTTACTTATTTATTAAATTTGTATACCTCCCTTCATCTGATGATCTCAGGGTGATTCACAAAATAAAAACACAAAATATATAATTTCCAATAGATCAGCAAGGATTTCTGACTTTCAGTTGTTTAACAACAAAATGACTCCCATTCCCTCAAATAGACTGCTGAAATAAAGTAAGCTCAGGGTAACTGGGAACGGGTGCTTGTGTAGAAGCATGTTGTGCTCAGCTCAGTTTTGATACTAAAAGCAGATCCCCCTTCTCAGCAGCTGTTCATTCTAATTCTACATGTCTTTGGCACCTGGCTTAAGTCGGTAGATCTTGGGATTCCAGTAAAATGCAGAGCAGATCGTGCAAGCCTGTCCCTGCTCTGAGTCACAGACAGACCCATCACAAAGAACCACAGTGAAGGCTGTGCTTTGGGGAGGACAAGGCTGTGTTCTACCTTTGCTGTTAGAGGCAGTGTGCCTCACAAATGCCAGCTGTTAGGAATCACAAGAGAGGAGAGCGTTGCAGCGCTTGGGTTCTGCTTGTGGGATTCCCATAGGCATCCAATTTGTCTGTGTGAGAACAGAATACTGGACTGCATGGGCATACCCAGTTGCCAGATTTATAACACCACAGACCTCTCCAGGTCATCCATGCTACCTCTTCCCTCTCACAGGTATCTGGGGAGCCACCTCCACCATTGCCCACCACTCCTCCTCCGGAAGATTATTATGAGGAAGCCCTGCCACTGGGCCCAGGCAAAGCCCCCGAGTACATCACATCCCACAGTAAGTCTAATTGGGAGCTGGAGAGAGACAGAGAAAGCCAGCCAGCTGTCTGGGTCCTGGCATGGCTTTGTGTGCTGGCACTCCCATATCGACCTAAGAAAACAAAGGCTCCTCCCAGGTGTCTGACAAGTGACAGGCTTATAATTTATAGGCCCCAGGGAGGGAAATGGCACTGGGGAGGGGGGCTGGGCTGTCACACTCCCTTTTCCTGCTTCCCTGCCCTCTCCACCCCCAGACTCTCAGATGTCACAAGCAGTTGTTTGCTCAGACTTGCCTGGAAATGTGTCACTAAACCCTGAGTGGCAGGAATGTGAAAGGCCTGAGCGATCTCTCTCTCCGCCTGTTAGGTTAGAGAAAAGCAGAGAAATCAACTTAGCACCTGCTCTTGTTTCCCTTGCCTCTGATAGAAGACTGAGCCAGGGGCAGATTGACTATGAAACTAATGAAGCTTCAAGATTTCTCATCCTGGAGGGCTCCCAGAAGCAACTTTAGCCCACCTTACTGAAAAGCTTTGGGTCTAGTAGACCCAATTTTTGAGCTGCATGACTCAAATGAATTATTTTTTTGCTGCATATTATTTCAGCAACCCCACATACAGTGGTACCTCTGGATGCGAACGGGATCCGTTCCGGAGCCCCATTCACATCCCAAAGCAAACGCAACCCGCGCCTGCGCATCTGCGTGTGCGTCGCAATTCGCCGCTTCCACGCATGCATGTGACGTCATTTTGACCATCTGCGCATGCGCAAGCAGCGAAACCCGGAAGTAAAGCGCTCCATTACTTCCAGGTCGCCGCAGCGCACAACCCGAAAATACTCATCCCGAAGCTACTTCAACCCGAGGTATGAATGTATGTTGTAAAGGTGTGGGGATCTGTGGTGGAACAACCTCATTAAAGAAGATAGCAGTGGTTGCCCAGACCTTGTTGCTGGTTGCAAATGAGCCCCCATAACAGTTCAAGCTTCAGGGCCCCCAAAATGTAGACCCGCCACTGCACTGGGCCCTGAGTTATGTTCCCAAAGCATGGGCAGAAAATTAGGAGATTTCTTGTGTGCCTCGTTGCATCAAAGCCACCAGCAATGTCAGGAATGGGGGAGGCCTGCCATGCAGGACTCTGAGAGAAAAATCGCCCCTGGCAAAGTCCAGAAGAAACCAAGAAGGCAATGGCGGGGAAGGGAGGGAAGTTCTTTCTTTAGGAGTGTTTTGTGCCCCGGTGGGATGTAAGGAAAAACCAGGCTGAAGGGACTAGAACTGAGTTCTCATTCGCCCTGTGTGGGGATGAGGGATATGTGTTGGAGGGCGTGTCAGGAAGCAGAGCACTTTTTCCAAGCAGAAGCCATTAAATGGATCATTCAGCACCCTGTACATGATGCCCCTTCTTCTGTGGGTGGGGTTCTGGTGTCTGGTGGCCATTTGGGAAATGGCGGAGGAGAGCCACGGACACGGCTTCCAGTTTTTCCCCCCAGAGTCCTGTTGCCTCCTAATCCCATTGCCTGCCTTTTTTCTATCTTCATTGGAGGTAAAGGCTGTCCTGTGTAAACTTCTCGAAGTTGATCGGCTTATTTCAGCACTGCCTTCCAATAAAATCTTCCTCACTGCCTTTGTGCTACAGAAGGAACAGACACAGTGGAAACCTCTGGGGCTCATCCACACTTGCATTTGTCCCATGATTTCAAGGCACGGGTCCAAGAAGTATTTCTTTTATCTCACCACTTCCCCCAGGAAAACCTGCTGTTTAGCACTGAGTCGGAACAAACATCCATCAGGTTTTCTGATTCAGCAGTCAACAGCGGGTTTTCCCAGGGAAAGTGGTGGGATAAAATAAAACGCTCTTGGACCTGTGCCTAGAAATCACAGGGCAAACAGAATAAAGCACCGGACAAACAGAAGAGTGGGTTAGCTCTGTGTGTGTGTTCATGCAGTGGTCTAACGTGTCATCTGCTTCTTCTACAGATAGCTCCAGTCCCCCCAACTCCATAGAGGATGGGTATTATGAAGATGCAGATAGCAACTATCCCCTCACCAGAATAAATGGAGAACAGAAAAACTCTTGTAAGTAGTGCTGCAAAGACATGTATTGTATAACCGCAGGTGGAATGGGACACTTGGCCTAAGCCCTTGACTCTGTGAATGGGGAAGAGTGCAGGAAGTCAAGGTGTAGGAACCTCTGACTTCAGTGTGGCTCCACATTGGACAGGGCCTCTGGCCCTGTCCATCACTGGTGTGTGGTCCCCAAAAGGTTGCCCATGAGAGAATGTGGCCCTCTGGATGAAAAAGATCACACACACACACACACACTGACCTGTTGTAAGGCTGAGCAAATTGTCCATTAGTGTAGACTACTAGAGGCAGTGTTGCAGGTTATATGCATAGGTTTGGTGCATACAACTTTCAATACGGTAAGCCCACAAGTTGCGCTTGCATGATCACAACCTTACGCAGATGGGGAGGGGGGAGATATATAAATTGAGACCTGGGAAAACCCACCATTCTCCACTCTCTATTTATTAATTCCCCACCACCACCACCACCCATGCATCCAGCAGATTTTCCTCGCTTACTAAGCTTTGGGAGAACCCCATTGCCCCTTGCACCACCTTCCCAACGCCAGGTAAGCAGGGTCCTGGACTTTGGGAAGGATGCGCAAGGGCTCTGGGATGCTGCTGGAGCCCTCCCACTGCCTTCCCAAAGCTCAGTAAGCATGGGGGCTGGGAAGGTTGCAGGAGGGCCTTGGGAAGATTTAAGGGACCCCCTGCAACGTTCCCACGTCCTGGTAAGCAGCTCTCTGCCTTGCAGGGGATAATTTTGGGGTTTCCTGACTTTGTACAATTTTGCCTTTGCACGTGGATCCTGAAACCAAACCTTTGCATAAGTGGTAGGCACACTCTATTCCTGTTTTGGAACTGTTGCCTGCAACCTTGTGGTGTAGAAACTTGCTCTTTGAATATTACCGCTGGGGTTAGGGTGCCTCAGGAACCACGCTGGACCATTGGATCTGATATCTGCAGCACTTACTCTTAAGAGCCTTTATGAAAAAGCATGCCCAATTTTGAAAAGGTGCTACTCCCAATGAAGCTCCACCTCACAGAAAGCTTTGGGATTTTCTAGAGTCTGCATAATAGTGAAAGCCTTTCCCACAGCCCTCTAAAATTGCCTCAGTCAGGGTTTATCTTAATTTGCAGGAAATGTAAAGAACGGCTATCACTGCATTGAGCTTTAGATTACAGAAATAATATGAACTGGTATATTTACTGTGACCTGAAACACAATGAATTCCCCACCACCACCACCAAAAGCAAAGTAACTTGGAAAATGCCGTGGAAAGCCCAATCTTTAGTAAATTCAGTGCATAGCTTATAAGGAGAAGAAATAGACTTCAGAGTATTTGAGGCATGATAGCAAGCTTGTGCCTATGTAGTTCATGGGAAACTGGCTTCAGTGGAGGTAGAACATAGGACAACAAACTGCATCTCTGCAATTTAACATGCCTTGTAGGAACTCAGCAGTGATATAGTTGCCCTATAAAGGTAAAGGTAAAGGTACCCCTGCCCGTACGGGCCAGTCGTGTCCGACTCTAGGGTTGTGCGCCCATCTCACTTAAGAGGCCAGGGGCCAGCACTGTCCGGAGACACTTCTGGGTCACGTGGCCAGCGTGACGAAGCTGCTCTGGCGAGCCGGCACCAGCACAGCACACGGAAACGCCGTTTACCTTCCCGCTATAAAGCGGTACCTATTTATCTACTTGCACTTAGGGGTGCTTTCGAACTGCTAGGTGGGCAGGAGCTGGGACCGAAAGACGGGAGCTCACCCCGCCGCGGGGATTTGAATCGCCGACCATGCGATCGGCAAGTCCTAGGCGCTGTGGTTTTACCCACAGCACCACCCGCGCCCTCTATAGTTGCCCTATAGAGATCCATAAATGCTAGCTTGGGAGTTGGAACAGCCTGTCAGTGTCATAGGCAGGCTTGGAAAAAAGCCAAAGGAAATGCAGAACCGTATGTGTTCCAGAAAGTGCCTCCTCTTGCAAAGCTTCCAACTGAAGGAGCGATGGCATCCACATATAGGATGTTGATGGTGTCGGCATGGTATCTTGGGTGATTAAGGGCTCTCTGCTTCCTTGTAGACAATGACTCTGATGCCATGAGCAGCTCCTATGAGTCCTACGATGAGGAGGAAGAGGATGGGAAAGGTCAGAGACTGACACACCAATGGCCGTCAGAGGAAGCTTCCATGAACCTGGTGAAGGACTGCAGGATATGTGCTTTCTTGTTGCGGAAGAAGCGCTTTGGGCAATGGGCCAAGCAGCTGACGGTCATCAAGGACAACAAACTCCTGGTGAGTTGGTGGCTTGTGGAGCACCTGGCCACATGCAGGAAAGCAGGGAAGGTTTTGGGGAGAAAAGTTGGAGAGTCCTGCTAATGAGCCAAAGATGCCTGGCAAATCAGTTCACTTTGCATGCATGAGCATGGCTGGGAAGGCCCACTCTCCTTGGGGTCTGGCACTGATTGGTAGAGTTGGCAACTTTGATGAAAAAGGAAGGACTAATCAACAGATCTATATAGCTGCATAGTTCCCTTTGCTGGCCAAGTCAAAGATATGGTGCACTGTGTATGTCACAGTTTTTAGTTTTTTACACATCCTTTGTCCTTGCAGATAGCTGGTCCGTAACTTACAGTATTTGTAGATTTGTTGCAGATTTATATGCCAAGCCCAGTGTGGCCCTTCTTTAAGGTGGTGTTGAAAAACCCAGGCATGATGCTCCAATTGGTGTTCATTCTCTGAAAGTTTTATTGGGAATTTGAAAAGCACCTGACATTTTCAAATGATTATGTGGCGTGGGGAAAGCATTAAGCACCCCTGCTGCTACTCTGATTCCTATCAAACCTTTGAAAAATAGCTTTTCCTGATTCCCAACCCCCTTTAACTCATTAGGGCAACAGGACACATATCTGTATGTAATGACCCAAAATTAAGTGGGGGGGGGGACTGTTTCTTTGAGACTGGTAAGATTTCAGCACTTCTGTTTTTTGTTCTGGTTGTAAAAAACCTACGATTCTAAGGCACAGTATTTGGTTAAGCAATGGGAGTTCCCAAGCATTTCTCTTCTTTCCTTTTGTGCACCTCCTCCTCCCCACCACGACATGGGACATTCCCACTGCTTCTTATCTGTGCTGAGAGCAGCCATGAAAAGTACAAGAAAAAGACGCAACTTGGAAAGAGTGATGAACATTGTGCCTTTTCTTTTCTTTAACATTAGTGTTACAAAAGCTCTAAGCATCGGCAGCCACACCTCGAGGTGCCACTGAGCGTTTGCAACGTTGTCTACGTGCCGAAGGACGGGCGTCGCAAGAAGCACGAGCTGCGCTTCTCCCTGCCGGGCGCTGAGGCCCTGGTGCTGGCCGTGCAGAGCAAAGAGCAGGCTGAGGAGTGGCTGAAGGTACTTCCCTCAACAGCAGGAGAGCTCAGTTCCACACACACACAGTTAAAAAAGAAACCCCCTCTTCCTGTGCTCCATCAAAACACAAATGCCAACTAATGCCCGTCCTTGTGAGCAGCCCTCCTGCCCTGACCACTGTAAATCTGGTCAAGTGTATCAAGCCCTGTGGGAAAAGCACTTGTTATCTCTCCAGTGGGGAGGAGGGGGCTTTCCTACTCAGCCTCTTATCACCCCTGCCTGGCTGCAGGAGAGAAATAGCCAGCCAGCAGGGCAGACCCTGACACCCCCTTCCTATAGTCTGGAACTGCAGGGCTGCAGGAAAGGGGCTGTTTTGATTCACATTTGCCCGCCCACCCCCACTCTTTCCTGCCTTTGTTCTGAAGCACTGCAGATTCAGTAGGAAGCTCTGTGAGATGACATCACCAATTCTGCCTGACGGCAGGGTCTGAAAAAGGTGGCGGTTTCAGTGCTGCTTGATCAGGCATAGGCAACCTTGGCCCTCCAGATATTTTTGGGACTACAACTCCCATGATCCCTAGCTAACAGGACCAGTGGTCAGGGATGCTGGGAATTGTAGTCTCGAAACCTCTGGAGGGCTGAGATTGCCTATGCCTGTTCTTGATGGTAGTGTCTCAGAGAAGCTACTGTTCCTGCCTATCCAGACTGGGAGAGGGCTTGTGTGTGCGCACGCGTGTGTATGCTGCATCACTGATACTTGGCTTTCTCAGTTGCACTTTCTTTTCTCTCCCCTTGCCCACTCCCAAACCTGTGGCCTTCCAATTGACTACAGCTCCCATCATCCCTGTCCACTGGCCAGGATGGTTGAAGCTCATGGGAGCTGGGGTCCACTGACATCTGGACACAGTGTGGTGGCAATTTCTAGCTAACAGATGCTAGTGGTTTAAAACAACATCGTGATAGCCCCATGCTTGTTCATTCTAATGGCTCTCTGCCATGGATACCAGCAGGTGATCTCCGTGAAAGACACATAGATTTAACCCCTCCAGCTCAGCTTTGTGGCATAAATGGCGACTCTTTCAATTTGACATGAGTCCCTGCTGCCCGCACCTTTCCAGGCTCTCTTTTGGGGATTGATGCTTGGATGTTGGAGGTTAAACTGAAGGAAGCACAATGCAACACGCAGGCTAGGTAGTTTGTTATAATGGCATTCTGAGTCCAGGGATTGAAAAGGTCTTGTGCATTTTGTGGTTCAATTTCTTTTCCGTCTTGGCAGAGCAAGTGTACTTTGGCATGAGTACTGTCAGGAACCTCAGCATTCATTAAAACCGTCTATTCCTCCCTGTACTGGTTGTTTTTAGAACTTCTCTGTCTTTGCCCTTGCTCCATATCACTCACTGACTCAAAGCACTTCCACCCCGCTGGCCTGGGATGCGACTCTTCAGGTCCTCCCTTCCTCAGAAATGTGAATACTCTGTTGGCACTGATCCAATAGGCACTCTGGTGTGCTGGCTAAACCCCACTTGCGGCTGAGAAATTGCAGTCCCTGAAATGAGAATACCTGAGCAGATGAATTTAATTCACCCAGACCTGTTCTGAAGCTTGAAGACAACCTATTGCTGAAGGCGACGAGGTGGGAAGTGTGTCTGTTGGAAGAAATAAAAGAGAGTCTGCCTTCCTGTACCCCCAGTCCTCACTTGGGTTTCCTTGGGAAATCTTGTGTCAACATCCATGGCTGAAATGTTACAGAAACCAGAGATAGGAAGAGCAAAAGTCATTGACAACCAGCCAGTGAACTGTCTTGGAAGCTAATGAGCCTTGAGTTAAATTAGGACAAAATACAAAAACTGGCTTTATTTAGGTCAGGGATAATACCCTGCTTCAGTATTCTCAGAGGCCACTTTATTACATTAAAAAATCCCAGAGAGAGATGAATAGTTAAGGTTGGCATATAACTCTATCTCTCCCAGATTGGACATATTTTCTATCCATTTCCTTATAAAAAGGATTTTTTTTCCCCAGCCGGAACTCGCAGGAACTCAGTTTTGGCACCTCTTTTTCTAGAAAAATAGCACTGCTTACAAGACACACGATGGGCAAACATTTTCCCATACCCTTGATTAAAAATTTGGTAGTCTCACCAAGGGCCCGATAGAATAGCTTGCTGGAATCCAGTTTGGCCCTTTGACTGCTAGTTTTCAGTACTGGAATCTACTGTTTCCCTTCTGTCAGGTAACTGAGACTCAGTGGCACCATTGTTTCTGAGAAGCCATCGCTGGATGCTTTGCAGCAAAGTGAGCTTTCAGTTGCAGCTGATGGGCTACCAGTGTTTCCGTTGTTTTGACACTCAACCCTCTCCTCCTGCAGGTGATAAAGGAAGTGAGCAGTCCCAGTGGAGGAGGACTGAGTGGAACAGAAGTTCTTACATCTCCTCTGCTTACATGCAAGGTGGACCATGACAAGGTAGCTTCTCGCTCGGAGCCGAAGTAGCAGTGATGTTCATGAATAAATACAATCAGTGTGCACAGTTTTTCTTTTAGCTGTTATAGGGGGCCTGAGCAGCCAAGGGATTGTGAGTTTAACCCTTTCTCCCCTGCTATGCTCACAACAAAAATCTCCTTTGCCCAGAGGTCATCTCAGGACAAACAGACATCTGACTCGGACAGTGTGGCAACTGCAGAGAACAGCTCTTCCATGGCTCGGAGAGAGGCCCATGAGCAAGGTGAGTCCCTGCTTACTTTCCCCTTCCCCTATGAGCCAGGTGTTGCTTTTGGGTGAGGCAGCAAGAAACGCAGCACTTGGACTAGAGCTCCTGAGAGACCTGGGTTTAAATCCCTGCTTGACCACAATGCACACAGGTCTCTGCATCTCAGCCCAACCTACCTCACAGCGTTGTTGTGGAGTGGGAAAGGCCTTAAATGCTGCCCTCAGCTCCTTGGAAAACGGGTGGGAGATAAATGTAATAAATAGATCCTGGGCTTAAAGAAACAAAACCCAGGTTCCATCTTGTGTAACAATGACCCCTTTTGCTGTTCCCATTGGGGGCAGAGTTACCATTGTGCCAGAATTGCTAGGTCGGTCGCCCTGCACTTTTCTTTGAGACTAATGAGTCATGTTACACACGCTAGTTCTGTAAAAATTGTATCATGAAGGTTAAAGCACTCTGTTTCTGAATTTGCTCTGTGTTGCCGCTATGTTCAGTTGGCTCTTAATACCCATAAGGGAATATTCTAGCCTGTAGGTTCTAGCTGTATTTCAGACCAGTTAGTGTTTTTCATTATTCCCCCTTCACCTGACTTCCCTTATCCTCTTCATGACATTTTACAATCTGTTATGATGAGAGAGAGTGTGTGTTCTGGAGGTATGAGGTTGGGGAGAAAAGACCTTTAGTTACCTCACAGTTTCTTTGTTTTGGTCAGATACACCATGTCTTGTTTTAAGCTCTGCTTCTTCTCCCTGTAGGGAAAGGCAAAAAAAGTGGCTTGGCAGACTTGAAAGGCTCTGTGAGTCGAGCAGCCGGGAGGAAAATCACCAGAATAATCAGCTTCTCCAAGAAGAAGCCATCCCCTGAGGACACCCAGACGTCCTCTACGGAGGAAGACATCCCATGCTGTGGTTTGTACTGGAGCGGGAGGGCAGTTGAAATGCAAACCATTCATTAGCTGGTGCCTTAAGAGGGGTCCAGTTGGGCTCCCTTGTCCCAGTTTCCGATTGCACTGTGTTATGTCATACAATACTGCACTGCAGGGGATGCAACAACAATACTGCAGAACGGAGCGTGAGAGGTGTGGGGGATGCCGACTTTTAGCATCGTATAGGGTGCCTCTGAAATTAGAGAGCACAAAGTCCGCCACTCCAAATATATTGCCCACCCCCATATCCGATAGTTAAATCTTAATGGTTCGATTGTGCAGTTGTCTTTTCTTACTTACAGGAGTGAATCAGCTACTTTATGGCAAAGACAAGAGCACTGACATTCATAATCTATTTTATGAAGGGAAAAAAAAACCACAGTCCAAGGACTCAGCTATAGAGCTGCAAATAAAACATTTTAAGTGTGTTTTAAGTACAGTATACAATGTGACACTAGATGGAGGTGGTGAGCTTTATGGAAAATTCAATGTGTGTTTAAAAATGCTTTTTTGGGGGGGGGGAGAGCATTTTCAGAGCAGTTTTTATATGTGTAGATTCCACCCAAGTGACTTGGCTGATACTCATTCAGGCAAACCTCTCATTGAGCTAAAGTAATGCTTGGCTCTTGGAACTGATCTTCTGATTTGAAATCTGTCATGCCTAAGCTCAGCCTTTCCTTGTTTCCTAGGACACAAGATTTAGGCTCTTATTTATCTCATAATGGTCACTGTATTGCTAATCAAATGTCTTTGTGCATCTCCTGGCAGGCTACTTGAATGTTCTGGTTAACCAGTGCTGGAAGGAGCGCTGGTGTCGTTTGAAAGGCAACACCCTCTATTTCCACAAGGACCGGACAGACTTAAGGACCCACGTGAATGCCGTCGTCCTCCGGGGCTGTGAGGTGGCACCAGGACTGGGCCCCAAGCACCCCTTTGCATTCCGCATCCTTCGCAACGGCCAAGAGGTCTCTGCCTTGGAGGTGAGCAAGGATTCACTCTGTACGGATCTGCTGAGGAAGCTGCAGTCCCTTTGGAAGGGCCTTGATTTGGCCGACGACCAGGGTATAGGCACACAAGGCTGGGCACCTGGGCATCCTGCAGAACATAGCATTTAAGAGCAATGCCTTGAATGCTGGAAGAACTCTTTAGAGCCCTTCATGTGTGGTACAAAGATACATGAAATTCAGCCTGTGGCAAAGGCATTTGTTAAAGCAGTATGGATTGTATACAGTCATACCTTGGATCTCAAACACCTTGGCTCTTGAACAACTTGGCTCCTGAATGATCGGAACCCGGAAGTGAGTGTTCTGGTTTTTGAATGTTCTTTTGGGAGCCAAACATCTGATGGGGCTTCTGCGGCTTCCGATTGGCTGCAGGAGTTTCCTGCAGCCAATCAGAAGCCGCACTTTAGTTTCTGAACGTTTTGGAAGTCGAACGGGCTTCCAGAACGGATTCCATTCGACTTCCAAGGCACAACTGTATCTCACAGCAGCAGAAAATAATTTCTCTTATTTATCATATTAACAGAATTAACCTACTTCATGCTGCTTGTTTCATAAAGTATGATGAAATCTTAAATATGCCTCAGTTTCACTTAATGCACTATAACTTCACTTGGACCTTACAGGATCCAAGCAGATATTTGGACATCTGAATGCATATAAAGATCATACCGAAAACATATACATAAAACATGATCTCCAAGCAGACCAAGAGAGAGATTGAGAGCACGCGGTGAAGCAATAGTATTCTTTGGCCACGTGCCCATCTTGATTTATTCATTTCAAATGTGGGCCGAGGTTCTGCCATGCTTTTGCAAAGGCTTCCCCTTGTGGTGCTGTGATAAAAACATTAGCCTGTGTTGAAGGCATATTGACTTGGGACTAAGTCCCACTCAATGCAAGGGGACTTGTTTCTGAGTAGACATGCCTAGGATTGCAATGTACTTCCTCCTTTTCAACCCCCCAACTCTGCCTGTGCAGTGTCAACCCAAATCACAACCCGTTTTCAGGGTCATGTGGGACAGCCCTGAACAGCCAGATATTCTGGTTGAATATGGATACTAATAGGAAGCTTCCTTATTCAGTCACACCACTGGTCTTTCTAGCTCAATAATGTCCACACTGACTGGAAGTGGCTCAGCAGGATGCTTCCACTCCCTCCCAGAGATGCAGGGGGTTAGACCAAGGGCCTTGTGCATGAAGAGCAAATGCTCTGTGGCTGAGTTGTGGCCCTTCCCAATAATTTGTTGTTAAGTCGATTAGTCATGTCCGACTCTTTGTGACCCCATGGACCAGAGCATGCCAGGCACTCCTGTCTTCCACTGCCTCTCGCAGTTTGGTCAAACTCATGCTGGTAGCTTCGAGAACACTGTCCAACCATCTCATCCTTTGTTGTCCCCTTCTCCTTGTGCCCTTAATCTCACCCAGCATCAGAGTTCCAATAATACACACAATATATTCAGAATTCATGTCCTCCCCAGCTTCTTTAGAGACCTTTCGCTTACATAGCAGTGTGAGCCTTGCACACACAGGATGCCTTGCAAATATCCCTATGGTGAACAGCACAGCTGTAAATTTGGGAAATGGGGCACCTGGTGTAAAGGAACAATGCGCTCTGGAAAGACATGTCCTTGACCATGTTTCCTTGTGGGAAGAGTGTGGCCTTGGCTGTTGCCCAGAGCAATATGTGCTTCCTTTCACTTTAAACTATTGTCTTACTCCTCAGGCGAGCAGCTATGAAGACCTGGGGCGCTGGCTTGGGCTCCTGCTGGTTGAAACTGGCTCCCAGACAGCCCCAGAAGCCTTGCATTATGACTATGTGGATGTGGAGAAAATCGCCAACATCATCAATGCAGTGAGACACTCTTACATGTAAGCGTTGCTTCCGCTAGCGCTCCATGACGCAGCCGGGTGTGGAAACCACCTTGTCCCCATCTGCAGGCGAGAGTGCCTGCCTGATGTTCTCCCTGCCCCCAACAAAGCCTCTGAGAATAAAACTTTCTGTTAAGACCACCTACGCCAGCAACAAATCTGCCAAGACAGATTGTTTGGTCTCTCTAAAACAAGGGGTCAGCAACCTAAGGCCTATGGGTCACAAGCAGCCCATGGGGGTCGTTTAACCGGCCCATGAACCCCCGCCGCCTGCTCAGGGACCCCCACCAAGCCACAAAAACTTTGCTAACCCCTGCTCTAAACCATGATCCAAATCAAGATGACAACCTGCTAAAATCATACCTGAAAGGCCAGAATAGATTCGGCCATTTAGGCTACTGTGAATGTGAGGCTGAAACAAGCAAGCCTGCCTTCGTGTTTCCTGGTTTATATCATGGGTGTGAATGTGGTGCAAGCGCTAGTTCCACTTTCCCAGATAGGAGCATAGAAAACCTCACACTCTGCGCCTCAGGCTTAAATGGCCCTTTTGTGTATCAAGAAAAGATGAGCCCATACTGAAACACTCTTATGTATGGAGCAGAGAATTTTAAATATCCAAGCTGTGAGTTTAAAAGATTGATATGGAGCAAACATTCTCGATTTCTATGCTGTTATCTCCATAGCACCAAGGGACATTTCACACACCATGCAACGGCATATCCAGATTTATCAGGGAGTGTATATTTGGCAAGCATCTCAGGCAATCTTGTTTCCTGGATAACTGCAGTCATGCTTAACTTCTTAGATGCATACTTAACCTTTTGACTTGATTTGGTTTAGTATATGTGTTCCACATTTCCAACAACATTTTTCAGGTGTGCACCCAATATGATATGTGTGAGGTATCTCCACTCCTGTGTTGCCCAAAATACAGGGCTTGGCAGAAATTTATGATGCAATAGCATCTACCAACCCAACGTAGGAGGGCCTATGTTTGGATTCATTTTGTTAGTGCAGAGGGTGGCAGGAAGAGCTCAATTGTTCTTGCTGGTAAAGATTGTCATATTTTGCAATCAGTACTTGAGATGTAGAGCATCTTTTGTCTGTTTCTCTGCCTCTTCAGGTGGGCCAGCTCCTCCCTTGAGAACCAAACAGATGCTTCCCGTGTATTATACGATGAAGTCCCCTATGAGAAGGTGGAGGTATTTGAAAAAAGAAAAGCAGAAATGCCATAACCCTCTTCTCTCCCCTGCTTCCTTTCCCTAACAGCACACTGCTCCCTGCCTGCATGTGCTTCCAAGTGCTTGGCGACTGACAAACAGTTTTTGCCCAAGCAGAGGCACTTGGATTAGCCTGCTTCTCAAGCAGCTATGCTGCATGGGAAGAAACTGGACTTCTTGCTCACACCCATCATTCATTCATTCATTATTCAATTTTATTTGTATGCTACTTTTCCACAAAAAGAAATGCTCAAAGTGGCTTAAAAACAAAGAAATAGGGATGCATTTCAAAAAAACACTACAAAAACTATTTCCTCATAGCAGAGCAAAAACATAGGATAGCTACAATTTCATAGCATATCAATACAACAATAACAATTTCTTAATAACATATTAATAATATAATAACATACAAAAAAAACCCCACATTCCAATACTATAAATATAGCATAATAACTTAAACAACACACAGCATCCAGGAGCAAAAATAATGTTTCACCTTAATCCTAGAAATACCCTTCCCTTGATGTTGGCCATCATTGTTGGTCTCCTTGACACCCTCTGAAATGATGGCTTCTTTGTGCTTTTCTGTGTGCAGCTGGAAAAGTCAGGGCGGCCGTCGGGGTCCCAGGTGAAGCGCCATGGCTCCTCTTGCAGCGAGAAATCGCGCCGTGTAGATCCACAAGTGAAAGTCAAGCGCCATGCGTCAAGTAGGTTTGGATCCTGATGTGGGATGCTTGTGGTGGCTGTCTTATCGGCCTGTTGGAATGGGGAGGGGAAAGACTCCGAGCTGACGATCCCTAAAGAGCCATTTCCAGTAGTGTAAGCTTATACAATACTCAGTTGCTGCTTGGTGGCTCCACTTCCGTCTTGGTTTTTGCATTCTCATTATTTGTGTCCTCTTTCCTAATGGGACAAGGATTGCTAATTTGCAGGCCGGGCCAAAGTCTGGATGGGTTTAATGCACAGTACTACCTATTTGCCTTTGCAGCTTCTCTCTTAGCTGAGGTTCAGGCCTGAAATGGGTGGCAGAGGAAGAGCGTCTGTTTGTTGGTAGGACCTGTGTTTTGAATGCAGTAGGTCTCAAGCTCAGTTGAGCCTTATGTCAAAATGAGGCTTCTCCTTTTGGAGCTGTGTCAAAACTGATTCTGTGATCTCCACCCTGTTCCCCTTGGCAGGTCAAAATTGTTGTTAACAGGAACTGTTCGGAGCTTTACCAGATAGCAATGGCCCTGAACATGTATGATCAGCACTGTGTTACACACACATACACACCCTGCTGGTCTTTCCCAATGCTGCTCAGAGGTTGCTAATAGCCTTGCAAGAACTACCAGCCAAATGGGTGAGGGAAACTGCTTCACACTGATAAAACATTTCATCAGCTTTTTGTACCTCTTGGGAGAGCAGGGGAACCTCTGGCCCAGGAAGCCAAATGCAGTAATCCAGGCCCCTCTCTCTCACACCCTCCAGGCCTCTCCTCAGGCCACATCCTTCACTGGCTCTGCATTGCACCTTTTGTGAATGTTTTTTGCACAGCTGGAGTATGACCTTGAATTCTTATAGTGATTCTTGTTTTCCTGGATGAAGGATAGCTAAAGGTGTTTGTATGTGTGTGAAAATTAACCTGATGTTCAAAGACGACATCCACATTTGTTGTTCTACCCACTTTGCTTCTGCCTCCCCCCCCCCCTTGAAGGTTATCCAAAAGGGAACATGGCCCTCAGGCTGCAAAAGGTTCCTTGACCTTGGTAGAGAACCCCAAGTTTCTTTTTAGAATCTCCTATGATGCTCCAGGAACGTTGAGCTGAATCCATCTTGGATTTCTGTATGAAAAGTGAGGTTATAAAGAACCAGGCAGAGGGCCTTCTCGGTAGTGGCACTTGCCATGTGGAATGTCCTATCATCAGATTGAAGGGGCCATTAGAATATTGTTCTCTATATGATCCCAAAAACTGTTTGAGCAATTTTCTCCTCTCTCAGAATGACTGGCTTAGGCGGGTAAAAAGATAAGAACAAAGCTGAATGGATTATTGTACCCCAGACAGGGGGCACAAGAAACAAAGCCCCATCTTATTGCTATTAGTGCAAATCACATTTTTTACATGTGAACACGTGTCGAGGTCCATCGGGAGAACAAGGTTGGCATTGATGGAACAGACTGAAATATTTCTTATTCAAGGTTGTAAAGAGATAAGCAGACTCAGGAACGCATATTGCCGTGGCATGGAGAGGCTGGTGTGAGGCCATTGCAGGGGAGAAGGGGGCAAGCAAGCCCATATAAGGTCAAGCCCATATAAGGACATAGGAAGTTGCTAAAATCACGATTTCCCAGAAATCAGGTGGTATTATTCTGCAAATGTATAAAAAGGGCTGGCAAGCATAGAGAGGGCGGGCAGGCAATGAACTTTGCCTTGTCTGTACCATTATTTTGTCGTGATAAAATAAAAATGATTTTACTGCTGTCAAATTGACTTTTTGAAGCGAATTCTGATACTCCGAAGGGAAGGAACTAAGAAAAGGTCTTTCAAGATGTCAAAGGGATAAATAATTATATGACCCCCCCATAGACATCTGGGGAAGCTTTTGATGTGTGGTGTTCTGTCGTATTTTTGTGTATTCTGTTGGAAGACGCCAATAGTGGCTGGGGCAATCAGATGGGCAGGGAACAAATTATTATTATTATTATTATTAGCTCCCTCTGAAGTTTGAGCTACAAGAACACCATGTTCCACTTAATTATTTTGTGTTGCACAGGCAGTTCTCCAGTGGCTATAAATTGTAACTGTATCAGTACAGTTTAAATCAATTTTACAAGAATGCCAAGCTTTACTGGTAGTCTTAGCAGCTCCAGTTCATAATTGGATGTGCGCTTGTGCTCCCATAAGCCACTTCTCCTGTGCCAGCAATATTAATAATCAGCAATTTCTGGGCAGCACTGCAGAGGCTGTGTTGGGAAAGCAGGTGTCTTGGTTCTTGACTGTTGGTTCAGTTTCATTTCAGACTACAGTCTGGTGTTGTGCATCTTTGAGCTTGTTCAGCCCTGAGCCTGCATTTAAAATTATCTGCTGTCAAAGCAGAGCTAAACAAAAAACCCTCTCACCTCAGGTGCCTAACAGAGGGCCGTGTCTCTTAACTCATCCCCCTCCCCTTGCAGATGCCAATAACTACAAGTACGGCAAGAACCGTGCTGAGGAAGACGCCAGGAGGTTCCTGACTGAGAAGGACAAACTGGAGAAAGAGAAAGCTTCTATCCGGAATGAACTGATGGGCCTGCGGAAGGAAAAGCGGGAGCTCCGAGAGGCTATGAAGGGAAGCTCAGGTATAAGCCCCTGCTGGAGAAGAAATTCTCCCGCTGCCACATGCCTCACCCCTGGCCATTTTGCACAGAAATCTCTCTCCTGAGCTGCATTTACCTCCCGCATACAGTCCAGTATACTGGGCTGGATTAAGTCCTTAAAATATTTTAGTGCCCCCATATATATCTAATTAAAAATATAAACAACAATAAACTGTAAAATAAAATTTTATTTTTTGAAATGAATGAAACCCAAAGATGGAAAATAATGTTTAATTTTGTATGCGTCCACTTTGTTGATATTTGAAATTTTTGCCAACTTCTGTTCATTGAATTTGCGGGTGGGGAGGCACCCTCTTGCCCTCCTCCTCCTCCTCAGACTGCAAAATGTGCTGGGCCAGTAGAACGCTGAGCCCACAGTGGCCTTGGCTAAAGCACCTTCCCCTTTATCCTAGAACTCCTTGCAGTTAAGAACAAAAGGAGGTCTCTGTTATTCCTGATGAAAGAGGATGGCCGCTGATAAAGAAGGCCAACGTAGGAGGCATTTGTTGCAAAATATTTGCCTCAATAGCAACATCAAACCTGCTGTGTAGTTTTGCATCTTACTTCTCAGCCCTGACATCTCCTGCACTGGATATATCCCTAATATCGGGTACTTAAAACACATTTATTTCTGCTCAGCACTGGCAGCTTAGCAATAGCTTCAAATTAGCCACAGAAACAGTTGCAGGCTCCTTCCGCAGAGGAAAGCCCAGGCGCGCCATCTACTGGAAGAATGGCAATTCTTTTAATGGAAATTGCACAGCTAATTGCCTGGAAGCTGGCAGAATCCAGGTCTTTTCGTCCTTATTGCTTTTAATGCATTGCAGATAATGTGAAGAACGTGAGCTGCCTTGCCTCTCATGGACGTGTTAAGAAAGAGGCGTCAGCTGCTGAGAACGTTGACCCAGTTCCTGTTTCCCACATGTCTCATCGGCGGTGGGATTGGGCAGGAGCGAAATTCCCTTTGCCTTTGCCCACCCTCCCACTTTCTCTAAGCTCCCTGGCATGTGTCCCCTTCTCCAAGCCTGGAGCCACAAGCTGACCTTGCTCCCATGTATCTGTTAAACAGGGAAAGACCTGAAAGAGCTGGAGCATCGTGTTGCGGCCCTGGAGGATCAGTGCAAAGCCAACGAGGCCAGGCGCGTGGACCTTGAGCTCAAGCTCACGGAGGTGAAAGACAGGCTGAAGCAGTCTCTGGCAGGAGGGCCAGCTCTGGGGCTGACTGTGACCAGCAAAGCTGAAAACAAGGTGAGGAGGAGACAGCTGCTTCCTCTTTCCGCCTTGGACGGTTAGGGCTGCTTCAGTCGATGATAGTTTCCCACATAAGCGCAGAACAAAAATGGGCGCACACAGAAGCCCAGGGAGCCAGGATTATTGGAACACAGGAATCTGACCTGCTGAGTCAGACCACCAGTCTGCCTAGTTATGTATTGTCTACACCACGCTTCCTCAACCTCGGCCCTCCATATGCTTTGAGACTACAATTCCCATCATCCCTGACCACTGGTCCAGCTAGCTAGGGATCATGGGAGTTGTAGGCCAAAAACATCTGGAGGGCTGAGGCTGAGGAAGCCTGGTCTACTCTGACTATCAGGGGCTGTCCGGGGTTTCAGAAAGGGATGTCTCCCTGTCTTACTTGGAGATGCTAGGGATTGAACCAAGGATCCTCTTAATGCAAAGGAGCTTGCCCTGCCCTTCTCAGTAACTGCAGAACCTAACCTTGATGGGGGTGCCCAGGGGATCATAGAATTGTAGAGTTGGAAGGGATCCTGAGGGTCATCTAGTCCAACCCCCTCAGCCTTGCTCCCAGCCCCAGAGAAGGGGGATACAAAGCGTACTTATTTAATGCATTTGCCACTCCTCCTAAGATGACTCCTAGAATGATAATAAACAATGGGGAAACAAGTGGAGCAGCAGAGCAAAGGGCAATCCGTTTGCAGCAGGGGTAGCCAGTGTGGTGTTTTCATGATGATACTGGACTGCAAATCAGTTCTAGCCAGCATGGACTAGGGTTACAGATGATGGGACTTGCAGTCCAACAACATCTGGAGGGGGCACCATGACGGCTAGTCCTGTTTTACAGAAAGTCTTGTGTAAAAAGGAATTCAACAGCTGAAAAGTGCCTCCTCTTCCTTGCTTGCTTTCCACCGAACCTCAGAAGACAGGGGCCAGCTCCACAAGGGCCTCTAAAGATTGTCTTCATCGACAGGTAGATTGGTGTGAGAGAAGGCAACCCATCCTACTAAGCTTTCCACCCGTTTCCTCTTTCATAGAGACCATCAATGCCGGCCAAAATACATTTTAGCAATAGCAACCTGGTTTCTCTAGTATCTCTCCCTGCTTGAATCTCTGAACAACTTCTCGGTTTCTTGTTACGTTCCCTTGCAGGAGCCTGCGCCCCAGTCAAGTGGAAGCCCCCCTGAGCACTTGGTCCCGGTTAACTGCGCAGCGGAAATGAGGAAGCGAAGCCCCTCCCTCCTTCCTGCCCACAAGGGGAATGTGCTGCAGAAGGCCAAGGTACAGCAGGCTCTGCTCTGCTCCCCTAGCTGGGCGCCAGCATTATATTCCCTCCTCATTGCCTCTCCCAAAATCTTCAGGACACACACAGGGGTAGGGAACATCAGGCCTGGGGGCCAAATGCAGCCCACTTTATCTGGCCCTTGAGACCCTTCCCAGGCCACACCTGCTTTGCACAGGCTACACCTCTCATAAGCCTTGCTCCTCATCGATCTTGGGTGTTTTTCCCTGGCTGGGATGTGTCTCCAAACTCTGATAATGCCTCTGGAAGGTGAAGAGGCATGTTTGAACATGTGTATAAACAAAGCAATTTACTGTACAGAGGTAAAATTCACATGCACTGCTCTGTCCATTTTTGTCTCTGGCCCGGCCCACCACCAGCATACGGACCCCAGAAGGCTGCCCAGAAGGGGATGTCGCCCCCAGGCTGATCCTAGTGGAAGCTAAATTCTTTGATGAGGGTGTTGTAACATATATATCATATGTTAGTGTGTACTACAGAGTGTAAACTGTAGTTGGGTATTGTTGCCCTTAAGCGTAGAATCTTCCTTTCACAATTTCCCAGCACAGAGGCCTGATCTGGATGGGGGCCTTGGTGGGGGGAATCCTAACCCTGCTGCAGTCCTGATCCAGATCTTCCCCTCTCCTGGTCTGCTCCAGCTATTTGTAAAAGTAAAATCCTGCAATTAATGGCAAACCACAAGACTCATTGGAACTGGGCCCCAAACCTCCAGAACCCCACTTTGGAACCAGGGCTCAGCAGTCTCTTTCTAGCCTTCATATCGCCTTTGCAACCCAGGACTCATCAGCTCTGCTATTTCTCCCTCTTTCTAGGAATGGGAAATGAAGAAATCATAAAAGGGTCACTGGGCCTCCATCTCCGGGAAGAACCCCTCTCGAGCATTGGGACACATTTGGGAAAGGCTAGAGCAGTGCAAGAGCCTCTCATCCCTCAAGGAAACTGCAGAAGGATGCTGGGGGACTTGGTTCTTCAGCAGGGAGAGCACCCACCCTCCCGCAAATGAAGGATTACCAAGCAAAACTGATGTGGGTGAAAGGGGAGGGAAGGGGGAGTTGGGGAAGCAGGGTGGGTAAGGGAAATCCTTTCAAGGATGTTGGGTTTTTTAAGTGTGTCCTCAGAATTCTCCTCTTTGAGTGGCCTGTGAGGAGCACCTCAAATAGATCTGGCATGCCAGCTGTCTAGATTTTGCTCTTGATTAATGAAATTAACGAAGAGCCATTAAAAATTGGAACGTAGATACTTTGGTCTGGTGGGGAGAGATGATGATGATATGGTTCGGAGATCCTCATTCAAGTCAGCCAAAGACCTTGGGCAAGTCACTTCTTCACCTTTCTTGCTGCAGCTCCTCTCTTGTGTTGGAAACCAGGTGAGCGTTCCTCACCACAAGGAAACGAGGCATGACACACAGAAGTGCCTTGCAATTGATTCTGTCGAAAGATGCTCTTTGCAGCCCTTGACACTGTCAGCCTGCTTCCCTGTCCTGCTCTCTGCCAAACCAGATCAAGGCAACTACTGTTGACTTAGGCCCAGAGGCAAGGGCCCAACAGGGAGAAGACATTGTCCACGTGGTGGTTTAATTTAAATCTCAGGGCTTTTCATATTGACCTGTGCCGGAGCACTCCTGTCATCTTCTGTAGTCTCTCTCAGGCTGCCATTTAAGATTTTAAAATGTGTTGGATAAGATCAATAGCTTCGGGAGGGCAAGGAGTAATATCACACCCACCCCCGGACAGACTCTAAAAGTGCCCAAGTGTTGTAACAAATCCATTTGCCCACTCCCCCCCCCCGCCTTTGCTGCACAGCAGAGCTAGACTCGCACTTGCAAGTGAGAAAGGGGAGTGAATAAATGGACTGATGTGGCTAGAGAAATTCTGCAAAAAAAAATAATAATCCCGGTTGCAGGGCTATTTTATTTTTTTAAGCGTGCTGTCTCTGGTCAGCAGAACAGTGGCTGAAGACTTTTCCCTTTCTGTGAGTCAGCCACTAGAAGACAGAATGTGCATGCACTACATAACAGACATTATGCTGCCATTTCTAAAAATCTTTCTCTCCGATCACGGGTGGGATGGGTGGGAGAGTGTTTTGGGTGGGTCTTGTTTCCGCAGTGTGGGGAGCCCAGCTGCCTTCATGTGTATAAGGTCTCTGGCCAGTTTCAGGCCTGCTTCATTCATGGAATACAAAATCTAAAACTTGAGACCTTCAGAAGAGGCCCCAAGGTGAACCCTACAGCAAATGCAGTGATCCTCTTTGCTGTGTCATTCCAACAGACCAGAAGCTGTAATGACCTACTTTTCTTTTATAGGGGGAGGTGGGTAGGATGCTTATCTCTTTGTGGGTGCTTATTGTGGCATACATTTTTACTATTTAAGATTTGTCTGCACTTTAAGATCTGGATCCCCTCCCTCTGCTGTCCCCCCCCCCCCAATAAAATATGATCTTTGTACAGAGCTGTATGTGTTTGTTTTTTCTTCTAAATTTCAAGGCAGCTTTGGGTTGTAAACATAGAAGTTGCAGCAACATGCCTGTTACTTATGGTTCACGTAGAAATGTATATGCATGCATTATCTATCTCCTAGGTTTTGGTAGGAGATTGGCTGTAATACTTCACAACAACTTTGGCTCCAGCTTGATGCTTCCAATATGGCGCAAGCTTAAGACAGAATCATGACCTTTTCTGGTTTACAGGGGGACGATACTATCTGTAACTAGAATAGACAAAGTAGAAACTATACCATCTGTATGGGAAGCCTACCCCTTGATCATAAGCATATTGATTTCAACAGAGCAAGGTACCAAGTATAATGCCAGACCCTCCAAGGGTCCCCATTTTCCAGGGGTGTCCCTGATTTAGAGAAGGCATCCTGGTTTCTGATTTGTTCCCAGAATGTCCCACTTTTCCTTAGGATGTCCCTATTTTCATTGGGAAAATGCTGGAGGGTATGGAGTTATTTGACTCCTGAGCTGTCTAAAGGCAATTCTGTAAAGTTAGGGCCACCCAAAATGTTACAAAATAGTGAGCAAGCATTCCAGTTCTCCCAAAGTCCTCATTACTTACCCTTACCTTTCCCGCCCCGACCTGGCCACAGTGATCCATGCGACGGTCACCTCCAGGCTTGACTACTGTAATTCGCTCTACGCGGGGCTGCCCTTGAAGCTGTCCCAGAAACTCCAGCGGGTGCAGAATGCTGCAGCGAGGCTCCTCACGGGGTCTCTGCCATGGGAGCATATTCACCCAGTGCTTTTCAAGCTGCACTGGCTCCTGGTGGAGTACAGGTCAGATTTAAGGTGCTGCTTTTGACCTTTAAAGCCTTTCACGGCCTAGGACCCTCATACCTACGGGACCGCCTCTCCCGGTACGCCGCATGGAGAGCATCAAGGTCCATAAATAGCAACACCCTAGTGGTCCCGGGCCCTAAGGAAGTTAGATTAGCTTCAACCAGAGCCAGGGCCTTTTCAACTCTGGCTCCGGCCTGGTGGAACGCTCTGCCTCATGAGACCAGGGCCCTGCAGGATCTGATTTCTTTCCGCTGGGCTTGTAAGACAGAGTTGTTCCGCCTGGCCTTTGGCTTGGAGCCAATTTGATTCCCTCCCTTTCTTTTTTTCTTTTCCTTCTCCTCCTGCGATGAGGCTACATTTTAATATTTTAATGTTTCATTATTTTAATGTTGTATTTTAATTTTGTTTTTAAGTTGTAATCATTCAATTTGTTTTTATTATTGCTTGTAAGCCGCTCTGAGCCCAGCCTTGGCTGGGGAGGGCGGGGTATAAATAAAAATTATTATTATTATTATTATTATTATTATTATTACTTTGGATACCTAAAAAGACAGAAGCGGGGCAGGGTGAGGGGATCGGCTTGATGTTGTAGACACTTCAAGATGGTGTGTAGGAGGAGATTGCAGATTGAAACTGGATTAGGTCACGTGGGGGGGTAAATGAGAGGGGTGAGGAAAGAGTAGGAAAGTGACTAAATCAGGACAGAAGTCCTAAAGATTGCAATGTAAGCTGTGTACACATTGCATTTTTTTCCAGGCTCCCATGTTCTCCCATTGCTGGTGTTGGAAGCAGAGTATACCTGCCATTTGCCACATTAGCCACCTGTATCTTGTACAGTGCTACCTCAGGTTACAAACTTAGTTCGTTCCGGAGGTCCGTTCTTAACCCGAAACCGTTCTTAATCTGAGGCACGTTTTCACTAATGGGGCATCCCGCTGCTGCCATGCCACCGGCACGCAATTTCCATTCTTGTCCTGGGGCAAAGTTCTCAACCCAAGGTACTACTCCCGGTTAGCAGAGTTTGTAACCTGAAGTGTTTGTAACCTGAGATCCCACTGTAGTTTCTTGAAAAGTGATGCTTTTTGGTGTGCTTTCCCTCAAGCCAGCTTCTCTCTGATTTTGAAACATGAGCCATGGGAGACAGCCATCGCACATGCACCGATGACAGCTTCACTGAAAAGGAGTTTTTTGGGGGGGGAATTGCATGCACAGGAAAACAAATTGGGCAGTGCCCATCACGTGAAGACATCTCACAACATAACAATGCAACTTGAAAGGCAGCAAGTGGAAACTACCTTGCTGTGTTTTGGGTTGTTAATGTGTACATAGCCTTAGTTGCCTTTTCTCTTGTTCAAATAACTCAAAAAATCTGACTGCTTATCTGGAGTTTCACAGGAATACTGCGTGATTCTTGTAATAGATTTAAGCTGCTAAATGTTGACCTGTTAAATGTTGCCTAAATCTTAGTAGTAACATTTTTGTGAGTTCAAATGTTATCTAATATATTTAATATATTAGGGGGGAAATAGGTTACTTCTGTATTTGAGTTCAACAGCATGATTTCATGCATGTATATATAGAAGTCTCCCTGCATTCAATAAGGCTTTATCTCAGTTCCAGAATCTCAAGAAAGGACCATGTCCACCTGTAATTACAGTGGCTAGCAAGAGTTCTCATATAATGTCCTCTCAGTTACATTTTGATCCATATAGTCAAGGTAACATTATGGGGTCATAAAGATTTGAAAACGGAGAGGCAGTCTTCTTATGGAAGAAGTGGGTTCTAGTGTGATCTACACATTAGATCACTTAACAAGACCAGATGGAGGATTTTTGCTGTTTTCAATTTTGTAGTCTAAATATTGGTAGTGTTAAATGGCAGTATTGCATTGTCAACTACAGCAGTTTTAGAGTCTATTTTGGATCATTAGCTCTGAGTGACTCTGCATCTCCTATAGTGCTGGAGGAAATAAATGGATCTTTCATGTTATAAAGTGAATGTCCAGGATCTGAAAGATGAATGGAATAATCAAGTGTGTTCTCGTCAGCTCAATCAATGAAAAGTTGCTTTAGTGTTTATATATAGTCTTTCTTTAGATTTTAAATTTAGACTGAGTAAACAATCCCCCCCCCCCCCGTATATTGGACTCCACAGAGCCTTTATAGGAAGGAACTGGCTAATTCAGATAAATATTGCTGATGTAACGCAGAAAACACTTCTGTGAGGCATATGATGTGGGCATTTGTGAATGATGCTTTCTTTCTGGTCCAAAATTATTGGTCATATTAACCTTGCCTTGGATAAATCCTTGATACTTACATGGTGTGGGGGACTGAGGACAAATTCTGCAAGCCCTCATGATGTTTGAGAGACTTATGCTTCAAGATTGGAAGGACAAAGACCCACCATCTACTACTCAGTGGTCTGTGAAGATCTTGCAGCCCTTTCTATATCACTCTTGTTTCAATTCCCATTTGAACAGCCTAGATTAATCTACACATCTGAGTGAAGAGCAACAGAATAGTCATATTAATGTCAGCTGCCAGAGCTTCTTTTAAAAAAAAAAAAGTTTAAGAAGGTCTAAGCAGCATATAAATTTGGTTAAGTAAATTATTTTGCTAATTTGCAAATAAAAGTTTAAAAAAATATACAATATAAAGAATTGCAGCCTGGAGAATTGGAAGAAGCTCAACTAGATTTGAAACAATGTTGACAGAGTATGAAGTGCTTTCAGCCGATACTGAGGGGATCCAGGTTTTTCTGGTAGCTCACTGGATACACAGAAACAGAAATAAATAAATCTCCAGGCTGGGAGATGCCAAACGGCTTGTTACAGCAGAGAAGGCGCCTTGCGCGTGGAGATGCAACAGCCAAGCGCCCTTCTTATACAGGCGTGACCCCGGCAACTCCTCTCGCTCACTGGTTCCGTGGGCAAGATTCCTGCATGGCATAGGGCTGGACTAGATGATCCTCGGGATCCCTCCCAACTGTATGATTCTTTGATTCTGAAAGGCGGGGCCCTTTTTGGCTGCAAGGAGGGCGGGCGGGCGGGCGGGAGTGGGAGGCCGCAGTGCCTGACGGGAGTTGTAGTCGCCGCCCTCGCCTCCTCCCACCGTCGGCGCCTGGCGGTCCAGTGTTGGCCACGCTTCGTCCGTCGGCGGGGCAGCTATGGCAGCAGCAGGCAGGTCGGCGCGGGCGGCGGGGCGCTGCTTCAGCCCCCTGCTCCAGTTTAGCCACCATCACTTGCGCTACGACAGGTACGGGGGGCGGGTGGGGGGCTGGCTGAAATGGGCTCCTTTCCAATCCTCCTCCTTCCTCAGTCGAGCCATCGCCCTCTTTCCCCCGTGGGTGGCGGGCAATGGCGAGCCCCTGCGCAGGCCGCCGAGGATTGGATCCCCTCCTTTTTCTGGCTCTTCCCCCACTTGCACCTCGCCTTTGGGGGGGATATATTAAGGCACCCACCCCCCAAAGATCTATATTGGGGGACCTACCTGTGTGTAGCCGCCGCTGCCGTGTAGTTTTCTCGGGGCGGAGCTCTTTTTTGGCGGGGCTGGGGAGGTTCTGCTGCATTTTGCTTTAGATGGTTCCCAACCTTTTTTTGGCCATGCCCCACCTAAGCATCTCTAAAATCCTGATGCCACTCCCCTTGTGACATATAATCCTTATTGTTCAAAAAGTGAACTCCTATTTACGTGGAGGAAGCCTAAAAGGCCATTAACTGTTAACAACTCATTCTCGAATTTCCCCCCTTAAAAATCAAAGTCCCCTCTGCGGGATGTGTGCCCCACGTTGGGAACCACGGCTTTAGATCCTCTCCTCTTTTTGCCACCCCCTTCATGCAGCTCTTGGGAATTTGCGAGGTCTCTCCCAGATTCCCTCCCTAGAGGTGTTTTTCTATCGCCTGGAGATGTGTTAGCACTCAGAAGGTGCCACAGCACCCAGGCGCTCAAAATGGGCTCTTGTGGTGCTTTTTATGTAGTATTTTTAGATCAGTGCGTCTCTGAGGATTGCACCCAATTTTGTGCCTTTTTCTCTGTGTCTCTCTTTTTTCTCCTCCAGTGAAGGGGGAATGAAGGCATCCTGGTGGAGTTTCCTTTCTGTGCAGCCGATAAGAGAGATACTGAGATACTCTCAGTTACTGAGATGATAAGAAAGCCCTGTGGGGTCGGGCCAAAGGTCAATTTAGTTCAGCGTCCTGTTTCAAACAGGAGATGCCAGGGGTTCCCAAACTGTGACCTGCAAACCACTTCATTCAGGTGGTCTGCAGCTTGTCTGTGAAAATACAGTAAGAAGTCGTACAGCACCTAGCACATTACAATTGCTATAACAGGCGGAGGAATTGTAAAGTGGGCCTCCAAGCCCCTCAGCAATTTTCAAGTGATCTATGGGGGTAAAGGTTTGGGAACCACTAGACTAGATATTTCCAGGATGCCACAAGAAAAAAATCATCAGACTTTCCTTTTGACTGGCTGGTTTGCCTTGCAGTCCTCTTTTAAAGGTCCTGGAGTTTGGCTTCTCTGGCAATTATATTGGCAGACTGGTACCTGCATTTTGAATATTTTATTAACGCTTTGATTTTTATTGTTTGTTTTAATATTGTGTAGAAGTTTGGAATGTCTATGTATGTTGCCTTGGAATCCCTTGGATGAAGACATGGGTTAGACATTTTCAAACAAGGTCATAGTTTGCAGTGGGGATAAGGGGGCGTGGAGTGGGCGGAAGAAGCTGGACTTCACTGACTCAAGAATAAGAAGCAATCCGAATAGCATGAGGATTTCATATCTATAGTTGATGCTTGGTTTGTTAGCTATTCATAGCTCAAAACATGTACACACACACACCATCTAAGGAAGTGATCTCATAGTAAATTCCATAGCTAAACTTTGTAGTTTGTGCAGAACTTTGTAGAGCAGTACCTCCAGGGATGAATAACCAGCATGTGAGAGATCTGTGTCCTGTTCAAATACTGTCATCAGCTGTGTCATCAGTGCATCTGATTTTGTTAGTAACTTGGTTCTCAGTACAATTTTATAGTTTCCTGTGTGGTGTTTTTATCTCCCTGTTGCACCATTCTTTCTATGGGAGTGTTCGGTGAGGCAGGTTACAACAAAGAGAATTTATCAAGCATCACTGAAATGCAAATGAACAATATTTTAAAAACCCTCTAACCCACTAATAATGTTGATCTGGTCTTTTTGAAACAGTAGCAGCAGACTTTCATCCTAACTAATAGCACAATGTTGAGAAAGCATGTTGGAATAAAATGGTCTTCTTCGCTGTTTGCCGAAAAGCAGACAGTGCTCTTCCCTTGGGGGGCCATTCTAAATATTGATGATGTTTCTGGGCAGGCCTCATTCATCTGTTGTACAACCAGTAGTGAGGGACCCCCCAAAAAGGCTTATAAAGTGGAGTAGAGTTCTTGAAGAGATCTTTGTAGGGGGAAGCAGGAACAGCCGGCTTGGTGATTATGTCTAACAATGCTGCCACTGCCACTTACAGTGGAGCCAAAGCAGCTCACTTCCTGCTGCACCGACACAGCCCTGACCTTGCTGCTAACTTGCCCGACTCCAGGAGCAAATTGCTTACCATTGGAGCTAGTAAAGGGTCCGTGTAATGTCATCTGATGTCACCTTACTTCTGGACTGACTTAATGGGCAGCCCAATGCAGAGGATGGTACAGAACTAGTCTAGCTTGGAAGTACGGCTGCAAGACGAAGGAAGGTTTTGATTCGAATGGTATGTCCACTGAGTTTTGGCCTTCTTAATGACAGATTTGTTAACAGAACCCAGACTGTCTAGTTGAAGAGAATAGTTCATCATTCCTAAATCTGTTGTCATTCAGGCAAGTGCTTTCAGAAGCTGTTTCCTTCCTTCCTTATGCAATGTTTGTGTACACCCACAGCTAAGAGGACAAAAGGTCACTCAGGGAACATATGCCCCTCAAATGCTGCAATTCTGCTGTCTAGGTAGGTCCTTTTGATCCCCTAATGTGTGTGTCACTTTTCAAAGGCAAAGGCATTACCCATCTCTTTACCAAAAAAAATTAATAGAACTTTGCCTTTGGGTTTGGAGATTATTTATTTCAAGTAGCAGAGTCACACACTCGCTGTGCAACCCAGCATTTCAACAAGAAGCGAAACTTCCTTTCCCCCCTGTCCAAATCCAGCTCCATGTATCACTTCTGTGTGGGTGGTTGGAACACAGCCCCCACTCCCTTTGGGTGTGAAGTAGATCATCCAAGCAAACAGGCAATAGGACCATTAGATACCTACCTTTCAGGTGTGCTAATACAGATCCCTCTCTGCTCCCTGGAATCCCTGCAAACAGTTTAACAATGGCAGCTTATGCTTTCACTATAGCATTCACTATAAACCCCCAAACCTGGTATTCCCTCAAAACCTATGCCAAATTTTGTGTTGTTTTGTGCCACAAACCCTACATTTTATGCTGCTGCCCACAACTGTGTACCAGTGTATAAAATCAGAATTTGTAGTTAACACTCCAAAACACAGCACAGTTGGATTGTCTCCAAACGTAGACATCCGTCCTCTTTTCACATGTACTTCAGATAGTAGAGTCAAGCGTTAGGAAGCAGTTTCTTCTGATTCAGTTTTGTTACTAAACTGAGTGCTTCAGGACAGAACAAATGTTAATGTAAAAGTGTTCCTCTCCATTAGAAACTGAGCAGCAAGATTCATTCAGAGCTTGGCAACATTTTAAAAATGCTGGCAAAGCACTGAGCCTTGTTTACCTAAAGAGGAAAGAGTAGAGTTTTGTTATAGAAGCGTGGGACCTGCGGCCATTCAGACACTACTCTACTCCAACTCCCATAATCCTTGCTGGCTGGGGCTGATGAGAGCCCAGCTGGATCCCTCTTATGATTTTACAGTTTGCATATTAGCAACAGCACAGCTCTGAGTTTTCCCTTACGGGCAAAAAATAGCTTGCATAGCTGCAAAACTGCCCCAGATGCTTTTCAGGTGAGTGCATTCAGATCAGCTGAACAATAGTGTACACAGTTGGCTATGATATGTGGCATGTTGCCAACACCCTGAATGAGATGATTTCAAAGAGTCTTTGTCCTGCAAAACATTCTTGCTATAACTAGCATTGATGCAAAAAAACCTGACCTGGGTTCCCGTGCTGTTGAACACAAAGTGTAGCAAATGGCTGGTTCACCAAGCTCCCTCTGTAATCGTCATCATACACATGCTGTAAATGCTAAAGGGATGGGCACAATATAAATTTTCTTCTTACTTGCCAACCAGCATTTAATGTCACAGAGAAGCGGCTTTAAAAAGGGGGGCAGGGAGCAAGTTGTTCCTCTAATCAACGACACCCGGATCAAGTTTTCCAACCTACATGCAAAAGGCTGTTGCTTTTCAGTCTTTCTTCTTCACAGGATTGGGAGAGAGATTAATCTTTTATCTGCTGGAAGAAGGTGTGAATAAAAATTCCCACCCAATAGCACAAGACTGAGGCCTGTGTTCCCTTGACCTGGTCCACTGCTGCCTCCACCCAAGTCCTGATGGTGGGAAAACACAAGGCTGGAGCTAGCTGATACTTCACTATTTTAAACAGACACCTTTGAAAGTGTTCCTGCTTCTCTCCTCATTGTTTGTCACTGTCTTGTTTCAGAGGCTTGTCCTTTGCCTTCAGCACTGCTGCACAGCAGAGGAGCACAGGCGATGACTGTGGTCCAGAAGACCCTCCTGATGAGCCTAGACATCTCCTGAACGAGAACAGTTTAGAGCTCAAAGCCACCAAATTGGAAGAACAAGTCCGTGTCCTAACAGTATGTATCGCCCTTAACTTGGCTGTTTGCCCTAACACTTATTTTTTAGGTTTCAGCTTTTGTATGTCTTAAATACCCAGTCCCAAAATCTACAGCATGCAGTAGTCAAAGGATCAGATTAGTAGAATTAGATAGCATCCCCTGCTGCCACTCTCCCCCCGCAACCCCTGCAGCATAACTCCTGCCACTGTTGCCAGCCTCCTCCTCCAGGCAGGCTAGCTGGTGGTGAAAGCAGATCAGAACAAGTGTCTGTTTGTTTGGGTCCCTTCCGGCTGGTAGAGAAAAGGGAGGATGACGACAAAGGTCTACCAGCAAGATGTCAGTTCCAGGGAGCCCTGCCAGGGTGTGCAGGCCCCAGCATTTGCCTGACCGTGCTGAGAGCTGACACTAGGCCTGGTGTACAGCATTGCAGCCGTCATTGTTATGTGCACTGAATTTACTCTTAAGCATTTAAGGCTATTTAATTGTGTGTCCGTTACTTTTCCAAACATAGAGCTAGGACAATAGTTGAAACATTCCAGAACAGCAGATACCCAGCTGGTGACATCTCTAGTGACCATCACTGCTGTCTGCCTGGGCTCTTTAAAGAGGGGGCAGTCAGAAGGAACAACTCCAAACTGTTGTTTTCCACACAGGGGGAAAGCACCGTTCTGTGTAGCACTGCCTGTCCTTCCTGTCATCCACTAAATGCTCAGTGTGATGGGATGCGTTTGTGCACTCACAGTCCATCAGTATTCAGTAAGCAAGGGGGAAGTCTACATGCATATCCTCTGGATAGCATGAGCAACAGTGTCTAGAGACCGTCATTAGACTTTGTCCTGTGCTCAGCATAAGGAGGGGCAATGGCAGCAGACCATTTATGCTTAGGCAAGCCTATCCAGACAAGTAGAGTGTTGATATGTGTGTTTCATCTGGTTCTCTGCTGATTTTAGTTGTTATTATTTTTTAATGTTTTAAGTAGTTGCTTTTAACTGTGTTTTTACTGATAATCTTAGGGTTTTTGTCTTTTTGTACACTGCTTTGAGGCTTTATTACCGTCAAGCTGTATATACATTTTGCAAAACAAATGTAATAAATAAGGCATTGGTTATGTTAGTAGATGCTGCTTTCCCATTTTCTTTCTGCTGCATAAGTATGCATGCATGTACATCTGCCGTAGCTATTTCTTGCCATTGTTTGTCAGTAGAAGAGGGTAATGAAGTGGGGTGGGGAGATCTTTAGGTCTTTTTCAATATGGCCCATTCATTTCAACAGGAAGTCACACAGGCAATGCATTTTATCTAAGAGCAGCAACTGAAGGCTGTGTCTGTCAAGCAAAGCTGCGCTCAACCCTCTTGGTCCAGGCTTGCAGCATTATAGATGGCCCATTGCCCTGTTGCTTTGGGAGATGTTCTTGTCTGACTCTGCTTCTTACTGTGTGTGCAGGAACGGTACCAAAGAGCCCTGACAGATTCTGAAAATGTTAGGCGGAGAACGCAGAAGTTTGTCGAGGATGCTAAGATATTTGGTGAGTAAAAAGGGTGCTGGTATTGTGCAGAGCTTGTACCTACCACCCCATGTGCTCTGCTTTATTTGTTTATTTAAGGTATTTATATACCACCCTTCAAAATGTTTATCTCAGGGTGATTTATGTTGCAAATAAAATCAATGAGCAAATAACACAAACATTAATTAAAACAACAGTACATCTATCAGGGGTTTTTTTTTTAAAAAAAAAGTTTGAGTGTCAGTATTTGCTGGACCTTGATTCTTCTTTTATACAGAGAATGTTATAAGGACTGAGACTCTAATGCATTGTGTCTGCCCTTTGAACAGTCATCCTCACCTTTCTGATCTATGAATCTACAGGCATCCAGAGTTTCTGTAGAGACCTGGTAGAAGTGGCAGATATCTTGGAGAAGACCACCGAGAGTACCACAAGTGGAGAGCACGATGACCCAACTCTGACTCTCAAGAAGATATGCGAAGGCTTGTCTCTCATAGAGTCCAAACTGCAAAGCATATTTGTGAAGCATGGCCTGCAGAAAATGAACCCCATTGGTGGCAAATATGACCCCTACGACCATGAAATAGTCTGTCATGTGCCAGCAGATGAAATGCAGCCAGGCACTGTGGCATTAGTGACTCTGGATGGATATAAACTTCACGGCCGCACTATTAGACATGCGCATGTGGGTGTGGCAGTAGAATCACACGAATGAGGTGGACACGTTTTATAAATACTTGAGACCTTAATGGACTGATTTCTCTGTCCATGTGACTGTTGCTGCTATAGCATGGATTTTTATTTATTAAGCCAAATTTGTTACCTGCTGGCCTCTCAGGATGAGTTGCAATGGCCTGATCTTCACTTCCAAGATGTACAGCTAATTTAATATTACTTGTTCTGTGTCATAAATGGTGTATGTCGTCAGAGGTAGTGCTGTGACTTTTCTGGTTTTCCATTAAATTCTGTTGTGGGTTTTGAGGGGAAGGAGGACTCCTAATAATTCCTAATGATAAGGGAAGGGCCATAATTCCAAGAAGGGAAAGGAAGTAGCTCAATTGTAGACCAATGTTGTATGCAGAAGGTACCATTTTTGTCCCTGGCATCTCAAGGCAATATTAAAAATATCTGAGACCAGTCAGGGTAGACAAAGGGGTAGTCCTCCAGGATGCTGTGGAATACAGCTCCCATCAGCCCCAGACAGCAGGAGTAATGATCAGGGATGATGGGAGCTGTAGTCCAGAAGGTCGACTACCCATGGTGTAGATAATACTGACCAGTGGTCTGACTTGGTATAAGTGATTACATTAGAACTTTCTGTGTTCTTACAAATGCACTCTGCTTTCCTTGAATTTTGGTTCAGCTGCCGCAACCTCTGTTTTTCTATATGTAAAGTGGGAATATGATAGTTGCCTGCCTCCCAGAAATGCTACAATTATTTCTCAGCCGTAAAACGTTTTGAAAACGAGTGATGAGTACTGTGAAGGGGCTTTGATACCCAGCAGAAGTGCATCTGGAGGTGTTAATTTGTAAATTCTTTCTGCAGGTGGAGATCTTCCTCAGGTTACTTGGCTATTTCAACCCTGTGAAATCTCCACTGTGGTATGTATAGGGATATGGATGAGTCCTTTCTCATTGCCATTTAAAATACTGGACAAAATGGGCCAGTAGCTCAACAGTTTAAGGAAACAAAATAGACTTTTTGTGAAGATTCAGGTTTCTTGGCCATAAATTCTCCCTCAAATTATGTACCAAAGTTTTCAAGCACAATTTGCTATGTTATCAATGCTGGAAGAGATGGAGTGGTCTTCTACTCCAAAAGGGGAAGTATAGTCTTTCAAGTTTGAGCTCAAAAGTAATTGCTATGCAAATGGCACTGTGAAAAATCTGGATTCAGAGACTACTAGATTAGCTATCAAAATACATGATTTGTTTTTCATTTAGTATTTTTTTAAAAAAGAGAAAGTGTCTAAGCAAAGTGTACTTCAGCTTATTTCAGTAAAAATAGCAGGGAAATTATCCGATCAGAGTTTCAGCCCAAGTTATGAGGTGACTTCCAGCTAGAGAATAAATTGGTATCATTCTGTCAACAAGTGGATGCTTGGCTCTGATCAGTTTTTGTGTGACAGGTAGGCTAAACATGCAAGCGTGAAAAATCCTAACTCTGTTTGAGAGATGATTGAGGTAACCCAACATGTTGGCTTCATTCTGAATCCTAGGTGAAAGTTCAAAGAAATCTCAGTGAGTGTGGCCTTATTTTAGACTCACACCCATTTTCTTTTTCAGAGTTTTGTCCTATCTTGCTATCTTGTCTATGTTTGGTTAGAATTCATCAGCTGAAAGTTCCTGACACTGCTGGCTCCCATGTTATTTGTATTAGCTTTGTCTGTACTGCCCAGAAAGAGATCTCTTGCCTCTGAAATTATAAAAATGAAAGATTCAAGTCGGTATTGATTTCCAGGATTTCCTCCCTACCATATACATTCTTGTGTTCGTTAGAAAGAAGTGGTGTTTCATATGTGCATATTCAGCGGTGGACTTGGGGCTCTCAGATTTCAGCGGCAACGCTAAAATTCAGTGCCCCCTCCCACTACTTGCGCTTGATTCTATGGCACTGTTGTGGCGCAGGGCGGCACCCAATGCGGCCAAACCAGGCATGCTACCCTAAAACCACCTCTGGCATATTCTCAGGCAGATGTACATGAACTGAATTAATCCACAAAGGGTTATCTGCAGCACCAAACGGGGGGGGGGGGGACTTTGGGCTACAAGTGAATGATCCTTAGAGCAATATAAGAGATTATGTTAGAGCACATTTCTAATTTAAAATAGATTTAAGATTTGTATTTCCCCCCCCAAGGCAAAAGAACAAAATATTTTTCCAGCACAGTCATGCATGTTTGCTCAGAAGTTCCATAGGAAATAAGATTTAAATTGCATCTTGAACTGCAGTCCTGTGAACGATTACCCTGAGCAAGACCCGCTGAGTACAATGGGCTTGTTTCCAAGAAAACACAGATTACAGTGTTTGTCTTCCAGTTGAAGAACTGCTCAAAAAAAGCAGTGAGCTATTTATGTGTACAATACAAATCCATACAGTTGAATGCTGCACTTATTAAACCAAAAGTTTTTGCTTTTGCTGGGTAAGGAAGACAACTCAAGTTGTTCAGAACATAACAATGTATTGAAGTCACTCTGCACCATATTCTTACAAATAAAAGTTACCTTTACAAGGCTGCAACATGTGGTATTGACTTTGAATACCTCCTAAAGAGGATGTGCCCAGTCGGAAATTTAGAAATGTTTGATTTCTTACCATTTTGAAATCAGCCGGAATCTTGGGGGAAATGTAATTTAATTGTGTTTGTTTTGATTTAGCACACATGCTAGAGGGGTTATATTCTGCAGGCACCATGGCAACAGCCACTATCCAATGTTTAATTTCTTCAGTATTAAATAAAAGAGCACGCTAGCCTAAAATGCACTCTGGTTAAATGCTCTGGATTATCATTAGCTCTTTGCAGGGATTCCCACAGGGCGATGTTGATGTCAGCATTCATGTCACGTTTTCAGACACTTGAGTTGGTCTGCCAAAGGTCCAGGTGCCTGAAGCCAGCTCTCGCTGCTTTGCCATCAGGTGTAACTGCGCCAGCAGCATGTGCTGAACTCCGCAGGCAAGCAAGCAGGCGCCCCACCTTGGATGTTTACACCCAAGAGAGGGCTGGCAAACATGGCACCTCGGTGGCCCACCCCTCTTAAAGCTCCAGGAGATGCAATGATGGAGACGGGCAGCAGAGTGGGGCCCTTCCCCTTGCAAGCTGAGTTCAAAAGAACCAGCGTCTTCCTAGGAAAGACGCGAATCCACGGCCGACCACAAAAGGCGGCAAGAGCTTCTGCTTGCGGCTGCACAGTTCCCAGTTTTAAGCTTCGAAAAACAGCAAATGATGAATGGTAATTAAGCGGGGAAGCCGCATGGCAAATGAAGAACGGGGGCAAGGGAATCGGAGCAAGACTCAGAGCTGAAAGCATCGGGTTTAAGCATTTGCGCGCTTCGCGAAGCAAGCCTAATGCGGGTGCCCTCGCGGCCATGGAGCGCAGCAAGCAAAGGGAACCGGTGGCCCTCCAGGTGCGCTTCGCCTTCAACTCCCGTCATCCCTTGCACTTGATGACCGACGGTCGGGGATGACGGGAGTTGTAGTCCGAAAGCCTGGCGGGCGGCGGGTTCCCTGTTCGAGGTTGCATCCTGGGCTCAGAAGGGGAGTCTCTTGAAGGAGGCCGCCTCTCGCCCCTTGCACTCCACGAAGAAGGCGGCGCTGCGAGAGGCGCAGCCAATGCCGAAGCCAAGCCCTTGCTCCCTCCTCGCTCCCTCGGGAAGCGCTGCTGGCGAGTGGACGGAGGCGAGAGGCTCCTCCGCCGGCCCCGCAGCCGAGAAGCCGTCGGGCAGGCGAGCGAGCCGGAGCTCGGCTGCGCGGAGATGTAAACTGCGCACGTCGCGCTTTGCGTTCCCGCCTCCCGCGCCGCCGCCGCCGCTGCCAACATGATGGCAGCCTCCCATCGGCTGCTTTTGTTGCTCACCGTGGTAGCTGTAGGGGTGATGCGGAGGGAGCCCCCCGTCGCTGCGGCAGGGGATGCTCCGCCCGGCAAAATAGGTAGGCGCTGCTGTCGAAATCACAGGCGCGTAAGCACGGGGCGCCTGGGTTTTTACGCATCTAAGCGAGGCCCCCTGGGCGGCGGGATCGGAGCGCTTTGCCGTCCGTCCGGTGTGAGATTGTCGACGGGGGTGTGAGGAAAGACAAGTGTTTAAGATAAGAAACAAATAGTCCCGAGGATGAGGCTGCACGGACCTGTCAGGGCATGCAGGAGGCTAGGGCTGAATAATTGGCATTAAGGATGCTTCTGTAGTGGCGAAATAGGAAGCTGCCCTCTACTGAACCAGACTGTTTGTCCATTTAGCTCAGGCTTGTCTGCACTGACTGGCAGCTGCTCTTCAGGCTTCCAGACAAGGACAGCTCCCAGCCCTACCTGCATATGCCAGGGATTGAACCTGCTCGGCAGCTGAGTGATGGCCGTTTCCCCTTAAGCACAGGCCGTTTTTGCCTGCTAGTCACACATTCTCTAGTATGACATTTGTCCCAGGATTCGCCATTATTGCAGTTGTTCATAATAATGGCAGCCACCATAACAAAGGCACACAAAGCCTTTGCTGACAAGAATAAGATGGCAAGTTGCTCGGGGGTAGCCAGAGGATGTTGGACTTTGAGAGGCATGTGGGGCTGATTTACACAGTAGTTCTTTCCTTAGCCACTCATCACCCCTGACTTCTGTATGTACTTGAGTGAGTTTAGATAATGGGAAAGGGGGCTTCAGCTAAATATTAGGAAGGATCTCCTGGTGGTAGGGGCTGTTTGCCAGTGGAATACAGCAGAACAGGAAGCATTGGAAAGTGGTGGCCTTTTCTTCAGTAGAAGTTTTTAAGCAAAGGCTGGCTGGCTGGCCATGTATAAGGAATGCTGTGGCAGCAGGTTTCCTGCATGGACCAGGGCTTGGACAAGATGTTTTATTGCTTTATTATTATAATTAATATTCTGTTGGGAGCCACGCAGAGTGTCTGGGGAAACCCAGCCAGATGGGTGAGGTATAAAATTATTATTATTATTATTATTATTATTATTATTATTATTATTATTCCCTTGAGTTGCCTTAACTCTGTATCTGGGAAATGTGTACCTGACCACTTTGATGAAGATTTCCAGTACTTAATGAGCACAAGATCATCAGAGCATTTGTTGGTCTTTAAGATGCTACAGGACTCAGGTTGCTTTGCTACATGCTTCCAGGGCTACCATTTTGGAACCAATCAAAATCTTAAAATCATTCACGGTGGGCTTTTTCTTGCTCTGTAGGTTTTTTTATTAAAAGAAAATAAAGGTAAAGGTAAAGGTACCCCTACCCGTACAGGCCAGTCGTGTCCGACTCTGGGGTTGCGCGCTCATCTCGCTTAAGAGGCCGGGGGCCAGTGCTGTCCAAAGACACTTCCGGGTCACGTGGCCAGCGTGACAAGCTGCATCTGGCGAGCCAGCGCAGCACACGGAAACGCCGTTTACCTTCCCGCTAGTAAGCGGTCCCTATTTATCTACTTGCACCCGGGGGTGCTTTCGAACTGCTAGGTTGGCAGGCACTGGGACCGAGCAACGGGAGCGCACCCCACCGCGGGGATTCGAACCGCCAACCTGACGATCGGCAAGTCCTAGGCGCTGAGGTTTTACCCACAGCGCTACCCGCATCCCTTTAAAAGAAAATACTACTGCATTTTTTGAGCATGTGCAGACAGCAGCAACTCGCCATGTAAAGTAATTGATGTGATATTTGGCATAAAGCTGCAGCTTGGTATACACGTCTGTCACACACACACACACACACACACACACACACACACACACAGAGTTAACCATTCAGATTCAGATGAAAGCTTGCTGTGGCCTTCTGCAGAACTTTCCCTTGCTTCATAGCAACAGTTTTCATTTGGCGAAGAACACGGGTAAAATATCAGGCCAAATGACTGGGTTGGAAAACCTTCCTCTTCATTGTGTGGCATCCTCCCTGCAGGACAAAGGATTGTTTAAGGGTCAGTGTGTAAGATGAGCAACCTGCTGGTCCTTCGAGGAGTGGGATGGGTGGTCAGAGGTGGGCATGCATCTGCTGTGCCTTATCCTCACCCCTCTGCTTTTGCCTTGGCAGCTGTAGTGGGAGCTGGGATTGGCGGCTCTTCGGTGGCCCACTTCCTGCAGCAGCACTTTGGGCCACAGGTGCAACTGGACGTGTACGAAAAGGACACCGTTGGGGGCCGCCTGGCCACGGTCACTGTCAACAAACAGCAGTATGAAATCGGTGGTGCCTCCATTCACTCTCTCAACCTACACATGCAGGACTTTGTTAAGCTGCTGGGTGAGTGTGGGTACAATCATCACACTGGAAACAATTGCATTCGGGCCAGGTTTTGTAGCCCGTACAAAATCTGCAAAACAGTATTGTAAAAGCAGAAGGCTGCATTGCCTGCGCTCCCTGGCTCATGAAGGAGGACAGAAAGTAGCCTTACTCTTCTACCTCATTGTCCCCTTATCCTAGGGCTGAAGCACCGTCGGGAATTGGCCGGGAAGAGCGCCATCTTTAGCGGGGAGCAGTTTGCCCTAGAGGAGACAGACTGGTACCTGCTGAACCTCTTCCGACTCTGGTGGCACTACGGCACGAGCTTCCTGCGCCTACAGATGTGGGTGGAGGAGGTAATGGAGAAGTTCATGAGGTATGTGACAGAGGTGGTGAGACCTCTGGGGAGGAAAAGAGGGTGGTCTTCCTTCTCCTTTAAACCCAGAAATCTCCAGCTAGGCTGAAGAGATGCACTGAACTTCCTTTAGATCTCCTGGCATAAAGATCTGACTGCTCCAGATTTGTCTCCTTCTTTTTTGTGTCCTGCAGGATCTACAAATACCAGGCCCATGGCTATGCGTTTTCTCGCCTTGAGGAGCTCCTGCGTTCGCTGGGTGGGGACACGTTTGTCAACATGACACAGCGCTCTGTGGCAGAGTCCCTGCTGGAGGTGGGCATCACACAGCGCTTCATTGACGAGGTCATTGTGGCCATTCTCCGTGCCAGCTATGGCCAGTCAGTACTGGTGCCTGCGTTTGCAGGTGAGTGCCACCTTTTGCTATCTTGCTGCAGACCAACCAAGCAAGGCCAAAGGTGTCTCTTTCCAGTGGAGCACTGACTGATCTCGATAGACCAGGGCATGTTGCTGGAGAGAATGGTATCTTCATTACTTTATTATTATTATTCTGACACCTAACCCCTCTGTATTTCTATCTTCAGGGGCCATGTCCCTAGCAGGGGCACAGGGCAACATGTGGTCTGTGGAAGGCGGCAACAACCTGGTGTGTTCAGGCTTGCTGAAGCTGACGAAAGCCAACATAATTGAGGCCACTGTGACAGCCATTTCTCTGCACAACTCAGGTAAGCTGCCCAGAGCTGAAACAAAACCAGGAGATCTCGGGTAACAGGACTGGGCACTACCTTTGCTTGAGACCTTGAAGATGAAGTTAGCTAGATCAGGGGTCACCAACCTGGTGCCCTCCAGGTTGCTGGAGCATAACTCCCATCATCACTGACCATTGGCCATGCCAGCTGGGCAAGGACAGGGTTTGGCAAACAATGAAGAGAAGGAGACCAGCTCAGATCTCCTAAGGAACTAAAACAGGGATCAGCAAACTTTTTCAGCATGGGGCCGGTCCACTGTCCCTCAGACCTTGGGGGGGCAGACTTTTTTTGGGGGGGGGGGGAATGAACGAATTCCTATGCTGCACAAATAACCCAGAGATGCATTTTAAATAAAAGCACACATTCTGCTCATGTAAAAACACCAGGCAGGCCCCACAAATAACCCAGAGATGCATTTTAAATAAAAGGGCATATTGTACTCATGTAAAAACATGCTGCTTACCAGACCGTCCATGGGCCGGATTTAGAAGGAGATTGGGCCGGATCTGGACCCCTGACCTTAGTTTGCCTACCCATGAACTAAAACTTTCCAATTCAGTTGTACTTCTCTTAAGAGACCTTATTATGGACAGCAGCTGGTACACCACCAATGGCCTTGCATGGCAGGGGTGAAGTTGAGGATTACTTTAACTTTATATTTCCCTACTTGTGTCTTGAAAATGCTTGCAAAGAAGGAGCCAGAACATGCCTGCAGACAAGGATCTGTAGGAAGTGGGTCTTGGGACCTTCTTTGCTGTTCATTTGTCTCAGCTCCTTTCCAGATGATCAGTTGGTTGCACAATAAATTATAAACAATGCATATTTACTGCAGAGACTCTGCATTCCTCCGCTGTTCTGTTGCAGGGACGTTATGTTTTCTGAGCACTAAAAAAGTACAATATTTTATACTTGGGAAAATCCAGTGTTCTCTCTCGGTTGTGCATTCATTACTGTTGTGATTGCTTTATGTAGATGTGGCCAGGCAGGTGTGACAAGTTGAATTATTTTGTGATGCAGTCAGTGAGGAGCAACAAAACTCTCCCCTTATGTACCTGGATCATTTAGTATTGGATCATTCTTTTTTAAAAAAAGAAAAAATTCTTAAGAGACTATGTTTTCTTCACAGTCGGAATCTTTATCAAAATATATTTCTCTTTAAGCACTTACAATAGGCTAACTCCCACCCTTTTCATCTTGTCTACATCCCTTCCTATATTTCATTATTTCTGTTAATTATATAGGCAGTAGGTAATATCCAGCATTAGGGACGTGGGTGGCGCTGTGGGTAAAACCTCAGCGCCTAGGACTTGCCGATCGCATGGTCGGCGGTTCGAATCCCCGCGGCGGGGTGAGCTCCCGTCGTTCGGTCCCAGCTCCTGCCCACCTAGCAGTTCGAAAGCACCCTCAAGTACAAGTAGATAAATAGGTACCGCTGTATAGCGGGAAGGTAAACGGCGTTTCCGTGTGCTGCTCTGGTGCCGGTTCGCCGGAGCAGCTTCGTCACGCTGGCCACGTGACCTGGAAGTGTCTGCGGACAGCGCTGGCTCGCAGCCTCTAGAGTGAGATGAGCGCACAACCCTAGAGTCTATCAAGACTGGCCCGTACGGGCAGGGGTACCTTTACCTTTACCTAATATCCAGCATTAGCCATACTCAGAGAATATCCATTGACATCAGTGGACAAGTTGTTTAAATCCATTGACATCAATGGGTATACTCTTGAGTGTGACTTAGTTGGCCTTAGCCCAATAGAGCTTGCTGAAACACATCATTGTTATATTAATTTTATTTATTAAATGTGAATGCTGCCGTATATCCATAGATCTCAGGATAGTTCGCAACATAAAATTACAGTATGAAAAACACAATTGTGCTGCTGCTGCATTCACATGCTTTCATTTTATGCCACTGTGAACCTTACAGTCTCATGCTTGCTATCTCACAAGCTGTTGAGTAGCTCCAGATGCTGCTTGACAACAAACTCCCATGATCCTTGACTGTTGGCCATGCTGGCTGGGGCTGATGGGAATTGGAGTCCAACAACATCTGGAGAAGTACCACCTTGGCCACCCTTCCTGCAGCTTATCAGCCAGATCTGGTGTATCTTGTAGTTAACAGTGCTCCTTTTGACAGTGTACCCAAGACTGAGACATCCGTAGACGTACACACCCTCACTTTCATATGCTCCAATATTTTGGTCTTTCCTAGTATCACTTGCATCTGTGCACACAGAAGGTGGGAGGATTCCCCACCTGCTTACTAGTAGACAGTCAGAAATACAGTCGCTGTTTACTCTTATATCTGTCACTTGTGCAAAATGTATATCAACTCTATGTGTCTGGTCTAGCTCACCAGGCAGGGTCTGGAAGCTTAAACCAGCAACAACAAGAAAATAATAAGAAACAGAGGGGAAGGGGTTAACTAAGGAACATGGAGAACCTCAGAGCCTTGGCAGATTGTTGAAGAAGCTTTCCAGCTTCTAGGTCTTACCCATTTAGCTCCTTAAAACCTTCAGCAGGATGTGAGGGTAGTTTTTGTGTATTTGAGTTGCTGTTTTGAGCTCTCTCTCTCTCTCTCTCCACTCTTTGCAGAAGGAAAAAACTTCTACCAGGTTCACTATGAGGACGAGGAAGGCCAAGGCTCTAGCTTCTATGACATCGTGGTTATTGCTGCTCCACTGCATAATAACAAGAGCAACATCAGCTTCCAGAACTTTGACCCTCCCATTGCTGAGTTCCCAGGGACCTTCCACACCACGGTCACTTCTGTCATCCATGGCTACCTCAACTCCTCTTATTTTGGCTTCCCAGATCCAAAGCTCTTCCCCTTTGCCAGCATCCTCACCACAGATGCTCCTGTCCTCTTCTTCAGTTCCATGGACAACATTTGCCCCGTCAATATATCCAGTACCTTTAGGCGGAAGCAGCCCCAAGAGGCAGCCATATGGCGAGTCCACTCCCAGCACCCCTTGGAGAAGCAAGAGTTGAAGACTCTGTTCCGTTCCTACTACTCTGTCCAGGTGACGGAATGGCAGGCCTATCCTGACTATGGGTCTTCCAAGAGCCTCCCGCCCATTGTCCTCCACGATAACCTCTACTACCTCAACAGCATGGAGTGGGCAGCCAGCTCAATGGAAATGGCTGCTGTGGCGGCCAAAAACGTGGCCCTCTTAGCCTACAACTTCTGGAATCGTGACCTAGAGAAAATAGACCAGAAGGACCTGATGCACAAAGTGAAGACCGAGCTGTGACTTTATAGCAGTTGCTGCTAGAGTAGACTTTCCAGGAAACTCTCCTTTAGTGCATGCAGGGCGGGAATTGGGGTAGGGGTGGGGGGTATTGAAGGATTACACTGGAGGTTTAGCAAGGAGAGAAACAGAAGACTTGGCATACATCCCCATGTGTCTATTGTCTACAATAAGGGCATCCCCCTTCCTGCTATGTTTCAGAGAGTCTGTGAATCAATATCTACATGTGCCCAGCTAGTACGGCTTCCTCTTGAGATAACCTTGGAAGGGACCTGAGCTGGTTAATGGGGAGCATCGTATACTGATTCCAGCCTTGATGGGCTGGTTTTCTGCTTCAGGCTAAGTGTTCCTTACCTGCTGCCCCATATCCATGCACTGCCACTGTCCATAACTGTTCAGGGCAAAACAAAACCCTGTCCTAGAATGGATGGATTGCCTCCTAAGCCTCTGCAGTCCTTACCCCTGAGTTGATTTGTGTTGGCCTTTCTCTTTACGCATAGGCCTCTATACTCAAGGGAACGGGCAGAGCACTGTCTCTGATGTGACTCCTTTTTGTGTCTTTGTGTGTGTCTGTTTTGCCATCCAAAACAATGTTGTTCCTTTTGCTTTGTTGCCAAGCTTCATGAACTTGCCTCTAATTGTAGTCAGCTAGAGAGCCCTGAGATGGGTCTCCTGGTATTGGCTACAGCTCAGGTTCTAACACCCTTTTGACTCTGACTGCCTGTACATATGTGAAACTGCATAAACCACTGCCCTGATCGCCTCAAACCCTTGCAGCTAATGGCTGATGTTGCCTTTCCCTGTGTATAATTGGGGGGGAGGGGACGGGTATAATCCCCCTAATGGCAAAAAAAGAAATTGGTTTCCATTGTTTCCAAACCAGAAGGAATTGCTGTATAAACACCTGGAACCTTTCCTGATTTGGTACTGTATGCTGTTTCCTTGAGCTGATTCTGTAGCTCCCGAAATGGTGACTAATGTACTCCTTGCCGTGCTGCTGATCTAGAGCCCTGCTCACCCCCCAGATTCCTTTCTATGGTCAAGGGATAGCTTGCTGAGTTGTCAAGAGCAAAGCTTCCTCTTGAGCAAAATTACCAGCCAGTGAGTTCTGCCATTTCTCAGAAAGGGCAAGGCTACTAGGAGCTGATATCGTTCTCTAATTAAGTTCTGCAGAGCTGAGCGCCTGCATGTGGCTGCTCTGTGAAATGCTGGGAAACTGAGTGAACTGAAAGGAAAACTACCCATTGTTTTCTCCCCAGTGCTGCAGCATTCTGGCACAAAGGCAGCCCCTGCATAGATTTAGGAGTGGCCTTCAGGTGTTGCTGGACTCACACTCCCATCAGCCCCAGCCAGAAGAGCCTGTGGTCAGGGAGGATGGGAGTTGTAGTCCACCAACCTCTGCATGGCTGCAGGTTGACCACCCCTGCCTTAGCATGTGGCTCCCTCTCTCTTGCACTGTTTTGCTTAAAGGACTTGCCTTCCACAAGCCAGAACTGTCTCCACTGCCACCATTCCTAGTCCTGGACTTCCTAGCCTGTGATGCTGCCTTGCACGAAGGCAAACCACTGGCCCATCAAAACCAGCCTTGTCTGTGTTCACTGACTGCACTTTCCCAAAAATCTCGGACAGGGATCTTTTGGCAGCTCTGCTGCCTGAGAACCATTTTAACGGAGCTGCCTGTGGTTAAACCTGGCACCTTTGAGCATACAAAAAAAATCCTGGGTTCTTGTCAGCGAGCTGTGGCTCTGCACCAAGGGATGCTGCTTCTGATATGTGCAGAAGGGTTGTGGGTTCCCAAAACGGCCATGGTCCTTGTCTCTAGGGTGTCACGAATAATGGATTGCCTCAGGATCTCTTGCTGCCTCCTGAGTCTGTCTAGTCTTTGGCACATGTGCCAAAGCTGCGGTGTTTGTTCCTCAGCCAAGCATTTTGCTGATACCTAGGCCCTGTGAACAGGGCTGCCAGCACAGGACTTTTAGAACTGTTTGGTATTAAGATAAGACATCTCCTTGTTAGTTTTGTGTGAGGTGTACAAGAGCCTGCCAAGTAGCCTTGAAAGGCCTCTCCTTCTCCACCAAGCACAGCAAGTACAGATTCTCCTGCTCCCACACAGAAGGCAGCAGGGCACTGTCAAAAGAGCAGTGGCCCAGCTTTGGGCCTTCAGTTGATACTGAAGATGTATCCTATCAAAGCCTCCATTTTGATAGTGCAACCCAGTAGGGAGGAGGACATGGAAGGGCCTCTTTGCATAGTGATGTCATCCTGGCCTAAGCCCTGAGCAACTCCAGCAGATGGGCTGCAGAGTCAGCTTGCAAACTGAGCAGCCATCAAGCCAGTGCTAAAGGGCTTTGAGCCCCAGATGGAGGGCAAGATGGTTGAAGCCGCTGCACCTTTGCTGGATCTCCTTCCTCCGCAGCAGCCACACAGCAGCTTCCCTTTCTGCTGAACTCCCGATTGAGCAGGCGTGCCTGGCAAAGAGTAAAAACTGGCACCAGTGACTGTAGATTCAGAGTTATTAGGGTGAAATGAAGCAATTTGCTCTGGATCCGTGTCGGATACAGTTAATTACCAATTGTGCGGCACAGAAAGCACTCAAGGTTGTGGGTTTGATCCCCATTTGGGTCAGCTGCATATTCTTGCATTGCAGAGAGTTGGACCAGATGATCCTCAAGGTCCGTTCCAGCTCTGCAATTCTACGATTCCAATATCTTGCTGTGTGCATGTGGCGCTGTCAACCTCTCTGCGGGTTATAGGAGAGAAGGAGTCCAACGAAAGCAGCTTTGGCCTCTGGAAGCACATAGATCTTCCCACATCTTGGCAGGAGAAAAAGCACGTTCTGGGAGAACGGAAGGGGAAGATGAGGCTAGGAAGACGGGAGCGCTACTAATCCTTAGGGAACCCGAAGCAGGAATAGCAGCAGTTCTCAGAAGATGCAAGTGCAGCCCACAGCAATGGTCTCCATCACGGTCTTGTACTCCTTGCGGCACCTCTTCTTCTTCCGGCTGGGGTTGCTTGGCTCACACAGCAGTCGGCGCACTGGGATTTTGCTGTGGATGGGGATGCTGACCATGGTGCGGTCTTCCTGCATGGTGAAGGGATTGATGCACCCAGCACACAGGCAGTGCGCCTCTGGGATGTTGGCTGGGATTCGTGCTGCGTCGTGGTTGATCCTGGAGTGGAAACGTGCTGACATCAGAACAAGCACATTCATTTGGGGGGCAGAGGGGGTGGGGCTCCTGAGGATAGGAAGGCAGGTCACATACATACCAAGCGGCGCCCCAGAATTTTGGGGTAACAACCACCATCTACCATGGCACCTTCCAGTGCATGTGTAAGTTAACTCAGTGAACTTGGACATGCACTGGAAGGTGTGACAGGAGGTGACTTGCTGAATCCTCCCAGAGAGGCCCATAAAATGTAGGAAGACCTACTTGATGTAGGAAGACCTTGGCATCAAGCACCATGGTGCATGCTCCAGTTTCTAATGGCCATACAATGGTAGGCATTCATGCCACAACAATAGCAAGAAAGGAATGGTGCCTGCAGAGCAAAACATCTGTGAACAAAGAGAAATGGAGGGGGTGCCCTTGCGCCGTATGAGGGAGAAAGTTCAAAGCAACACCTACCTTTGAAGTTATGTTTACAGGCATGTCCTGAGGAACACTGTGGTCCTAGGCTTGCAGAAGACCATTTAGTGCGGCCTCAGAAATAATCAGAATGTTGTGCCCCAGGGGTAGATTTCTTTAACTGCCTCTGCTGTGTGGTTTGAGCCAAGCCCCACTCTGCATAGCTTGGAAATGAGGTAGTAGAATCTGTTTCCCACCCAAAAACATACAGAGACACGTGATCCTAACTCTGTAATGCATGGTACTGTTTTTAAAGTCCCTATGGCAGAGGCACATTCAGAAGAACTTAGAAGCCTTTACTGCTTCAAATGGTTCAGTCTGAATGTAGGCTCAGACTGGTGCTACCCATTGACACAACAAAGCTTTAGTTACTCCATGCCGGGGGCAGTTCACTGAGCTGGTGAAACCAGATGTCGAGGAAACAGCAGTGGCTTCATGTGCCAAAGGTCCCAGGTAACCTGATGTGGTAAATGCATTGGTCCAAGTTCCTCCTGCCATGATCAAACTACAGCCACAAGGCCCAGAAAGGAATTGATTTTCTGCAGTGCTGAATCCATCAGAGTTATGTGGTCTCTGTTCTTAAAAAGGTGAGTGAAATGTCTCAGTTGGGCCCTTCAGAAAAGTGACACATTCATGTACTTTCAAGAGCACCACAAGGCGGGGATAGAGTGCCACAAAATCGGGCCAATACTACCAAGTTTTTCTGCTACTTCGCTAGCATTTTCTTGGCTGAGTCTTAAGCTAGGGCAGTATTAAATATAGGAATTAATTAGCATATGCTAATGAGTGACATATGGGAATGCCACAACCCTTGGATAGGCCACAATAGGGTGGGAAATGTCTGATTAGATAACATGATTGTTTTTAAACCAATTACAAATAAATCCCAGCGTGCCAGTGGTGCTCCTTGCTAGGAGGTCCAAGGTGCCTCTTGATCATGTGTGATGGCATCTCAAGTGTTGAAGCAGGTTGTAGCCTGCATGGGACGGGTGCGGGGGCACTTGTTGTCAACCCACTTCCTTCTGTCTCCAGCAGAAGGGTCTGAGTTAAAAAGATAAGCAAATACACTCCCCCAACACACACCACCCCACAGACAAATAGCAGTAATCATGACCAGTAATCATGCTGTTGGCTCTAAGTCAGTAGTTCCCAATTAGTGTGGCACCTCGGGTTACAGACGCTTCAGGTTACAGACTCCGCTAACCCAGAAGTAGTACCTCTGGTTAAGAATTTTGCTTCAGGATGAGAACAGAAATCGCACGGTGGCGGCATCAGCGGGAGGCCCCATTAGCTAAAGTGGTACCTCAGGTTAAGAACAGTTTCAGGTTAAGAACGGACCTCCAGAACGAATTAAGTTCTTAACCCGAGGTACCACTGTAGCTAGGTTCTGGGGACCACCTGTTTTTCAAGCCATGGACCCTCTACTTTTGACAGTTTTGATATCTCTGTGGTAGTTTTTGTTATATGAAAGGTGCCACGGAGGGGGTCCACCGACCACCTATTGGGAACCACTGTTCTAGGCCACAGATTGGTTGAATACCACACAGAAAGCAAAATGCAACCGAGGCACAATTTTTTGTCTTGTACAGATAGGCTTGTGAGAAGACCTGTGTGGGGCAACCACAATGCCTTGAGACCTGCTCTATCTCACCTGTAGGCCCACGGAGACAGGCTCCTCTTGTTGGACATCCAGAGCCTCAGGTTGACCTGGCACTTGCTCTCCAGGGGTTCAGAGCTGTTCCGCAGCTGGCTAACCATCTCATGGATGCTCTGCTCGTAATCCTCCACAAGGGTGTAGTCTGTGGAAGCCTCTGGGTTTACTCTTAGCACCGGGTCAGGTGAGGATTCCTGAGCCTTCAGGTGCTGAACCTTGGCTTTTGCTGATCCTCTCTTCTTTCCTTTAGCTCCCTTGCTTTGCTCTTTTGTTTCTCTGGAGGCATCAAGTGTGAAGGAAAGGCAGATAGCACAGAAAACCATCTGGAGAGGAAGAAAAGAGAGCACACTGGGTACTTTTCATCATACAACTCAGGGGCACCTTTGGCTCTCCAGAGGTTACTGAACTGCAATTCCCATCATCCCTAGCCATTGGCCATTTTGCTAAGACGTATGGAAGTTGTAGTTCAACAACATCTGGGAGGGCCAAAGGTTCACTATTCACTCCTTGTATAGGTAGTCACTAGCACTTGTCCCCTTTCAAGTAATTTAGTCAAAGCTGGGAAAGAGAGGGAGCCCCCAAACTGTCAGTATTTTGCAGGAGGGATGAAATTGCCTATGAGGAAATTGAGCTTTGCATAGTTAAAGTGGATTAGCGCACTCTGTCACCCTAGTGCAGCTGCAATTATTTTGCTATTAGGAAAGTGGCAAGAAGAAACATTGAAAAGTGTGGAATAAACAAATGATTATCAGGAAGATGTATAAGTACCCACCAGCAAATCCAGACAAATGCTTGTCATATAATCAGAGTAAATGCTCAACGACCAGAGTGGAAGAGCCCAGAGAGAGGATGCTCCCCCATCAAGGTGATCTCAGTTTGCAAATTGTTCTTCAAAATCATCCTCATCAGCACTTTCAGTGCAAATTTCTCCTCATAGACACATTTTTATACGCGATCTTGCCTAATAGACATTTTGCAAAGCAATTACCCCTAATGCAATGCATTTTTCTATTCTATTCCCAACAGAATATGCATTCCTATGGGTGTGTTACCCTATATATGCAGCTTTGTACACATTAGTTGCCTGGCCAACTGCACTGCAAAATTCAGAGAAGTCCGAATTTTGTAGGATGGCTGTGTTTTGGTTTGCATATTGTCTTGGGATGTGTGGATTAACTCGGTTCACCTTTTAATGTGCAGTGAACTGACTTTCTCCCCCATGCCTCACCATAAACGAAAGAACTTTATATGCACAAATCAACCATTCCCACGACATTCTTAACTGCTGTCCATTTTGTCCCCATCTGTGCTTCCTTCTATGGGATCCTTTCTTTCTTTCCCTCACTCTCTCTCTCTCTGGGAGGTCATTTTTGTCTCCTCAGTGCCAGGCCCTGAAAGCAATAGTTCACCCAGGCAAAGTTTACACTTCCCAAAGCAAACAAGCTCGACAGGCTGTTAATAAATAGAAAGTAAATAAAAAGAGGCACAAAGAAAGCCAGGCACCTACCAGTTTTGAAGCCCACTCCATGGCAGTGTGGGTGGGTGAGCGAGGACTCTGCAGATGCCCTCCCTCTGTGTTGAATGAAGAGAGCGAGTTGGGCTGGGTGCTTTTAAAAGAGAAGCAACAGCCCCTAATTGCTTCATTGCCAGGGAGGTGGGCCTGCCTGCCTGGCACCAAGAAACTTCCTCAGGGTGCCAGCTAGGTTGTTGACAGCCAGGAGGGACAACCCTCAGTGCTGCCCTGCTACTTCCCAGCAGGCATGTAGGTTTCCCCCAGGGACAGCGCAAACCGTGGCCACAGGCTGGCTGGCTTCAAGCACCTGCTTAGAGGACTCCAGGGTGGGTAGCAAAAAGGAGCTTTCTGAAGGCAGATTTCCCCAAGGCTGGGGGTAGGCAGGTATTATTCCATTGTAAAGACTTCCAAATTTCTCAGGCAAGAGGAACGACCATTGAATGTTGATCTTGGAAAGTGGTGAAGAGCGTTTCTCCAGGCTGAGGGAATGAGAGCAGGGCCTTCTGTGCTACCTGGGAGGCCTGGCTTTGAGTGGGTGGGTTGTTGAATGCAGGGCTTGTCCAAGGGCTGGAAGGTATAGATCCCACCCCATCCCCCAAAGTCAAGCAATTAGCATAGCCAGCGTCCCGGAAGGGACTTTGGGGCAACGCAAAGGCTACTTAGGGACAAGGACAAAATGGAAAGGTTGCACTCCAGTTTAGAAACGCAGGAGTGTGTTGTGTGGTGAAGGAGCAGGAATAGAAAGTCAGCGAAGTCTCCTTTTGCTTGCTTATTTATATACTGAGCACCTAGGACAATGATTTTCCAGAGGGGCAGCTGTGTTAGTCTGCAATGAAAACTGCAGAGAGTATTGTGGCACCTCAAAGGCTAGCAAATTTATTATGGCATAAGCTTTCGTGGACTACAGTCTATCTCATCAGATGAATGAAGTGTTATCCTGAGTTGCAAGTAGAGGATTGTAAACAGTGATAACAGAAAGAAATGAAATGCAGAAAAATCTCACTACTTGCACTTTTTTTGCATTTCATTTCTTTCTGACATCACTGTTTACTATTTCTCTCTCTCTCTCTCTCTCTCTCTGTGTGTGTGTGTGTGTGTGTGTGTGTGTGTAACACCCATAATGCAGGAAAAGACTTCATGCATCTGATGAAGTGCATTGTAATCCATTAAAGTTTATGCCATAATAAATTGTCTTGCTATTGTTTTACTATAACAAAGTCTCCCTTTTGCTTGCTTATTTATTAACGGAGCACCCAAGTATATAGAACTGTTGAGGAGGGATGAATAAATAGAGAAATATGTGTAAGTCTGGGCATTGGGTGGACCAAGATAGAAACAAGAAATGACCAGGTTTATAGGACCCATTGCTTGACCTTGAATACAGATCTCATTTCTTTCTTTTTCCTGCTTATCAAATATTTCTCTGAGGGAGAATCACCATCCCATGAAGCCAGGCTTTAATTTATCTTACATAGAGTACATATACATTGTCTCCATCCTCAATCTTTCTTAGGAAATGTCTAATGATTTGATTCTGCACACAAAAAGGCAACAGCAACAAAAGCCAAATAAACGCTAACATCGCCACACCTTTTTCCCCGCAACAGATTGCATTCAGGCCCTGCTGAATACTTCTGCCTTGGTTTCATCAGTTAGTGTATTAGGTTATGAAGTGCGTAATCAAGCAATGTATTAAGCAAGAAAAGCCTCTTGATGAAATACAAGACCCCTCCTCCTTAAATAACTAAAATCTGTGTCTTTTTAAGAAATGCCCAAGTAAGACATTGGGATGGGTTGTGTGTATGACCACATTCCCCAGTGCTGCAGTCCGCATACCAAAAACTCCACAGGTCCCAGAGCCACAAGACACACACAGTCAAATGAAAACAAGTCATAATCTTTCACAAATGTGTTTGCTTTTTTATATAAAACAGCGAGTTATATTTGCCTACACTCACTCTCTTTTCTCTGGAGTGCACACACAGAGTTCTTCTATCTCTCACACAAGCTAGGCAGCCTTACAGCAACCTGACCAAAAAGTTTGTTTGCTTTCTAAGCTCAGCTTAAATTATACCTAAGGGATGGATTTGACATTTGAATGCTGTAGAATAACTTGAAATGATCCAACGGTGGCTTGCAATTCTTGTTCCTCTCCTTTTTGCCTCTATTTCTGGTTTGACATCAGTGGAAGGAAAAGAAACCCATTTTAACTGTTTATATATGGTGGATGAGTTAGCTCAAGCTTCACCAGCCTGGAGCCATCCAGATGTTTTAGACTACAATCCCCAGCATAGACTCGCTAGGACTGATGGGAGTTGTAGTCCAAAACATCTGGAGGGCACCAAGTTGGCAAAGGCTGAGATAGTTGATGGTCAACTGACCCACTAGCTTTTATTAATAAAGGTGGTGTACTAATGGATTGGGACGCGGGTGGCGCTGTGGGTAAAACCTCAGTGCCTAGGACTTGCCGATCGTATGGTCGGCGGTTCGAATCCCCGCGGAGGGGTGAGCTCCCATTGTTCGGTCCCAGCTCCTGCCCACCTAGCAGTTCGAAAGCACCCCCAAGTGCAAGTAGATAAATAGGGACCGCTTTCTAGCGGGAAGGTAAACGGCGTTTCCGTGTGCTGCGCTGGTGCTGGCTCGCCAGAGCAGCTTCGTCACGCTGGCCACGTGACCCGGAAGTGTCTCCGGACAGCGCTGGCCCCCAGCCTCTTAAGTGAGATGGGCACACAACCCTAGAGTCGGACACGACTGGCCCGTACGGGCAGGGGTACCTTTACCTTTACTTTACTAATGGATTGCACATCAATAAATCAGTGGCTCAACACATGCTGCCTGGCTAACTAGGAAAGAGATTGGGAACCAGACACATCAGCTGTTGTTGAACTATAGCTCCTCTCTCTAGTTGCTACTCTCTAGTTGTGCTGTAGGCATTGTCATTGTTAGCATTTTTAATTGCTGGTGCTTTTAGTAATTTGGTTAAAGAATGAAAGAAGAATTCCCTGGATGACTAGATGCAGGTTTGGGGCAAGTTTTCTTTGGTGAGTGAAACCTAGCAGAGATTTAAAATCACAAAACATGCAGCAAAGTAAAACAAGGAAATAAAGGCTGTTAGACCTTTAAAATTCCCCCTTCTAAGTTTCTTCCAAAAGCTCCCCACTTTCCCTTAGCATAGAAAGAGACCACATCTTTGGTAAGTTAAAAGTGGTTTACTTACAAACTCTTCAAAGGTCACATTCATGTGCAGCAGCAAGAAAAGAGCAGCAGTACAACTTAGTTTCAAAAAATGGTAAAATGTTTCTAAATTATGTATATAGAAACACAAAGATGGCTTGCTAAAGCCAACAAAGTCTAAGGCTGCATCTAGACACATAAAAAAATGTTTCAGGAAAATGTGTTGTAAAGCTCATAATGGGAAATCACATTGCCAAAGGATTGAACTCTACAGAGCCATCTGCTGTCACAGTGTTATAATAATGCATTTCAAATTATTTTTTGGACTAATGTAGCTGAGTCCTAAGATTGGAGCATCCAATATAGATGTCCTTATTGGGTTGAGTTCACACGGTGGAAGAAAAAGAATAGTGGAAAGTGGGAGAAGTTTGATAGCCCTTCCTTCCAAGGTGAGTGGGTGTGACCTAGCTAAGCCTGGCAGGACAGCTTACTCTATGGTATTAACCCCTTCATGCATTAGAGTTAAGCTGGCGATATCCCACAAGAATTGTGCCTTGAAACAGACCAGTAAGCAGTGGAGTTGTTGTAACATAGGAGTCACATGCATCCCATAACCAGCCCCAGTTGATATTCTGGATGTGGCATTCTGGACCAGCTGGTTTGAATAGATCAAAGCTGCCTTTCTAACCCTGTATCATGTGATGAACTGCCTGAACCTTATTCATGTAATCATCCTAGCTAATACTTCTGTAGCTGCTATTCCAGGGGGCATTGAAAAATATCAGGTCTTTTCACATGTAAGCTTAGAGTCTTGTCAGCTTTTGATGTTGCTTAAAGTGGTTGATAATCTGAACATTAAACCTACATTGGTCACGAAATGTGTCTTAATTTCAGAACCCTGCTTTCAATTCTCCATTAAAAACAACCACACATTCATATAAATAGTACACCCTAGAGGTTCAAAGGTGATTTAAGTCTTGCCTGAAAACATTCTAAATCTGCAAGTCTGTGGGATCTTTGGCTTAGCTTGGCCTGACTGGTAACAGCTGGGGTGGGACTGGATCCGTCATCCCTGCCTTTCCAGAAAGTTGCCACAGGGTGGTGCTAGAGTAAAGGCAAATGACTGTCACCATTGTGACCCCCACCCCTCACACAACACCACCATGGATGGTCCTGGTATTTCAGTCTTCTCAAGCTCTAAGAAACGCATTGCAAAACATGTCGTCATTTAAAACCGTTTTAAAACACGACTAGTCAGGCATGGCAGAAAACAAAGGAATGCGTCCAGAAATGCCTCACCAGGGATACCAAACACTGTTCTTAAAAGCAGAGGCTCCAGTACTTAACCTTTAAAATTCCTTTCCTGTTCCCTGGGCGGATGAGAGATGAGGCAGCCGCCTATAGGAGAGCTTGGAAGGAATGGTTCACAGCACAGCAGCCAACCTGGCAGGGAAGCCTCAGCTGAGCGGGAAGGAAGACTTGACAAGCTTTTTGGCAATGCCCCACGGCTTACAGAGATAAGCATAAAGCAGATGAGTATGAAATTGCCCCATTCTCTGTTCGGCCTGGCCTCATCCCTTGCAAAGATGATAATCAGACTGATTGCATATTCTCCAGTCATTCCTATTTTCTGGGATATCACTGTACTGTCCCTAATTTTGCCTTTTGGGAATGTATTCGTAACATCTCGTTAGTCTTGTTTCCTGGAGTTCAGGATTCTTACCTCCTTCACTCCCAAGGTCTCTAAAAAGTAACTCTTTGAATGGGATGGAGGTAGATCTGCCTGATCTCTAATATACATGTATATTATATATACATGTACAAGGCAAAAAGGTAAAGGTGAAGGACCCCTGGATGGTTAAGTCCAGTCAAAGGCAACTATGGGGTTGTGGCGCTCATCTCACTTTCAGGCCGAGGGAGCCAGCGTTTGTCCACAGACAGCTATCCAGGTCATGTGGAAGCATGACTAAACTGCTTCTGGCACAACAGGACACTGTGGCAGAAACCAGAGTGCATGGTAATGCCGTTTCCCACCACAGCGGTACCTATTTATCTACCTGCACTGGTGTGCTTTCAAACTGTTAGGTTGGCAGGAGCTGGGACAGAGCAATGGGAGCTCACCCTGTGGTGGTGATTCGAACCGCCAACCTTCCTATAGGCAAGCCCAAGAGGCTCAGTGGTTTAGACCACCCGCATCCCTGTACATTTATATACATTTATACATGTATATAAATGCACAGGCATGTATATGAGGGTACTGTGTGTAGATGCTGCCATTTCACATGCTGGTGAGGCACATTTTGAACTGTTGGTAACAGATTGTAGAAGGTGTGTTTGTGTGTGTTTTCCCCTAGCATATTGTTTAATTAAAAGAACAAATGCCTTCTCGTGTTCTTCAACCCAGTGGAATTTCACATTGTTCCCCTTTCCCTCAACAGGCATAATCTTGCCTCCCCCTCCTCCACTCAACAGGCTCTGGGACATTGGTCCAGTTTGTCCTAGTCTGTATTACAGAAGTGTATGGGATTCTTCACAGCAGCCTTTGTTTTGCCAACAGCTGAAAATGCTGTTTACACTTGACTTGAGTCTACAGCTCTGCTTGAACCTTGGAGTTTGGCTCTTTCAGGGAGAGAGAAATGTGAAATACCTCTTTCATCACAGGTAAATTCTCTGTGCTCAGGACCAGCTTTCTTGAAGGACAGAAACAATGTTATCATCCACAAACCTCAACTTTAGGGAAAGCCGTGCAGTTCAGAGAGCAAGTCTGCCTACATACTTGCATGATAGGATAGGAAGTATTACAGTGGTTACAGCTATGGACCAACCACTACTTTTGGGAGTAAATTGCTTGTTAATAGAACAGAATGCCTGGCTGATAGAGAGCTGAGTGGTAGGAGATGGTCTTCTGGAACTGGAGATCTCTCTCTCTCTCTCTCTCTCTCTCTCTCTCTCTCGTGTTAAGAAAAATACAGTCATAACAGCTTGAGGATGATGGCATCCCACCTCAAGCTAAGGGAAGGGAATAGGTGGGGGGGGAGGTCTCTGAAGATCTGGTGCATGATGGGTAATGGATTTGCTGCCATGTAGGGCAGCCTGCTGTTTGTTCTGCTTGAATGATTATAAATCAAACAAATATTACAAAAAAACACACTTCAATCCATTTCCAAAGGAAACCAAACCCAGGTAGGGCTTACCCTGAATCGTCTCATTATTTGGACCGTGTGGGGGGCCTGCAGCCACATATTTACAAATGAGCTTACGGCCCACTCCTACCGAATTTGGGCACTTGGCTTTCTGTGCATTGTTTCAGTAACTTTCATAGGAGAGCAAGCCCACCCAGCCTGCTCTATCAGTTGGCCCGCCACCAGCCAGCTTATGCTCTCAACATGCTCCAGCTGTCTTGGCAATTCCATCTAGGGAAAGAAAGTTTAAGCAAACTCTAACCGCATAGTGCACAACTGCACATGGCAACTGCCGAGTGTGTTCAATCGACAAATAGCTGCAAAGCCTCAAAAGTGCATGAGACTGGAAAGGGCTGTGAAGGATGTCGTATGGGGGCTGTAGTGCAGCTCAGGGGTTGTGATTTTAAGATAATTGCCTCGGAGTGGAAGAGGCTTGTTTTCATGGCTGGGGGTGGGGAGGTCGGGTATCCTTTTTCCAGTGTTTAATCACATGCACATGTAGCAGTCTTAGTCACTTCACATGAAAACATTTGTAAATCTATTTGATTCAGTGAAGAGGATTAGAGACTTGATCAGTATGCCAATAGCCAGCTAAATAAATGGAACATTTTGAAGACAGCTCCACACCCCCATCCAACGAGCTCACATTTAAATGCCAATAGCCCCCTTGTTTTCTTTCCACTCTGCCTTTTGCCACCATCCATCCAAGTAGCCTTCCCCAACCAGCTGGCCTCCAGACTCCAGTCCCTACTGGTCTTGATCTCTGGCCATACTGGCTTTGGCTGATGTGAATTGAAGGGCATCCATAGGGCAACAGCTTGGGAAACGCCAAACAACTCCTGTCTCTGTCACATGAGATCTTACAGTCCAAATTAGAAGACCATGCCTGTGATTGTGAACGTTTGTGCATGGATATGTGTGCCTGAGTTCCCCAACTGTGGAGGTATAACATGTGCACCTATGCCTTGCCCCTTTCACCATAGGAATGCAGTTTATGAAGCTGCACTGCCAGTGCAGCATAACCGCATCCCCAAGTTCAATATACAAGTTCCCATGCACTAAATCCAATTACATTTCATCACCCTCCCGTGTCCGCTGGAACAAAGCTCTTGCTGTTTAGAGAATGGCCATATGGGGGCATGAAGATCGCAAGCTTTCCTGCTGCTCCTCCCTTCAACTTCCTGGCCTCCCCCCCCCCGTTCCTCCTCCTCCTCTCTGCCCCCCAACCAGTAAATAGCCTTCTCATTGTGTCATAGGCACTCTCTGCACAAGTCCATATTTGCACAATGCTAGCAACTCACAGGCCACTGCAGCCTAAAGGGCTTATTTTAAGCTTGTTGGAAAAGAACATTGTTTGGTGGGAATTAAACTCTCGGTTCTCAAAAAAGGGCAAAATGAAAAGGGACTAATTCTACTGACTCCTTGGGTTGCATAAACATGGAGACGAGTCCCATCTGGAGAGAGGGCAGGGGAGAATTTTCTTGCTGGCACCCAGCAGAGGTCAATGTCCTCTCTTGGACATTCATCAGGAGTGTCAGTAGGACAGGAAGGGAGGCCAGTTCCCAATCCCTGGATGGCTTCTCCCATGTGATTTCCAATGGGATTTAGAATTTCTGTGCCTCTTTAATGCATAAAATAATGAATGCGGACAGAACTGTAAGCATTCTTTCATTGTAGCATAGAAGCTGCACATTTGTTCTTTCCCTGTGCAAGCAGGCAGCAACTAGTGTCTGGGTGCATAGCAAGCAAGACTTGTGAGTTCCACCAGCCCTCCTTTCCCAGTCTCTTGCTCTGTGGCCAGAGCCAGATAACATTTGTCATAGAAGTACTATGTCATCATCAGCCACAGCACCTATCCAAGAAGTGAACATGATGTCTTGGGTGGTGGGCGGTGGAGAAAGGTTTTTCTGCCTCTCTCATAATACTAGAACTTGGGGACATCCAATTAAGTTGAATGTTGGAAGATTTGGGAGAGACAAAATAAAGTACTTCTTCACCCAGCATGTAGTTAAACTATGGAAATGACTCCTAAAAGTTGTAGTGATGGTAGCTCCCATCTTGGATGTTCTTAAAAGAGGATTAGACCGTTCATGGCTACTAGCCAGGATGGCTATGCTCTACTCCAATGATGGAGGCAGGATGCCTCTAAATACCAGTTGCTGGGAACTTGAGAGAGTGTTGTTCTGCTTGTGGACATCCCATAGACATCTTGTTGGCCGCTGTAGGAACAGGATGCTGAACTGGAGGAACTTTTGCCTGATCTAGCAGGACTCTTCTTATGTTTATACCAGTGGCATAGTGTGGTGGTAGGGACATAAGGGTGGTTGCCCCGTGTGCAAAATTGTTAAGGGCACAAAATTTCAACATCCAATGTTGCCTCAGTTCAGCTGTGCACTTCCATTGCTGGGCTCTGTTGAAACAGCTTCCCCATGAGAGCCAGAAAGTGACTTCTTCAGGAAACAGAATGACTATTATTTTACTTATTTCTGCGGCTGCAATCTCCTGGGTGATGCAGTTGCCATTAGGCAGTTGAATGTGCATGCGTACTCCATCCATTTCTCTCCCTCCCACACAACCCTAGGCACTGGCAACCCACGCTATGCCAATGGTCTTTGAAGAATTTCCACGTTTCTCACTGCTTCTGTCTTCACTACTATTGCAGGACTCCTTGTCCTGTGAAGTACACACACACATACACACCCGATGGTGCTTTGCTGATTGGTAAAAACATTTTTATTCTGACAGCTTTTGCCAGCTAAGCATGGGCTGTATTTAAGGCCATGTTTTATCTGTGGCCTCTGCCTTTGTTGTATTTTTAATGCTGCATTTCTGATGTAGATTTATGGTGCAGTGGGTTTTTAGGACACAGAGGGTTTTAAATTGCTGTCAGCTGCCTTGAGTAGCGCGCGGTGATTGATATAAATCAATAAATAAGCCTGGCATGCTAACCACTGGACCAAAAGGCTGTGGACACCACCAAGAGGCGTGTGGGAGCCTTATGAGGCAATCTCAGTCTCTCTGCTCTGCTGTGCACCCCCAGCTGTCCCTGGTCTTCTTGACATGACCCATTCCTCCTCACACCTGGCAATGCATTAAGAACACACAAATCTGCGTATGAAGTTCTTGGAAGAAATATGATGTTCCTTGTCAATAAACAGTGTATTAGCGAAGTGGGGATTGGGGGAGAGCAATGGTGAATCCAGGCGTTGTGTATATCCTGCTGCTGCGGCCCGAGCACATTTATCACTGCTGTTTACATCACCCTTACACGTTCCAGATGCACAGGTTTCTTGCTAACAGCCATTTTGTTCTTCCTTTCTGTGTGTCTTTGTTTCTAGTTCCTTGATCCCAAGCACCTGGTGGGAAATTAGCCAGTGTGAATGATTGCACACAGAAACTTCCGTCCTGCTTCCTGCATCTCCTGGCCTACTTTCCCCAACCACACCCCATGTTACTTGCAGCTGCCAAGGAAAACTGTGATACAATGCTTGCTTGTAGGAAGCATAAGATGTGCATAAGCGAGCACCAATAATGGGGGCGCCTTGCACACAACCCATGTCTAAAGTCGTAAGATGCTGCCTCGTACCTGGTGAATCCATCTACACCTGTATTGTTTACTGGGTAGCCAACACTGTGTCCTCCAGGTTTTTATGGGCTCCAGTTTCCATTAGCCCCAGCTTTCATAGCCAATGGTTAGGGGTGCTAGGAGTTGTAGTCCAGCAACATCTGGAGGGCACCATTTTGGGTACCTCTGGTCTACTCTGGCAGCAGCTCTCCAGAGGTTCAGGCAGGGATCATTCAATGCCCCATCAAGTCAAGCTTTGTGGAATCAGTTTCAGTTTTGCAATTTTTGCAGATGATGCTGTGCTTGTGAGCATGCATCCAATGATTTCTCCTCTTGACCCTTGCCCTTCATGGCTGATGAAAACTAGCTGGGTTGGTGGCATGCCTGGGTGGATTCAAGGTGGGGTTAATGCATATTTCCATGAGGTGGTGTGCCAGCTGCCTTGAAGGAGATGACAGTGGGAAAACCCTCCCTGGATCCAATAGTATATAACAGCTGCTACTCCTTTGCAGATATTCCCTTTTGGGGCAAAGTTACTGCAGAGTGTCATGGCCACGCAGCTGCAGCATTCCCAGGGGACCCTGGGCTGAATTCAACCATCTCACCTAACCCTTCCAGAGCATCCTTTCCACGCCAGTGCTCCCTGTGTGGTTTAACATTTGTTTCCAAAGGAAGATAGGCACCACCTACATCACTCAGCAATAAAGTAAAATTAAAAGGGATATGTGTGACATCCTGAAATCCAGCTGCCACAGGAATCAGAGTTGACTAGGCCCTGATGTTCAGACAGCTAGAAGATTGCCAATCTCCATAATGTTCCTGAAACAAATTAGGCTGGCAAGCAATATTGTGAAACCTGGTCCATAGGTATTTGTTTTGTGTGCACATAGGGAAATGGTCCAGACTATGTCTCCCTTCTCCTTTTGAAGTTGCAGTTTGATTTGTTCAGAAATAATGGCTTGGAAGCCTGTGAATTATCACTGTCGCTGCAGAAATACAGGATGGGGGTTGGACTTCCTTTGATGATCTTTATCAAAGATCAAATAGACAAGGACACAAGCAAGCATGCACAGCTGTAGACTTGTCTACAAAAGTGTAGCTCAAGTACAGTTCAGGAGGCAGTGTAATTTTGTGACAGTAAAGACGGGACGGACAAGCTAATGTGCAATTTGAGGGAAGACAAATTGGATCAGATGGATGGGCAAGTTATTGAGAAGCATGGTAGTCAAGCTAGTTCTGCCCTTTGCAGATCTGTGCACAGTAGTGCTGTGCTTGAGAGTGCTGTGATGTGCATCAGAGACATGGGTCCTAGAGTGTGCCAAATACTAGCCATGGCCGTGCCCTTCTCATTTAGATACTACCCATTTGTCACACCAACAGTTTCCTCTCCTTACTTCAGGGATGGGAAACTTCAGGCCGAATCAACAGGACTTGGCAGATTGTACTAACTTCATATAGTCATTTGATCAGAAGTTTAAGCAAGAAAGACAATACCATGATAACATGGTTCCCATTTATCATGATGTCTCAACCAGACTTGACCCACCTCAGAGCCTTCCTTTTGGACTGTCTGCCATGTCCCAGACACACCACCAGCAATTTCATCTGACCTTCCAAGGACTTGGCAATGCCCATGTCTTTGTTCAAAAGAAATGAGTAAAACAGGAAAGTTATGAAGACACGTTGTTGTTGTTGTTGTTGTTGTTGTTGTTGTTGTCTGTTTTTATTTAAATCTGTATACCACCCTTTATCCAAAGACCCAGGGTGGTTCACAACAGAAAAATACCATCCTTTTCTCGTGGGACACCTTTGGCTTGATGGGTCAACTCACAAGTTACACATGTTTCTTGTAGGCCTTGTGGGCATTTCGAGCTTTGCTTTCAAACCAGTCTAAACAAAGCCCTCAGATCCTTCCCTAATTGGTCCTGTCTGCCCAGTGGAGTTTGGCCACACCCTTAGCAAGGCCAGCCAAGACTGACTGCAGAAAGATTTTACGGCTCCCAAAACCCTAACATTTACTTCTATGCCTGTACCTGGCACTCATTTCAAACCATTAAGTTGTCACCCAGGGATTTCTGAGATGGATTGTTAAGCTCCCCTCTTAGTCATCTTCTGCCAAAACAAATCACACTGTCTCTTGGGGAACGGGTTGCAGCTAATGGACCTAGACACACTCTGCACCCAACTTGCCCAGCCATTTCAAAGAACTAGAGGGCAATGTTTGACAACTGCCCTATTAGGCAAACCCCTCAAGGAATCTTCCTCCGGAGCAGTCCTATTGACTGGTGGTCTCAACACTAGCACAAGAAACCCTTTCTGTGCATGGCTGTGGCTATGCATATGAGGAGGATCATATTGGCTCAAAACCAGCAATGCCTTTCAGAGAAGGATAAACTGAGTAGTCTCATTACTAAGGTGAGCCTTGTTATCCTGTCCAGCAGTTGGGCTGGCAAGCTTGTTTTCTCCTACTTCAGAGGGTAGGACCAAACCAATGAATTCAAGAAACGAAAAAGGAGATGCCGACTAAACATCTGGAGGAATTTTCTGACAGTAAGAGATGTTTGATAGTGGAACGGACTTCCTCAGAAGCTGATGGACTCTTTTTCATTGGAGGTTTTTAAGCAGAGGTCAGACGGCCGTCTGTCATGGATGCTTTAGTTGAGATTCCCGCATTGCAGAGGGTTGGACTAGATGACCCTGGAGGTCCATTCCAACTCTATAGTTCTATGCTTCTATGGTATTTAAGGCTTGTAGTCAATAACAGTGGTACGAAGGACCTATAGGAAATTGACAAGGGCAAACCTCCCATGTTTGTGCAGCAAACAGGAATACTTTTTAAGCTGACGTAACACTCTAGTTGTGTGTGCGCGCGCAGATTCAATTTAGTATAAAACTCACAGCCGTATTCTGAATGTGACCTTGCAAGGGTATGTTGACCTTGCTGCACTCATTAATCATGCCACTCGCCACTCATTTAATCTTGGCAGCTCATGCAATTATTATTATTGCTATTATTTTAAAAGGGAAGCCAGATTCTTGTTTCAGCTGCTTCAGGTAATATATGGGCCAAGAAACTCCAGCTTATCACTAAACAATCCACCCTCAGCTGGTGTTATGTGGCTGGTTCAGGCGCTGCAAGTGTAATGTGTTTGTACAATGACTCGGAGTTACAAGAAGGAGGCTTTCCTTATCAGGGCCTGTGGTTTCTGTCTGGGTTCACAGGACCGATGTGCGTGCACAGACACAGACGTATCCTGTGCTTGGTTCTCCTCTCTCAGAAGCTTGCCCTGGTACATTGAAAACAAGCCTACTGCCTATGTCTGCTCATACACAAAAACATGTTGGGGAAGGAATAACATTTCACATTTTGTAACTGCTGTTGAATATAGTATGCTGGGGGAAAATTCTGAACCAGCAGCTCTGGAGACAGATGTACACTAAATTAAATAGCAAGTTGGACACAATAAGAATAACTTGCCTTGCATTCAGTGGCCTGTCCAAAATAAGATAATTGTGCTTCAGTCTTTATAAAGCAGCATTGGCTATATTTCCTTATTAGGCCTGTGTGTGTAAACTTAAGTGAATTGCAGCACTTCCTCCAGTAGAATCTTCTCTAAGTGCTAGTTGTATGATCTACCTGGAACAGGGAGGGGGAACTCGTGGCCCTCCAGATATGACCATCGGCCATGCTGCCTGGGGTTGGTGGGAGTTGGAGCCAGCCAACATCTGGAAGGCCAGTTTCTCCACCACTGGCTTAGAAGGTACCATTTCTTTGCTAGGCTATAGGGAAAGTCTATTCACCCTTAGGGGAATGCATAGCAATTCTCTAACATGTAGCCAAGCTCCAAAGCTACCCAGTAATATAACTTAGGAAGGGTGATGACAGGGCACCTGCCACAAGCACAACTTGGGAAAGGATGCAAAACAAACTTTCCGCCCTCAATCATATTAAAATAACGCCGTGACATTTTAAGTTTGGAATAATTAAGTATGTTGTCAAGGTGGTAGATGAAAGGACAGGTGTTAACTGGCAGAGCTATGTCATGAAGGCAGACGGCCAGGAACCTTCACAGTTTCTGATTGGCCCTGTCCTAATGCACTGAAACATGTTCAGACACCATTAGCTGAGGAGGTCAGAATCAGATGCATATGGCTCTCCAGCACTGGGCAGGAGCAACTAGCAGGCTTTTTGCATTACAGCTTCTAAGCCAACTCACAGCAGGAGCAGACTGTCTGAGCATGAGCGCTTGACATTCCAGCAGCAGTAGCAGCGCCCCTCAAGATACACAACCATTCGGGAAGCTTATCGTTAGGGGTAATGCTTCACTTTGACAGGACTGGAGAGGAAGGCCAAAGGAGACTGACTTAAACCAGATCCATAAAGAGCAAACATGGTCCACCTTGGTCTTATCTCGATGGCAGCTTCTTGTCTTCCTGGTACAGAACTGGAAGGCATTACCAGGAAACACAGACACATTTCCCTCCAGATCTCTCCCCTCCATGGGAAGCCTAGTAAACCAGCTGTGCAGACTTAGGGACCGAGGAGGTCACACAGCTCCTTGTCAGCCATGCTGAATGATGGAGACCATCATGGTGAATGGTGGGAACCAACAGAAAGCCAAGGGCTTCACAGATCCCAAGCTCTGCTCTGCCATTCCACCTTTCTAAAGGCAAGTTTTATTTCAGGTATATTCTGCAACTATGCTATTGACACAATAATAGTGCATCAGTGGTGGATTTACTCTGCTTCTTTGGTTGTTCTGTGATATTTTCCAAGTGCTACCACATCATTGTTGTCTGGAGGGGCTAGAGTACAACAAAAGTGGGACACACATAAACACACAACCCTGGACATTTGTGGTATGAAAAGTTACAGGACCACAGCAGGATGTTATAGGATATACACTGACTGGAAATGAAGCAATATGACAGCCACAAAACTTTTGCAGGCGCAAATAGTATTGAAAGTTAAATCATATCTGACTGTCCTGATAATATCATGAGCACCAAATATCATGAATGCACAATAAAAAGGGATGTCTTCAGAGGCCCTAACTCTTAAAAATGGCTGTACAATCATCTCCATTGCCCAAAATGGTCAAAATTTGAGGACCCCTCTCTCCCTGTTCCAAAGCCTGTGTCCACATCAATTGCTGCAAGACTCTTTTGCTTGAAAGAACCAAACAGCTTCTTATGGAATCCAGGAACTGGGAGTGATAAAACATGCCTGGATTTCAAACTGAAAGCTGTTCATAGGCAACCACAATCAAGTCAGGAAGATTAATGGTTATGGAGGCAGGAGGAGAGGCAATCATGGTTGATGGAGACGCCAAGCCCAGATGGATTACAATAGAGTTTTGTTCTGGTACATTTGTGTAGAAACAAAATTTTAAAAAATGAACTCTGTTGAAATTCTTCTTCACTCAGAATGTTTTGTTTTATTTTACACAGTTGCAATAAGACAAGGGCTGTAAAGATAGTAACATCCTAAACATTACCTTATTAAGTCTTCTTGGAAACAGAGGGCATGGCCCTGTCAGGTCATGGAACAAGATTTTAGCATCTAGTGAGCAAACAAGAGGGAACACTACATTTTTCACTTCATTTTAGAAATCGAGTTACTAATTATAGAAGGTATTTAATGGCAGAGTATATTTGTGTTTCTGCTAGCACCAGCCCATCACAGTAAGAAGTGGTCTGACTGGGTGACTTGAGTAGGTGAAACAGGGCAGATACAAGAACGAGATGGGAACAGAAACCTCCTCGGCAGAGAAGCATGTTGTAAAGAACAGAAAAGAGCTGCTTTGAGATTTTAAAGACTCTGGCTGAAATTGGTTGTAGCTCAGTCGCAGAGCCTCAGCCTTGCAGGAAGAAGGTCCCAGGTTCAACTGCTGGCATCTCTAGGTAGGCCTAGGAATGTCCCAATGCCTGGAACCTTAGAGAAGTGGCTGTCAATATCAAGCTAGATGGATGAATGCTCTGACTCAGTACAAAGCAGCTTCCTGCGTTCCTCCATTTGTCACCCACTTATGTGATGACAGCGGGCCAATGCTCTTGGAAGACTTTACCTCCCTGAGACTGACGTCTCTTACTCTGCAACAACCATGATAGCATGAATTGTGAAATTTTTGAGCAGAATGGGCACGGCTTAAGCAAAAGTAAAGAGAGTGTTCAGCTGTTGCTTGGATTCGCCATCTAGGTTCATTGCACTTCTTTGTTGACTCTGTGCTCTTGTCACACACTTTCCTTTGTTCCTTTTGCTCGGCTGCTTTCATTTATGCCCCTCATCCATTTGGCAGCCCTAATAAGATCTGGTATTGATTGAGGGCTGGTCCAGACTTCCTTTTGCACTGCACTCTCCAGGCACAGGCCCATGATATAAAACTCTGTGTCCGAGCAGCTTTTGTTCTTTTGGCCCCGGTGCTTTCCCTGGGGAAAATCTGCATTTTACTACTGAATTGGAGCAAATGGCAATCTGCAGAAAACCTAATTGCTATTTGCTCTGATTCAGCAGTAAAATGCTCGGACAGGGCACTTTCAAGGCCAGAGATGTGCCTAAAAAAATAGCACAAAAGACAGTCTGGAAGAGCCCTGAGACAAGTGCCTGAACCAAACCTCAAAGAAGCAAGAGGTCTGACCCCTGCAAAACCTTGTCTGACCACAGTCTTGTATCATTGTATGCCACATGCAGACATGAGAGAGAGAGAGAGAGAGAGAGAGAGAGAGAGAGAGCGCAAAGGGAATTGTAGCTTGGAGCCAGCAATTTCTCTCGCAGTTGTAGATATACTTTTTCCAGGACAATGACTGACTGGTAGAAACGTAGATGGGTGTGTCACACGAAGCATAAGCATCAAATTTGGCCTAATAATGGGCTGCTTGGTACTTTCAACCAAAACAGCATGGCAGCAATTGATGTGGTTGCTGGTTGCAGATTTCGGAGCAGGGAGGGGGCAATTCCTCAATCCTTGACTATTTGGGGCAATAGAGATGTTTTACAGTTATTTCCAAGAGCTAGCATGAATGGTAGAGTAGAGCATTGCATCTATGAACCCCATGGCATTCTAGAAAAACTGATAGTGGGGCCCATACCAGGAAATTCAGGTTTGAGCAATTAAAGTGGATTAAAGTGCTCTGACACCCTTGCACAAGTCACCTTTAAAAAAGAAACAGACTTTTTGCAGTTAGGAAAGTGAAGGTGAAATCATAGAATCATAGAGTTGCAAGGGACCCTGGGGATCATCTAGTTAACCCCCTGCAATACAAGAATACGCAGCCATCTCATACAGGGATTCAACCTACAATCTTGACGTTATCATGCATTGAAACATGTGGGATGAACGTATAAACGCTCTGCAAATTAATCAGAATAAATGCTCAGCAAAGCCTGGATATAATTTAAAATCCTTGTAAACTTTGTGCAAACCAATCAGGAAGAATGCTCAGCAAATAAGTCATCTAAAAGGAGCCCTTATGGGCTTTTTCTGGACTCCATAATGCCCAGGGAAGTATGTTAAGGATTCCTGAAGGTATTGGGAAGGGTGTAAACAAGCCAGTTTTTTTGGAACAGACTGCTTTCTCCCTTGGACCGGTGGGATTTCTCTAAAGGATATTGGCTGTTTTAAAAGGCCTTTATTTCCAAGAAAAATGTAGCCGTGGCCATAATAATCCATCCCTAATTCCTGAGATTCCACTGTGTGAAATAGTCTCATGCCTTCAAAGGAGCTGCAGACCGTTCCAGTATCTGTGCTACGAACTCATGGCAAGTTGTTATTTGCTGGAACAGAGATCCTTGTGGATCTCAGCGGATTAACTGCCCTGCCCTGCACGCATCATGCTAGGCTATCACACACCATGTGTGCTCCTAATATCAGGCTTAGGATTTGAAAACCAAGCACGTTATTTTCGCCAGCTACCTTTGCACTGCAGTTGAGGAGCAAAGCCCCTCATCTCTAGGTACAGAATTGCTAAGGTTCCCTTGAATGTGAAAATGTGCTTTTGGAAAGGCTGTGCAAAAGGCATCGGCTCAAGACACCAGATATTTTGTTCTAAACCCCCAAGGTTGCTGCCTTGGGGAGGGGGGCTATATTTGTCTTCATGATGCTCCCCACCTGGCAAGCCAATGCCATACAAGGTGTGTGGAGGCCAGGGGGTCAATAATCACACCTATTTTTAGCAACACATCTCTGAAAAATGCATCAGCTACCTGGAGAGCGGTAACTAAAAACAGATGATTAACCCCTTGACATATGTGCCTCATTACCTGCTAGGGAGCACCAGGAAGACAAAAAATAAGCCCAGTGCTGCTGTGCAAAGGCAACCCAGATCAACGCATACCGGTAACTTAGCCAAGTTATAAAACAGAGGTGGAAAATCTGTGCCCTGAACTATACTAGAAATCATTTCTTCTGCTCTTTGTCTTATTCCTCATGCAAAAGCCGTGCTCTTCCGTGACAACCATTATTATGCGCTGTGAGTGCTTTGAGGAAAGGAAGGCAACAGCACCAGGGGGAGCAGCCAATTCCTATATGTGGGATTTTCACAGACATTCCTGTGATCAGAAGAACAAGGTGAACGAAAGCACAAGGAACTGCTGATCCAGAGTTCCTATAACCTTAATGCCTTTCATGGGTTTTCAGTTGGCTGGTAATTAAATCATCCTGAGTGCAAACCCTACCATACATGGGCTCATGTTTCCCATCCGTACATGATTGAGTTTTGTGTTTCTCTCCTCAAATGCAACAGGGGCAAGCGACCAGAAACCATATCTGCTGTACTGGCTTCTTTGTTAGCAAGAGGAACTGTCAGGACTGACCTTTGCCTATTAACCTCCTGAGCAGAAAGAACTAAGTTGCCAGCTTCTATCCCATTATCTCTGATTACATCCCTGGTCAACATCCACCTCCTCTGAAGGTGCAGGGGAACATAGGAAGCTGCCCTTCTCCTGAGTTTGACCATTGGTCCATCTAGTGCAGTACTGCCAGCACTGATTGGCAGCTCTGAAAGTACATAGGTAGGAACATAGGAAGTTGCCTTATACAAAGTCAGACTCCTGGTCCATCTAGCTCCATATTACCTACACTGACTGGCAGCAGCTTTCAAGGGTTTCAGTTCACAGTCCTACCTGGGGATTAACCCTGGGACCTTCAGCATGCAAAGCAAGATGCTCTACCACTGAACTATGGCCCTGTCCCTAGTACAGTTGTATGACCTTTAATGGCACTCAAAGATGCTACCAGAGGCAGCTGTATCACCTTGTCTAATGACTTCCAAGGTCAGAACCTGTGCAGGTAGGGAGGATGAGAGAACCACCACAACAAAGTTTACCCCACTGCAGTACTTGCAAGTCTCTCAGCAGGAGGATTCTAGGCTTAATAGCGTGGCATGAGGGCACCCATTAGCCTCATGACTAAGTTCTCAAAGGAGAACTTTTCCCATAAAAGTTGAACCAGTCCATCCAACACCATACCTTTAAAGCACATGGCTTCCCCCAAGGAATCCTGCAAACTGTAGTGTGTTAAGGGTGCTGGGAATTATGGCTCTGTGGGGTATAAACTACTGTCCACAGGATTCTTTGGGCCAAGACATGTGTTCTAAACATATGGTGTGGGTGCCAGTCTCTCTGTCTTATTTCTCCAGACCATGACCAATTCACAAACACTGGTGTGTCCTTTGTCTCCAAGAATGGTGTCCATGAAGACACAGATGCAAAGCTAATGCAGTTTTTTTAGCTTGGCCCTGAGTAGGCACAAAGGTCTCCTGGCCACAGACTTGCCCCACTATAGTGAGTGGCATTGTATTTCTAATTCCTTCTAAATGTGCATCAGCATATGCAAACTGTGTCCCTTTTTGGGTGATGCAGTTCCTCTTATTAGGAAATGTGTATGTGGCAACAGGTGTAGAAAAGAACACAAGGATGCTATTTGACATGTGCCATTAAAACATTTCAGGGAAGACAGGATGAACACACAGGAAGGGTGTGTGGCTTCTACCTGTGACTTGACGACTGCTCAAACAAAAGTCTCCCTCTGGCCTGCACAACCTGAAGTCTGATCATAGAGGTTGCTGTCAAGGCTGTCAACAGATAAAAATATAGCTGTGGCTGTGGGGGAGGAAAACTAACCTTATATTGTTTGGTTGCAAAGTCAGCCATAAAAAATACCTTCCATTTAATTTACTGTACTCATGGCCCCCAGCCAAAGTGGAAGATAACCAGAGGTTACATAGAAAAACATGGTGTTCCTAGAAAGTGCCTTTCTATAGAAGGGAAAGACCCAAGTCTTGGATATATGCAAGAAAGACTTCCAGTAATCTCATTCTCTATCCTTAAATGGCTCCATCCAACCAGGTTGAATAGGGCGCCGCCTGGTCATATCAAAAGCAGGCAATTCACCATACCATATTTCTCTGTGTGTCATATACAGAAATACAGAGAGGGAGGGATAGTCTTGGTGTATTCATCTGCCCAGACACCCTTTTCAGCCTGGTCAGATGAAGCTTTTCAAAGTAATGAAAATCACAAGATAGATTAAGCCAGGCCAGGGAACATCTCGAGATCTCTTCCAACTCTCCACTCCTCACCCCACCCCATGGAATCCTCAGTACAGTCCTGGGCTGCAGTTACTCATGATGAACAATATACATTCTATTCCACATGTTCTAGATTCACTGATCCAGAATACTGCTGCCTGGCTACATAATAAGAATCACCAGCATAAGACACAGGGCTCATCTGCCCTGCACATTTAAAGCAGGATCATGCCACTTTAAAGACTTCATGGCTTCTCCCAAAAGAACCCAGGGGCTGTATTTTAAGGGCGCTATGAGTTACTATGTAGGTAACCGTATTCCCTGGCACAGAGCTGCAATTCCTAGAACTCCCTGGGAAGAGGGATTGATGGTTAAACTACTGCAGGCCCATGAGGGGAATAGGAGTCTCCTAACAACAGCCAGCACCCTTAACAAACTACATTCTTTGGTGGGGTACCATAAGGACGTAAGAAAGGCCTGCTGGATCAGGCCATTGACCCAGCTAGTCCAGCATCCTGTTCTCACAGTGGCCGTCCAGATGCCTATGGAAAACCAGGGAGCAGAACACGAGTACAAGAGCATTCTCCCCTTCCGTGATTTCCAGCAACTAGTATTTGGAAGCACTGCCTCCAGCTCTGGAGATAGAGCACAGCCATCGTGGCTCATAGCCATTGACAGCCCTCTCCTCCACAAATTTGTCTAATTCCCCGTTTAAGCCATCCAAGCTAGTGGCCATCGCTGCCTCCTGGGAGTTCCATATGCGCTGTGTGATGTACTTCCTTTTATCCATCGCGAATCTCCCAACACTCAGCTTCATTGGGTGCCCATGAGTTCCAGTGTCAGGAGAGGAGGAAAAACTTTTCTTTATCCACTTTCTTCCTGCCATGCATAATTTTAGAAATTTCTATCGTGCCACCTCTTCACTCACCCTTTCATTAAACTAAAATGTCTCGAACTTTCCTCATAGGGGAGTCCATCCTTTGAGTTGCCCCTTTGTGAACCATTTCCAACCATACAATATTCTCCCCCCCCCTTTTTTTTTTGAGGTGAGGAGACCAGAACTGTACGCCATGTTCCAAAAGTTTCCATGGTGACTGTTTAAAGCGGTACGATACTTCTTTAAATGTATAGCACAAATAGAGCCACCATTGCTAACATATAAAGAAAGAATGGTGGGGGGTCCACCTTGTTTGTATAAAGTGGTTATTAAAGGGAGGGGGGTTAATCAGTAAATAATGTGCATTAATTGATCTTGCCCTTAGTTATTCTCATCTCCCGCAGTTTGCAGGCAGAGGGTATTCCACATTTGTCACTGGCAAAGTGGGATTTATTCCTTCCAAGCATGTGGTTCTCAGCGCTTCTCTGCTTTCCCAATTGGGGCAGGAAAAACTGGAGAGGAAGTAAATTATTACAAACAACTTTCTCTGAGTGAGTTCATTTACGTTCCCAGGCATGTAGCTGGCAAGAGCCTCAGGCCTCCCTCCCTCCCTTGCCCCACCTCCCAAAGCTTTCCCTGCCACCCCTCCTTCTTTCCTCCACTGCCCCCCTTACTGGCTGCCTCTCTCCCTCCCTCTTTCCCTCGCAGCCTTAATGACTTCCACATGGGCTTCTGGCATTCTGAGCATTGTCTGAAATCTCCAAATTTAGAAGAAATATGAAAATTGTCAAGCACGCCTTCCTTAGGGGGTAAAACCAACATTCGCTTGAACTGTCGCAGGTCAAGGCAGCGGGACCATGTGACCAGGCCCCAGCCAATGGCTGCCCTCAGGACCACTGACAGATTAGGCCGTCAGCCGTGCAGCATCGTCTTTCAGCTCATATAAGGTAAAAGTAAAAGGTTTTCCAGATTCTGAGCAGTGAGGGAAAGGTTTTCACCCAGGACCCCTTGTGCCAGCAGCTTAAAAAAGGAGTGTCAACACTGGTCTTCCAGTGTGGCCCTCTGTGTTTCGAAGAGAGGAGACGGCGCCCACCTTCCCCATCCTCACCAAGGGCCTAGTGCATGACAGGTGTGGGCAAGCACAGGTACGTTCCTACCTACTGTCTGTGGATGCATAGGTGTGAGTGGATGGTTGCATGTTTGTGGCAAATGTGTTCTACAGGTACATGGGTCTGTGTGTTGAATGTCTAACATCTAATTGTACAATACCCATATAAAAGCTATATAAGTCGGTGACTCTAATGCTTCCCTGTTCTTAGATGTTGTTCTAATAGCTGTGCCCCATATGCAATGGCTTTGCTTCTAACTTCTGCACGGTGGTAGAATTATTTTTGCATCAGAACCAGTTCTTGTTCTGGGAGGGGAAAGGAAGGAATGAAGAGTGATGGAGACAAATGCACAGGAGAAATGAAAAGGTTGAGAATCTCCACCCTCAAAGAGTTTTGGAGTTCCATTTGCAGGAAGCACCTTAACTGGTCTCCCCCCATAATACACCCTTCAAACTTTTGAGAGTTGATGTGGTGTGCAATGGCTGAAAATGGGCAACAGAAGATCTAGCACAGCAGTCAGTTTTTTAAAAAAATAACAATAATCTCCTTTTCAGCAGAATCATGACATCTCAGTCTGCTGCTGTTTGCCCTGCAGCCCCTTTCATCTCTGCATCCTGGTGTCTTTTTCCTGATGGTTATCATAAGCACTGCAGAGTGATGGATGTTGAGAACTGCTGTAGCAGAGCACAGGAAAAGAAAACGCCAATCTTCAATAAAACAGCATTTTGTGGGAAGCATAATTAGAACCTACTTAGGAAACTTAAGAAACCTCTTTCCCCTGAGAGTGTCCCCCCCCCTCCCCGTCCAAGTTCCCCAGGGCTAGCTCTGAGCAAGTTGCACTGACAAATAAATGGTGCTGCATCCTGCCCTGTATGAGGTAAAAAGGGCTGCTTCTCCCAGAATCACCAGGCAGCACTACAAAGGCTGGCTGCTTGGCTCTAGGACGCAGATGTCTCCGGGAGCTGCTGGCATTTGTTTGTTCCAAAGCATGTTCCAAGTTGGAAAAAATAAAAAGCAGAAGAATTTCCAACCTAGACTGCCCTCCCCACCTCCCACCCTGAAGTGGAAAATGGCAAATGGATCATTCTGACCTCCCAGGAGTGCCTCACCAGTATGCAGTGGTCCCAAGACAGATGTTGAGTTGCTGAATTTAGCGTGCCAGCATGTAGTGATCTGGGGGTGGGGGATGCCTGGTCATTTCAGGCACTTCTGGTGGTGTGTGGCAATGCCCGACTAGAACTGCAGTCAGGGGCTGTCCAGTGGAGAAAGCTGGCCCACACCAGCCAAAGGCGCAGCAAGCAAAGACTTCACAGGTATCCTAAGAGTTGCTGGGAGGCAAGGAATTATCTTTCTGCATGGTAGAACTCTGGGTTAGCCAACATTCTGGGTTACTCCTCCCATCAGCCCAGGCCAACATGGTCAAGGATGCTCAGAGTTGTAGTCCATAGCATCTGGAGTGCACCATGTTGGCCACCCCAGTATCATACTGTGGAACCTCTGGGTGTAAGAAAGTACTCTGGGTAATAAGCCAATTTACTGCCCTGGAGCCCAGGCAGTTTCCCATATGCACAAGTCTAGTCTTCCAACAGGCCAGATTGACAACTGAGCAGTCTCCTGACATTTAAGAGTGACTGGTGGGCAGGGCAGTGGCTGATTCTTCAGCCACTTAGAGCATTTCTGGCACCCAGTTCCAGAGCGTTATGGGCATAGAGGACCAACCGCTTTAGTGCCTTCCAGCTGGTAGGTAAGGAGTTCTTTTCCAGAACATGCGTGTGCAGATTTCCCAAAACAATTATCGGTAGGAAATTAGGGGGAAGCTTTGTCTAGACAGGCTGCATCTCTGAATTGCTCCTGGACAGAGCAGTATTTCCTTTGCCACTTGCAAAAAGTTGTCTGGAGATAATTTAAGTTTCTTCCTTTAAAAAACAAAAAACAAAAAAACCTACAGCTTGCAAAATACGTTTGCAGCTTCAAAACTGAAAGGCTTGGAAAATTGGTTCTGTCCAAGAAAAGAAAAGGGGAAAAAAACTGCCCTCTGCCCTCCCCTTTTCCTTCAACATTTCTACACCAGCACTTTCTTTTATTCCTCTTCAGAAGCACTCTGTTTAAAACGGCATACAAAGAATTTGTATGTGTTGCCGGTGAGTCACTGCAGTAATTTGTTAGGTCCTCTTTGCTCATTCTTTTTTTCTTGTACTTTATGGATTAAAGCTGAAGCAGTCGGGAAATGGTCGAAAATATGCACCTCTGAAACGGTAGATAGGTCAAACGTGACTTTCAGGTACATGAATGCTGGAAAAAGGCAGGAATTATTCAAAGAATGTATTCCAAAACACTTGCAGGTTTTGTGTCCTGTGTAACAGCCTTTAATGCAGAAGATAAGGCAAACGCAGGTTTTACAGTCCCATTCAAAAACCCAGCAGCACTTAGCCTCTTGTGCAGACACGCTGCAAGGTTATGTTATTGAAGTTTATTTATTTATTTTTAATATGTGAGCAGGGAAACTAAAGGCTGGAAGCGGCCACCAGCTTGTTACAGAATAGCCCTCTTCACACGTTATGGTAATCAAATGGAACAGCAGTCCACGTCTTCACTTCCACTGCCAATTGGGGTGGCCAAAGTGGTGACCTCCAGATGTTTCAGACTACAACTCTCACCAGTCCTGAAAAGCATAGCCAGTGGTCAGGGATGAGAGGAGCTGCAGTCCACATTGGGAGGGTACTAGGTTGGTTACCCTGAGCCCATATTCATGGCTTGTGAAAGAGCCTACACATGGAGCTCATCAGGCAAGGCAGGGTTCCCAAATGCATGTACAGAACCTGGGCCTGCACAGTTGTACACACACAGGCTCTTTCACAAGTTACACTGAGTGTGTGTTGGGGGCACAGCATAGGCAGCAAGTCTCATCCCATTCTCCCATTGTCTACAGAGTTGTTGCGCATCACCCCAATCTCTGAACGGTGCAAGATTCCAGGGGTTCCAGGCGCTTACCTGGGGTTCATGTTTCCTTTGGAATGAAGGACAGTGGAGACTGTGGTATCTTTATGATATATGGTTTATTTACACATATATTCAACCTAAACCTACAATAGAGGGGTTCACAGCATCAACACCCCAAGAAGGTCTTACTTCACCCATAGCCACAGCTTTGGATTCAAGCAGAAATCAAGCATGTCTCTGTTTCTGGTTTCCACCTGCTTCTTTCCAGCCCCTAGCTTCTAGCTCACATCACTCAACTCTCCACTCTCAACTCTGCCTTTGTCCTTCTAACCACCTGCAAGTTGAAGTTTGTCTTCTCACACAAAGCCTCTTCCTTTGTTCCCCTTAATGGCCCGTCACCCAGGCTGTCATCTCACCAGGAAGCTAGCTTGGCTATTCCAAGAATTAGAAGGGTGCCCAGGCATGCAGTCTACCCAGCCCCAAATTGATAACCGAGTGTTAATGTGCTTCAATGTGTGTTAATCAGAAAGTAACAGGCAGTGTTAATGAACGTACGTATGGTGTGTGCCATATGCCTGCTGTGTGCACATGTGTTTCTGGCAGACAGTGCAACTTGGTTTTACTACATGCAAACACATATCTACTTTCCATAGCTCTTCATGGCTATATGGAAATATTTGATCACATCCACACCATTCAGCACTCTGTTCCTCTTTGACTGTCATGGCTTCCACCAAAGAATCCTGGGAACTGTAGGTTGTTAAGGGTGATGAGACTCCTAACAACTCTCAACACCCTTAAACTACAGCTCCCAGAAATCTTGGGGGGAAGCCATGAGTGTCAAAGTGGCCTCAGATATTTTAAATGGATGATGTGGACACTGTGTGATATTTTAGATACTGGTATTGTCCAAAGTAAGTGGGGACCATAATAGTGGACTCAGAAATGTTGCTCTGTCATATTATTCTCCACAGCCATTCTATTATCTCTCTAACTGTCTGCCACCTTTCTGATTATTTTTCCACGTTAGGCTTATAGTGTTTTCGTTACACATTTTGCCTAAATTGCTTCATAACATGAATCAAAAAACTATTTAAGGATACTCATTCAGATTACAAGTCTCTCTGCTCTGCTTTTCATTCTCAAATTCATATAAATCAGAGGGCTCCTGTGTCAATGGGGGAGAAGAAGGGGAGGAGGAGGGTGGATCATTTTAGGAGCCTCTTTGGAGCAGCAGACCTGTAAAATGTCCAGTGTCACACTGACAGATTTAATTCTAAGAAAATGTACTGAAGTAAGGCTGGAGAACAGGATAATTTCTATGGGAGAAACTCAAGAATTTATAAGTCTTCAGAACATAAGTGCTTTGCTGGATCAGGCAAAGGGCCAATCCACTCCGTTCTCACAGTGGCCAACCAGTTGCCAATACTTCCATACTTCCACACAAGCCTTTCGTACTTTGGAGGCGAGGAGAGAGAGAGAGAGAGAGGACCTCCTTGGAATCACACTGTTGTTTTTATGGGATGCTGCTGGGGATGTGACGCAGGCAAACTCCTGCAACTGCTCATCACCAGGTTGCTTTGCAGTTTTTGTCCATATGAATTTTTGCCTTGGGTGCTATTACAGCACACCCTTTGGGTTTTGATTAAATGCTGTGAGTACAAGTCAATTCTGATAGCATTGGCATGGTCTTCTCTTGGAGCAGGGGCCCTCTATGCAGTCTGTTCTGCTGTCTAGGGATCTTAGCAGAAGACAGCCCTGGGCAGTTAAAGGATTCTTATAGACAATGAGGAAATAGCCTGCATTTCTAGTAATTCACCTACTGAAATCCCATAAAGATATTGTCCTTTTAAAGAGAACTTCACTCTCATGAAACTGCACAAAACAGTCAGCATATCATATGAGCCACCACTAACATTTTGCTCCAGCAACTCCCATTTTCATTCCGCCATCTATTTATGGTCATTATGGGAGGGGGGTGTCCTTCTCTACTTCTTCCCATATTTAACAGTGTCAGCAGAGCCTGGGGGAAAATGGGTAAGCCAGCACTCAGCAAAGCTCAGTTTTGCTTTGCCTACTGCCCATTAAAGGAAGTGTTTTGATTATCAGAATTATACATTTCCTCTTCTCCCTTTCCTCCTCTTTTTCTCCCACCCCCTTCCCCTGTCTTCTGAGCACAAAGCGATAGTGATGAGAGGAAAGAGCATTCTGGGGCATCAGTGGAATGTGTATTTAGGGAACATGCCTCCATCAGTGGCGTTTTCATTTTTTTAAAAAAGGAATAGATTCCATTCACCATTCAAACCAAATTAGAACTTTGATCTAGAATTTTTGCTGTAGTCGTGTCCGAATCCACAGGCCTCTTTTGAGCATAGCTAATTCTGGAGTGAGACCTTGAAGTAGAAGCAAAAAAAAAGCAACAAGGTAGTCAAAAGTCAAACAAGCTGATCCAATGCATTTTTGGTCCCTCCTGGTCCTTCTCCTGGGAAATCTCAGATTGGTTTTGTAATGTAAAATACTTTAAAAATTGATTTTAGATTTCCCTAAAGTAGGACCGGTAAGGTCCATAAAGCATTGGATCAATAAATATATCTTTCAACTATTCCACTGGATTTTTTTGCTTCTACTTCCAGTTCCTTTTTGGGATTCACATTTTTGTTGCATTTTAGCTCCTACTGCAGAGGCCAAGCTAAAGGGGGATTATAATAGTAGGCAAATAATCAATCTTGTACCTCCAACTACTCCAGTTTCTGAACTTTGCCCCTGGTAAAACACCACCACCCATTTGAGTCTTGTGGGGATATGTAGGAGAATGCTCTTTTCTTGACAATGTATACACATGTGCATGGTGGTTATTGGGGTTCAACCGCCTACCTGAGTCCCCTAGAAATTGAATCTCTAAAGGAAGGAGGGCAAATATATGTTGACTCTAGTGCACATACATGTACCGGTAACTTGCAGGCACATGGTGTCAGGAACACTGCTCCAACCTCTTTCATTCCCTTGCCTTAATTGTCTATCCAATTGCTGCTGAATTTGTCCATATTGCAGCTCTTCTGTGATGCGTATAACAAGATCCGTTCTGAGATTAAATGTTCAACTAGACATTATATAAGGAAACTACTAATAGTCAATTTCCCTCTACAGCAGGTAGAGGGAAAGTGATGCGTAGGGGGTGTGAGGAGAAGGCAGCTCAGGCAGCGATCTTGGTATGAGAATAGGAGCATGATTCCAAGTATTTTCACTTGTGAAATGTTGGAGGGTATATGCAGGAAGGGCCATAGAAGAGGAGATCTTCGTACACAAAAGGTCCCAGGCTCAATCCTTGGCATCTTTAGATAGGGCTGGGGAAGCTTCCCTGTCTGAAACCCTGGAGACTTGCTGCCAATCAATGTGAACCATTCAACTGGCAGGTTGGAAGCCACTACCAGATTACAGCCTGATCTAAGGTGGGTCACAAGAGCAGCACCACTACCATACAAATATATATATATTTAAAAACATGAAATATATATTTGGGTTAATGGTGGGCCCTGGGTCTGGAAAAGCTGGAGACCACTGGTGTAGACAGTACTGAGTTAGATGGGTCAATAGTCTGAGTATGTCATGGTATAGGGCAGGGTTCCTCAACCTCAGCCCTCCAGATGTTTTGAGACTACAACCACTGGTCCTGCTAGCTTGGGATCATGGGAGTTGTAGGCCAAAAACATCTGGAGGGCCGAGGTTGAGGAAGCCTGGTATAGGGCCTCTCTCCTCTCCCCTCTCCCCCCCTCTCTCTCTCACACACACAGTTATTATCAGTGTGTTCATTGTAATTAGCCGTCTCACCCAGTAAACCAACAGTGGTGAGTTATGACATCACCAAGAGTGAACTATGACTTCATAATCCAGCTAAATTTGAGTAATTATTTGTGTTCCTGTAAATGCTTATGTACTTGCATGTACTTACCACCAGCATTTTATGAACAGACTAATATTATAACAAAGCTCTCTCTCTCTCTCTCGTGTGTGTACAGGTAGGATTGCCAGATTAAGATTTCAATTCTAAGAATACTCACAAGGGAGTAAATCCTAATAAACACAGTGGGGTGGGCTTTCATGCAAGCACACATACAACTGTGCTTTAAATCTTCAAAATAAGAACCTTGGTGGAGAGCTTGGAGAACCAATCTGTTCTGCAGCCATTTTGAACAAAGAGCCATCTGCTGTGGTTATAGTCAAATGAATTTTGGTTTAAAATAAGGAAGGTATGCACAGAGTCCTGAAGTGAACAAGTTGGATGTGCATAGGGGTCTCTTTCTCTCTCTTCCTTTTTTGCAGGGTTCCCAATTATGCAGAGCAAGTCTGCATACATGCAAGTTGTTCACAGGATCTGTTCACAGAGATTACTAATAACAGAGATTACCAAGACAGGTTCAAAGTCCTTGTATTCATTTACAAAGACCTGAACAACTTGGGCCCAGGGTACCTTAGAGAGCACCTAAATCCTTATATCCCAGTTTGATCACTGAGATAATCCACAGAGTGTTGCTGGTTGTCCCCTGAGTTGGTGAGGCTCATTGGACGTCATCATGAAACAGAGCCTTTTGTGTGATTAGCCCCATCTTGTGGAATGCTCTGCCAACAGAGATTCAGCAGGTACCTTCTGTTTCAACCTTTAAACGTCTGTTGAAAGCTCTTCTGTGCTGCCACGCTTATGCAGGCAATTTAGAAAACAACTTTCTCTATTAGTTAGTTGATGGTTATTTTTTTTACATGTTTTTATTATATCTTCCTACATGCATAAAAATGATCAGGGTCTATTAGTGCAGCTCCCACTGGAGGATTTCTAGTGCTTCATCACATTATTGGATTTATATGAAGTCATGGTGAGGGAGTGGTGCAAAAGTGAAGGCTGGTTTTAAAATGGTGGTTTTAAAATGCTGGGGCAGGCAAGATGGGCAAGCAGTGTGAGCAGAGGCAGCAGCCCCTAGTATAAGTATTATTATAAACTGCTTTGAATTTTTAAAATGGTTAATAAGGTTGCCATATTTCGAAGATCAAAAAAGAAGGGACATTTGTAGACTTTTACTTTTAACTATGCGGGACGCGGGTGGCGCTGTGGGTTAAACCACAGAGCCTAGGACTTGCCAATCAGAAGGTCAGCGGTTCGAATCCCCGTGACGGGGTGAGCTCCCGTTGCTCGGTCCCTGCTCCTGCCAACCTAGCAGTTCGAAAGCATGTCAAAGTACAAGTAGATAAATAGGTACTGTTCCTGCAGGAAGGTAAATGGCGTTTCCGTGCACTGCTCTGGTTCGCCAGAAGCGGCTTAGTCATGCTGGCCACATGACCCGGAAGCTGTACGCCAGCGCCCTCGGCCAATAAAGTGAGATGAGCACTGCAACCCCAGAGTCGGCCACGACTGGACCTAATGGTCAGGGGTCCCCTTACCTTTACTTTTAACTATGTATCGCTATGATGACTCTACCCATGAAAAAGTAGGACATATCCTGGGAAAAGAGGACCTATCAATAAATAAACATGTGGAGGTTCTGAGCAGAGGCAGTGGGTACAATCCCGGCCCTACTTCATATGCTTCAATTTACACAATAGTCAGAAATATAAAAAGAAGGGGAAGTATTTGATGGGGAGCTGCCCTCCCAAATAGTGGAGAGTGCTGGTGGTCTCCCTTTATATCAAGGCTTGGCACACATAAACTTTCCATATGCAGGAAACAAAGAGTCATGGACTTTATCACCATTTCAAATGTCACTCTGGGGACTTCCCCTTTGCATTCCCTTCTCTTTTCTTCAAATGCTTCGCAACAGATGGACGTCGCCAGTAAAAAGAGATCAGTCTCCTCTAACGGGTCTAGTGACGTGACTGTGTCTCCCTTGGGAAGGAATCCTGCAGACCATTTCCTCTGTCCTAGGAATGTAATGTGTAAACAGATCAAGAGGTGTCACTCCCAGACCTACCAGTTCACATGCCCCAGAACTGAAACTCTTTCTGCTATTGCAGTCTTGTTTGACTTTTGGCTTATTTTTTATATTTTTTTACTGAGTTGCATAGCAGTTACATCCCAGCAAACACTGGGTGCCCTGGGGCCAGCCCTACCATTAGGCAGAGTGAGGTGGCCACCTCAGGCAGCTTATTAAAGGACAGGACATTGCTCATTATTGAACATTGTTGCATTGTTGCTGTTAGTAAGGGGTGGGGATGAGAGTTTGTACTCAGGTGCCAAAGTAAAATAGCTAGTACTCCAGCTCCCATCATCCCTGACCATTGGCCATGCTGGCTGGGGCTGACAGTAGCTGGAATCCAACAAGAGGTAGAGGGCACCAGGTTCCCTATCCCTGCAATACGTGCAAAAATAGCTTTTCCTTTTTTCTTTTTTGCCTTAAAGCAGCAATTCCTAGAAAACAGACTTTTTACCAGCATCTTCTGCCGACTGAATTGGGCTGAAACAGTTAAGAAAAGATTAAGATCATTGGGGTATTTCTGAAAGTATGGAAAGGGAGAACGAGCAGCAAACTGGGAAGCTGAAAGATGTGGTGTAAAGCTAGTTGGGAAAGACTGAGAAGGAGGGAAGAAAATTTATGTGGGATGGGGAGACTCTAGAATATGGAAAAGGTTGAGATGAGACAAAGGCCTGGGAAGATGATGCAGGAAGGAGCTGTCTGTGTCACGGAGAGCACATTTTGTTCTGAGCTGCGCTATCTGCTGGAAATCTATATTGCTCTCGGGAACAAACTTCATTGCTCGTGGGGGTGGGGGGCCTTGGCTTTTCCAGAACCAGCAGCTAATCCTCTCCTGTGCTGCCCCCATTTGCATTGCAGAATGTAACTAAGGGCAGTTTCAGAGAAGCACAAACAGGATTTTCTAAGGGCTGAAACTACATGTTACCGACAAAGTTGTGCACTTAAACCCAACTGCAGCTCCTTGTAGGGTTGTCCAGGAGGGGTTGATTTGCAACATAAACACAGCAGGAGATGGGAGGTACTTGACCATTTCCCCACCAGCTGCTTTCCTGCTGCTGCAGCTGTCACCAGCATCCAGCCCATTCTTCATTCCCATGGCTTCCCGGTGGCTCGCAAACATGAGCCTTGAATTCTGTGTGGGACTAAGCAGCTTGTGGGGTAGGAGCTGCAATGGGGAAAGGGGAAAGCACCTCCTCTGCCTTTGACTTCTCCACTCCAAAACACCTGCTCCCGACTTTTCTAACAAAAGTGGTCATCAGGGTTTCCTTACACAAATTTGCATGTAATGTTCAATTTCACCTTATGAGAAAAGAGTTGCCCTCCCACATGAATGAGACCAACATTGTGCTATGTCATTTTTTGTCCTTTTTACCAGGACCTCTTTGCTACCTTCTTGAGTAGCCCAGTTGCCCTGACACAGCTGACATGTACTACCTTGAACTAGACCCCTTGCATTTTCTCTAGCCCTGTGAAGAACAATAGGCATGGACAATGAGCTCATAAATGAGGGTACATGAACCAACACAAAAGAGCCATTGTCGATAAGCTCTGTAGGTCAGATGAACACAAAATCTGGGGCAGTTGACAGGTTTCCAATTGCTCTTTTGCCACCATGTGCCCATTTTCCTTTTGAATGCTTCCAGGTGGGTGTTTTATTGTGGGATCAACGGTCCTCATGCATGCACGTTTTTCCTCGGTGTCCACATAATTATGTCGGCCCATATGTTATCCTCATTTAATCAAGATTTATTTATATTTACAAAAGCATTTACATACCACCATATCATAAAACGTCATAATGGTGTACATCGATACAACACATTTTAAAAAGAAATGCAAACATTTCCCCAATACAGTTTTTAAGGGGGTTTTTTTAAAAAAAAACCAAACTGTTGCCAGTTTCCCTGGGTGGTGTTTTTTGTGTTTTTTTTAAAGATATCTGAACAGCCTGTTTGTAATATTAAACCCCTGCCTGGAAGCATCCTTTAATCTGCTTCTGAAAGCAAGAGGAAGAAGAGCAGCTGTGACTCAGCACTGACTCTGTTCCAAGCATAAGCATTCTCGAGGTTTGTGCAATGTTGTTCTGGAATGAAATGGACAGCGTCTGGGCCCAAGCCTCCTGGCAGCTCAAGGCCACATCACACTTTATGGCCCAGATGTGTTTCAGTGGGCTCACTCTGTGTTATCTAGTGGATGCCAGAAGTCTGAAGGAGAGGCATGCGCCCATAAGCATGCCGAGCCATTCACTGGAGAGCACCAAGTAACTGCATCTCCTAAAATAAACTGATGTAGATTGCCATCCCTCTGGGCAAAGAACTTTTGTGTTCTGTGCAGGCCTTGCCCAAAGTTGATACCATCCCATACCCTCCAACATTTCTCCGATGAAAATAGGGACATCCTGTTATTATTATTATTATTATTATTATTATTATTATTATTATACCCCACCCATTTGACTAGGTTTCCCTGGTCACTCTGGGCAGCTTCCAACATATATTAAAACATAATAAAACATTAAACATTTTTTAGAAAACTTCCCTATACAGGGAAGCCATCTGAGCCTTCAGATGGCTCAGGGTCGGATAAGTCCATACTGTTGAAAATAGGGAGGTCCTGCCATAACCTGCAATATCTCTCCAATGAAAATAGGGACATCCTAAGGAAAAGTGGGACATTCCAGGATCAAATCAGAAACAGACGACTTTTGTAAATCCAGGATTGTCCCTGGAAAATAGCGACACTTGGAGGGTCTGCCATCTCAGTACCAAACAACAATCCTGACTCATGCTATTATTCCTCTTGCACTCACAGTTTTCAGAATAGTGTAGAAATATGCACAGTCATGAAAGCCACTTGGTTTATGCCACATCTGCATACCAGTTTATATATGTGTGTAAGCAGAGGTGCCATCTTCTCAAGTTGATTGAGGGGGGTCTGATGCGATTTCCTGATGTTATGCGTGTGACGTTACAATGAGCCAGGGGGCAGAGCCAAACACCCTTGAGGACTGAGGAGGCCAGCCCCTTCAAAAACAAACAACAAGAAGAAAGCCACTAGGGGTCAAAACTGCCTCGGCTCCTAGGAGCTGGCTGGTATCTATGTAGCCATCATAGAAACTGATACTGGTATAGTATTGGACTTCTGTATATGGTGATGTATTTAACAAATTAAAATTAGAAATCTTATAGTTGAATTCCAACACTCCATTACAGGGGGTGGGTTAACGCTTAATGGCTGTCACCAAGATTTCATCTCTTCCTCACCCTTTATATACATGCTAAACGATGAACGCCATCCTCTAAAATGGAAAATAGAGACATGAAAGTTTAATGATTAGAATTTGCATTTTGTAGTTTAAATCCAAGCCTGCAAATTGAAAATTGGGATGTGGATTTCTCTCAGGGTTTTCATCTTAAAGCACACATACAATACATGTTTGAATGCCATATGTGCAAAGATTGCCAAATGCATTAAGACTCTTCTTTAATAATAATAAAAAATCACACTAGCAAATGTCCCTTTTGTTCATAATGGGATGCCTTTTTTTGTATCATTGCTATATAAATGAAAATTTCTTAAAGAGCATTGGAAAAAACCCCACACATAAGAACTATATGCATTTTAAATAACCATGAAGATAACTGCACAATCACAAACCTGAATCATTCATCGTGCGCCTTGTTGTATCCTTGATATATTTACACATGTTCATGTATTCCATGAACATCATGTACAAATTCACTTTATTTGGCCCTGATTTGGCCATATAGTTCAAAAACCGCAGAGGATGAGGTGCCTTTGATCCTTTACTGGGAGAATCCAGCTTTCAAGCACGGAGCCAGAACAAAATGTCTGGTCCCTGAAGGGGAGAGGGAACATGAGAGAGCGGAGGAAGACAGCACCAAATGTTTCCTAACCACAACTTCCAAAACGCCTGAATTCCACCAACCCTCTTCTCTAAGGCCCTGAAAACCTGTGCTTTGTTCTTGGCATTGTGATTTATCCCGGCCAAGAACATGCTGAGAAGCAGCAGCAGCAGCAGCTTGTGAGACCCAGCACTGCATCCCCCCTGAGCCCCTTGGCTGAGCCCCAACATGGGAGATCTGGACTGCTCAGCTCTAGGAATCTTCCATTTTTACCATAAAAGGGCAGGCATTTCGCAGCCCCTGCCGGGAGGATGGGAAAGGAAAAGGCAGAGCTATTTATAGGCAAAGTGGGGGCCTGGGCTTGAACTCAGGGTTAATCAGCCTGCAACTATGGGACTAGATTGGGATCTCGCTTTGTTTTCTCATAAGTGTTTGATTTGAAAACCAAAGCCTTGGGGTAAAGGAGGAGCTCTGATAAACAGTGCTCTCTGCCCTTCTATTTCCCTCTACTCCCCAAACCCCCACCCCACACTTTGTACGGTGGCTTCACATGGTACGTTTTGTACTTGGGTGTCGTCATGAGAGTACAGAAGACACATGGACCCCATCAAGCCTGTGTGTGAAATCCAGAAAGTGGCCCCTTTAAAAGATTTGAGTGTGGGGTCCCATTACTTTCCTGGTTCTTGCTACTGAGTCTTTCACTTAATAATAATTTTCCATTCACACGCCTCTCATACTTGGCGGGATACACGCCTCATTATTTTGTGCTTGTGGGTCTGTGCCCAAGTACAAAAATGTAATGCGTGAAGCCAGCCCCAAGCCCCAAAGAGCAGAGGTCTGAAGGATGCTCATTGAGTGTAATTGAGCACAAAACAATGTACAATCTCCAGGCAATGGAATTCACTTTCACAAGAGGCAATGAAGGCTGCCAATTCAGATGGTGTGGCAAATATTCCCTCTTCTGCACCCATTTTTGCTGCTTCCAGAGACATTGGTACAGGCCTTATAGCTGATTTTCTTTACCCCAGTGCAGCACAATTAAATTTGTTACAATGGGAATAAAGAGCATCTTTCTGTTTTTGCGACAAGCCAGACTTGCATTTTAGACTAGTCCTCATTCCTCATCTTGAACCGATATCCCTATGTATCCTGTTATAATATGAAAGCCTTAAATTGGCCTAACTTAATTCATCTTTATAAAGGGACGCGGGTGGCGCTGTGGTCTAAACCACAGAGCCTAGGGCTTGCCGATCAGAAGGTCAGCGGTTCAAATCCTCGTGACAGGGTGAGCTCCCGTTGCTCAATCCCTGCTCCTGCCAACCTAGCAGTTCGAAAGCACATCAAAGTACAAGTAGATAAATAGGTACCGCTCTGGCTAGATGGTAAACAGTGTTTCTGTGTGCTGCTCTGGTTCGCCGGAAGCGGCTTAGTCATGCTGGCCACACGACCTGGAAGCTGTCTGCGGACAAATGCCGGCTCCCTTGGCCAGTAAAGCGAGATGAGCGCCGCAACCCCAGAGTCGTCCGCGACTGGACTTAATGTTCAGGGGTCCCTTTACCTTTAATTCATCTTAAACAAGTTAAACAATTCATTAGTTAAACAAGTTGTGTTCACAGTGAGTGCCCTTTTTAACACTGATACTTTTAGTATGCTCAGATATAGTTGGGTCCTTTGTGGAATGTAGTCTTGTTTTTCTTTGATAATTGAGAAAGTTTGGGGTGGGGAAAATCTTATTCAAAGGGAAAATTGGATATAAATGTCTCTTCCTTGAAGCATCTCTCACTCTGACTTTGGGAGGTGCGTATCAACTTTTGCTTGTTGATTCTGGTAATTATGGTTTAATTAGGGGTGGGGTTTTTTTTAGCTCTTCATTAATAATCAATATTTTAGATTTGTAATCTTAACTTGCCTTTTATAATGTTGTTAACCTTATTTATATTATTTTCTGCAATGCTTAAGTTCTACTAAGTAAAGGAAAGGTATTGGCTATGTAGCTAAAGACTCATCCTTGGAGCCTAAATTCTCTATGTGTTGATACAAAGGGTGACCAATTATCCCATGTAACGTGGCAGTTGTTGCAGAGGCAACTGAGATAAAAAAACCCTTAATTGTCAGGCTCTGTGTGCTACATAGAAACCAGGCTTGGATTTCCCATGTGAACAGAACAAAAATGGCCATGGTGGCTATATAAGAGGATGACACAAATTCATGGAGAAGTCTACTCTGATGGTTACGGTATGTTCTGCCTCCACTGTTGGAGACAGTAGCCTTTGAATACCAGTTGCTGGAAACTGTGGGAGTGGAGAGTGCTGGTCCTGCTTTTGGGCTTCCCATAGGTCTCTGAATGACCACTGGAAGAAGGACTAGATGAGACACTGGCCTGATCCAGTAGCCTCTTCCTATGTTACCACCAGCTGCCTTTGGCATCAGCTGTAGACCCACAACAGCTTTGTTTGCATGTCACAGTAAGCCACAGGTTACCATATATGAGCAGATTGCATCTGCTTCATTCCACCCTGCCAAAGCTGGGAAGAAACAAACCATGCTCCTTAGATTAGCATTATATCTGAACCAGGGATTGTGGTTTGGCTCGCTCCCAATATAGGCCGGTTTCTGTACCTTTCAAAATAGCTCTCTCTCTTCACTTGGCAGGCTGCTGTTGCAGCAGAAACTCTACATGCTCATCAGGCAGGCAGGCTTTTACTCAGACCCAAGGCTCTTTTGTGCAGGAAAAAGCAAGAGGGGGCCACAGAAACAGTTCCAGACTCTGTACTGTCTTCAGTCTTCTCATAGCATCCTGGGATAGCTGAAAGGTTAGACACACTGACTTGCCTAGAGGGATCTCACTCATTTTCCCATCCAGCACGAGGGGTTGGGATTATTTCCCAGAGGATGCTCCCCCTCTTCCCCCACACGCACTGCAGGCTGCTCAGCTGGTCGGCATTCCATGAGAGTTCCTGGACAACCCATCCCCGGCTTCAACCTCCCAAGGGGCAGAAGCAGTAGCTGAGAACTTGACTTGGGCCTGGGAGAGAGCGAGAGAATGAGGAGCTCTTGTTTTTCCAGAGAGACTCATGGGTCACGTTCATGGCTGGGTTTGTGGGTTAGGCAGGACAGGATGTGATAGGATCAGGGCCCAAGCATCACTTATCTGGGCCCGGCACAACCTTGTGTCACAGACTGCCTCCCTCCCATCTCTCACATAAACATCTACTTTGAACAAAATGGGAGGATTGATTGGTGTCCTTTAGCTTCTTTAGCTCCCTTTGCTCCTTACATTTCCGGCCACTTGATTTGTATTTATAACCAGATGTGGCACCAGGCTGTGGGTATTCATTACACATAAGCAACAAACACCATTTCTATACTGCTCCCAATCCTTGGGACTAGTTGTTCTCTGAACTTGTATACATTTTGTGCTCTCTAAATCCTGTTTGCAGCAATGGCTCCTTCTGTTCCTGGGAGCTCGATGTCCCTGAATGTTATGGTGCTTGTCCTTCCTCTCTGCCAAGAATACTTTTAGGGGCCTTAGTAAACAATAGCAGCAGCCACCGCCACCGCAGCAGTGGCTCTCACTTTCTCTAGAATCAAAGGTCCCTCACGATTATGATGTTTGTAGCTCTTTCTGCTGCAAGTCTCCTGCTGCTCCTGGTTGGCTCTTTCTCCCTCCATTTCTCCCTGCATCTGCTTCTCAACCCACTTTTCCTTGTGGTGCCATCCACCACTGGCGCACTGACCCCAGAGGGTTGTCCGTGAGGGAATGAGGCCCTCGGACTGACACTCCTGCCCTGCACAGGGAACTCTGCCACTTGTTGTTTAGTCATTTAGTCGTGTCCGACTCTTCGTGACCCCATGGACCAGAGCACGCTAGGCACTCCTGTCTTCCACTGCCTCCCACAGCTTGGTCAAACTCATGTTCATAGCTTTAAGAACACTGTCCAGCCATCTCGTCCTCTGTCGTCCCCTTCTCCTTGTGCCCTCCATCTTTCCCAGCATCAGGGTCTTTTCCAGGGAGTCTTCTCTTCTCATGAGGTGGCCAAAGTATTCGACCCTCAGCTTCAGGATCTGTCCTTCCAGTGTGCACTCAGGGCTGATTTCCTTCAGAATGGAGAGGTTTGATTTTCTTGCAGTCCATGGGACTCTCAAGAGTCTCCTCCAGCACCATAATTCAAAAGCATCAATTCTTCGGTGATCAGCCTTCTTTATAGTCCAGCTCTCACTTCCATACATCACTATTGGGAAAACCATAGCTTTAACTATACGCTGCCACTTGTAATTCAGTGTTATAGGAAATGCCAACAGGAACTAGAGACCTCTGGGAGTTGTAGTTACTGCGCAAGTGGGTCTCTTACTAAGGAAGGTACATGGCCCTTAATTGCTCACACCACAAGTCCTAGAGTTTCTTGCTGTGGTGCTTGTGTCCTGCTCGTGGGCTTCACATAGGCATCTGAGTGGCTGTTGTAGGAACAAGATGCTGGAGCCACTCTGGATTTCCAGGCCTGGAAAAAAGGTGTCCTTCTCCAACACTCCACCCACCTCACCCCTCTCCATTGCTTGGCCTCAGATAGCATGGGGTGCCATTTACAAGGAACCCAATTCAGTGGAATTTTGTACTCCAGCTGTGGGAAATTTTAGAAGCGGCAAATCTGGCACACACATAGGGTAGCCGTTTATGCATCATTATACATATTCTATCTATAATCTATCTATCTATCATCTATCTATCTATCTATCTATCTATCTATCTATCTATCTATATCATCTATCTATCTCTCTATCTCTCTATCTAAGCAGTCCTGTACTTGGCCTTTTGATGCATTTCCCCCCGCAAAACCAGCTTTGATCAAAGTTGAAAAAAACAACCTGGCTGCATTTTAACATGTAAACAGCCAAAGATGGATAACAGGTACATCTAAAAGGTATTGATTGGTTCATGTTAGGGATGGGAAATAAATTCAGTTCAGTTCACATTTAAAGCTGAATCTGTTCAATTTGCACTTTCTGAAGTAATACAAGAGCTAAAACACAGCCAGCTTTTGCAATTCACACTCCTCCGAATTTTGCAGTGTTGTTTTACAACCAAACAGTGCTTATTGAAATGCATATATTAGGGGAAAGTGTGCACAAAATTGGATATATTAGTGAAAAATGACATACAAAAATACATTATATGGGAAGAAAGTGCTTGCAGAAATGTGTACATAAGTCAAAAATGCATACAGAAATGTGTTTATTAGGAGAAATTCCCATGAACATACTGGGGGGAAAATCGTGAGGGTTTTTTTAAATACCAGTTGCTGCAGATATGTGAAGAACTAATTTATGATTGGAAAAATAAGAAACCCAGAGAAGTGAAATTGACATCTCTAGCCCATGTCTACTTGTTTCAAAGTGATGAGGCTGTGCCTGCCTCTTATGTTATTAGCGTTGGCATCATTTAGCAAGAGCTTCAGAGGAGTAACATTGCATAGATCAATTCCTCTTTGCTATTAAAGCATTTTCGTTACAAGACAGTTTTTTCTCCAAGGGGCCATGTGCACTAGAAGAAGCTCTTCTGATAAAACAGCCATCACTGCCCAAAGACATTACAACTCATAATGCATTTCGGTCTGCATTATTAACAAATCTTGCATTTTAGTTTGGACGACGTTATACCTCTTTGCATAGCCCCTGGGATGGCCACCCCACCATACCCACACCCTTTTACCTGACCTTGAATCACCTTAAGCATGTGCAACAGGGTGCAGTTTTCTCAGGTGAATGCAATATACGTGATACAGAACAGATTAGTTGACCGCATGCATAAGAAAAATGAGTTATGGGGGTTGGGGAGAGGATGCAAAGCAAGGCTAATTATTTAGTGAAATGTAATTGTTCGTATGCATGGAAGATGTGCATGAATAGTGTCGACACGTGCAAATGAAAAATCCTGTGGACTTGACTACATTGTATGTTAAAGAGGTGGCTGATTCTGCACCTATTGGATGCAGTAGAGGCTTTTATAACTGTATCATGGCTGGAAAGCAGGTTTATCAGCCATCACAGCTAAATGCTACCTCCATGTTCAGAGACAATATATGACTTTATACCAGATACTGGGGCAAACAACAAGAAACGTTGCTCAGCCTCTAAGCTTCACAGGGACATCGGGTTCAGCTTTGTGAGAGGCAAAGGGAGTGCCAAACCAGATGGACTCTTGAACTAAGCTTGTGTCCTCTAACCAGTTTTCTGCAGAAGGTCCAAGGCTAGTTTCATACACTATAGCACACAGTAGGGAGAGAATGGCAGCATCTTGCCCTGAGCATGAATTAGTTCTGCTCTCCCACTTACGAGGCAAGTGTGGGTTTGGGTTGGAGCTGTTCGTCCCCAGCTACCATGGGTGGCTAATGTGGTGCAGTGGTTAGAGTGTCGGACGAGGAGGTAGGGGATCAGGGTTCAACTCACTCAGCCAGGAAGCTGGCTGGGTGACCTTGGGCCAGTCGCCTTCCCTCAGCTTGTCCTACCTCAGAGGGTTGTTGAGAGGATAAAATGGGAAAGTGCAGAAAAGATGGGATATGAATGTAATAGTAATATTAAAAAAATGAATCTTAAGAGATAGGGTTGGTTTTGCATGGTTCATCATGTTCAGCTCCTTTATACGCTGAAAGTAGCGGGGTCTTATAAGAAGAGGTGAACGGTGTTGTGAATGGAGGGAGTCAAGCACTTATCACAGAAGTGAGATTGTGATTTCCTGCGTGGGATTGTTGAGGCTTCCCATTGCTGTACCTCGCTGTACGATACCTGAAAAATACTTGCTTCTCCCATGACTGGCGGGGAATTAGTACCATGATATCTCCAGTAGGTCACGTCCAGACGAGGGAAGTCAGAGTTGGATATGCCTTTGACCCTTTTGATGTAGCTCTTGGGATCACTGGCTGATACCTGTTCTTTTCTGCATTTCTTACAGGATTGGCTACTGGGGGAAGCAGTCACACGTCTGAGGACTGGAAGCCTTGCAAAGGACAATGGACAGCCAATCTTGAGGAACAGTCGCAGGTGGCAAGCTAGCTCAGGACGCTAGTCCATAGCAAGACTGTGACTGGTGCCAGTCCATCAAAATCTAGTTTCAGCCAATTTTGCTTCTCTTTTAAAATGAGCGTGAGGTCACGATATCATTGTGAGTGTAATGATGGTAATGATGTTATTGGTCCAATATGTTACACTGCTCAACCCTGCCATAAACAATCCTAGGAAATGTAGCTTGCTGATGACCGGTTCCTGGCTACGTTAGGTTTCTCACAGACAGAACTATAGTTCCTACAGTTCCCTGGGGAGGTGGACTGGCCTCTGAGCCAGCTGAGTGTAGATACACACTGGCTACAGTCCAACACAGAACTAGGCATGCCTAAGCCCATTCTAATCAATTATCTAAAGTATGCTTAACCAAGCTTTGGTTTATGACTGGCATGGGTTAGGGTGGAGGCATGGTTCAAAGGTTCGGAAGATGAAAAGAAACACTAGATGTCACCTTCCACAAATGACTCTGGTTTTTTTGCTTTTCATTTTATGTTTGCAGAGATTTATCATTTTTGGAAACTATTTGGGCAATGACGTCTTGTCCTTTCGTTCTCCCTGTCCCTTTGACTCACTGTGGCTCATTCCCAAACTTGGCTATAACTTTCGGTTCCCAACCCAAATCTATTCTCTGTCTGGATATAATGTTGTGTTTGGCAGGGTTTCTGAAACACAGATTTTACAGATCGAGGAGTTTTTGGTGAGTTTTTCAGACGATCTCAAGACTTGGTAAGCCAGTCTCTCCTACCTTTCCTCCAGCTATGGAATCAGAGCTACAAAAGAAAGAAAAAATGCTCAGATCCTTTTCAGAAGCCAAGCAAAGATGCAGATGTGGCACATATTGAATGGTCACCGGTAATTTCAGAGAAGGTCAATGCATCAGCATATACAGGAGTGTGTATTCCGGTGTGAAATTCAGGCATCTAGAAAGCTCATAGGACCCCTGATGAAAGGTGTTTTGCTTGCATGGTACAGCAGTGTCTTCCAGCATCTGGCAAATGCTGCGGAAACCAATTGCTGTTTTCTTCTACTGAGTAGAAACCTGGACTATCTATATATCTATCTGTCTGTCTGTCTATCTACTGTATGTATCTATATCTATCTATCTATCTATCTATCTATCTATATCTATTTTTGCCTGTTTTGAGATGATTCGTAGCATGAGGAAATGAGTGCCTTGCTTCTCGAAGGGTGATTAGGGCCCTGCTCTCCCTCTCTCTGCTGGCGTTAGCGACAGAACCTTCCTTTCTCTATCACACAGCACACACCTCTCCCTGTACTGTGTCTGCCTGGTGAAGGAGGAGGAGAGGGGTGGTGGGAATAATTTTTGAGGGCTGTGCTTAGAGCTGAGGGGAAGGAGAGGCTGCCAAGGAGCCGGATGGAGCTGCAGCCCCTGGAGCTGCCATCTGCTTCTTGTCAGGTTGTTGTGAAGTGCTTGTTCCTGGCTGCCTGGTGACAGAGGCTGCTGGACTGCAGCAGAAGGATGTGGTTATGACAGATGCTCTGTTTACCATACTTTGTGCCTAGTCAGGATCACACAGGATGTTTGCTTTTGCCTGGGAAAGTCACCGTTTGGTGTCTTGCTCACCTCCTTCCCCAGCGTGAGCTTTCCAAATGGTCATCTCCGCTGGGAGGTATGGAGACCGCACTGTCGTCCTTCGCTCACGGGAGAAGACTCCCCTCGGTGGAAATCCCTGTGCTTCCTCAAGGTGTAACGCAGCTGGGGACCCATTTTCTCCTTTACAACAGGGGTGCGCAGTCTGTGGCACTCCAGGTGTTGTTTGACTCCAACTCCAGGCAGGATGGCCAATAATCAGATACTAGAGTTGGAGTCCAACAACATCGTGGGGAGGGGGCGGCACAGGTTCCCCATCCCTGCTCTGCAGCAAGGCACGTTACTGCTTTTCTGATGATGCATAAAGGTTCTTCCAATGTCCATTAATTCCTTGCCACTTGAGTCCTTCTCAGATTGCATCAGGAGCAGGTGGCTTAGTGGGATGAGGGGCTGTTGCTTACCTGGCTGCCCAATGTGGAGGTTGTTGCTGGTAGCCAAGAGGCAGTGGGGTGGTCAGCACAGTGCAAGCACAGTGGCAGAACCATCCCGACACTCCTGATTCTTCATCCACACCAACCTCTTTTCTGCTTCCCCACTCCCCCTAAACCCTTTGGTTACCAGCAGTGACCTCCGTGTTGGGAAGCCAGGTAAGCAATGCCACTCCACTCCACCAGCTGCTACTGACGCTACTGGGTTGCATGTGGTTCAGTTCCGTGAAGGGGATGTTGGGGAAGGTGTTACGGTGGTTGACAAAGCCTTAGGAGTGATCCAGATCCTTCCCCTGGAGTCTCCTGCTTCCTGCGGGCACTGCAGCCAGATGGATTGCTGCAGGAGAATGCCAGAGCTTTCCCATAGACAAAAATGCAAAGGCTTTCAACACTGTCTCTGCTAAGTCTCAGCTCATCCTGTAGTCAGTCAGAAATCAGAATGAGTAGGTTAATTTTAGAATTTAATGATTTTACCAAGGTTATCACACATCTGATCTCCTGTTATTCCATTCTTGGGCAAAGCGGATCATAGCCCCCTAAGGATCCTACTACAAACAAGAATGAAAGACAGAATTATCTCTTTTGGATCAAAGGCTGATTACAGAGACTGATTTATCTTATGAGAAAAAGTGAAGCTAAGTATAATGGAACTGTAATGAAATTGGAATGAATAAATATGTAATGTTTTTAAAGTGACAGATATATCTTAATGTAACGAATGAGTTATCACTCAAGGTATCTCAGGAGTTAGCAAACAGGAGTTTGGAAGTCAGTTTGCTTAACAAAACAGCCGTTCCCTATTTAAATTTAAATGTGTTTTTGGGTGCTGTACCTGAAAAAAACACTTTTGGGGGATGAAACTGCCGTGCAAAGTCATACGGTATCACAGCAGCCAAAGTGGCCTTTGTGCTCTTGCGATAAAAAAATGGGAAGATGGTGTCTGAGAAGGTGGCATCCCGGATTTTGGCTTTTAAGTTTTTGGAGGGCATGTTAAGTGTGGATAAGTCCTGACACAAGGCCATAAAATCTCCTTGTATCAGCTTTGACTCCAAGAGAATGTTTGATCAGGCGTAGGCCAACACCCTGCATGAACGGAAAGAACACCTAGAATATGCTCCCAGAATCCTTTGGGTGCTCTAATAGATGCTCAGGGTCTCTCAGAAGGGGACTTGATACGGGAAAAGTTGCTTGGTGGTAGAGAAAGGTGGCAAACCAACAGCCTACCCAAATCCTGTTGTTGTTCTTCTCTGCACCTTTCTTCCTTCCCTCATTATAGCTCTTGTGAGAGGAGGTTGCCTGACAGATGGATGAAAACAAGAAGACCTTCGATGTCTCCCAGCCCAAGGTGCAGTGCTGCATCTCTGGTCAGTTGTGAGTCTGAGATGAAGCACTGTAGCTCGGGAAGGGAGGAACGATGCAACGGAAAGGAAACTTACCTCTCCTCGGTTGAGCTGCGTGGAGCTAGAGAAGCCCCGGCAGGTATTTCTGCCGAATTGATCCAGGGGGCAGAAGAATTCAACTGGACTGTGGCTGCAAGGGCTGAAGGCTAAGCATGAAGAGCACTCTGGAGACAACAACTGCTTATAGGAAATATTATAAGCAGAGAGGGGGCTCTTTGTTGCTGCCCAGAAAGTGGTGGTCTGCATAATAACATCCCTTTGGGGAGCATTTGTGTCGTAGTGTGCACCTTATATGTTCATATCTGCATTCAGATAATATGCTTTTTATAACAAATCCCCATCACTGCTGCAAGAGGTGTGTGATGTGTTTTTTCTTGGAGTGCTCATGCTTTGGAAAACAGAATGCAACTGCAGCCCAGTGCTTCCTCAGAGGCACCACCAAGTGGCAATACTGAGCATTGAGCCTAAGCAAAAAAGCTCTTCCATTCGAGGCCTGTCTTAGCAGCATCACATAAGTAAAGCTCAACCTGCAGCAGGATGTGAAGGAACAAACTGAAGGCTATCCTTGCTGTCAGCCCAACCCACACTGTGTCCTCGGGGTCCAGTTTTCCCAGGAATCCCTTAGATGATAAGAGGGGGATTCCTGGAAATACTGTTCTTGGGGTCACAGCTCAGCAGCTGGAGATACCGTCTTCCATTTTTTCTCACCCCAGAGAAGCCATTCGAGAGCACATGGGAAATGGAGACGACTTCAAGGAATGGGCTGCAGTCATTCAGCTCCCAAAACGCCAGCAAACCGGAGTCACTCCTGTTATGTGACCTCATGGCAGGCAGTTCCAAATCACATCAGGCTTCCAGGAGTGAAGAAAAGCAACCACGCAGCAAAGAGAAAAAGATTTGTTCACTAGGCAGTGTTCACTGTTTGCTTGGTTAGGGGCTAACTGGAAAATGGGGAGGAATCATGGCCTTTGTGTCGCAGACCAGCAAGCCCCAAAACTTTGGGAACATGTACTTTCTGCCATTCTGGCAGAATAAGCTAATAGAATATGTGGAGCTAGCAATGTTGACTGCAAAGATAAAAAATCAAGATGAGTTGGATATAAAAGAAGAGCAGGAATACTTTGGCAAATATTAAAAAATATATAACAATCAGATGAGCTTCCAAGTGGAGTTAGATATATGAGCAGTAGTTAAAATAAGTAGAAGAGGGGTGATAATTAGGGAGATATGGCTTAACAAGGACTAAATAGGACCCCACGGAGGAATGTGTGTGGAAGTCAAGGAGTGTAAGATAAATGATGGCAATTGTATAACTGATGTATTAAGATATGTAAAATGCATAAATAAAAATTTTAAAAAGGAAACCTGTCCCTTCACAACACTGATCCCTGGAGGAGCTTCCTGTATTGCACCATCTAGGGAAGGGCATTTGGGCTTCTATCCCACTCAGCTCTGCACTGGTTGGGGTGTAAAGAAATAACATCATTATTCCTTAGATGTGCTGAACGAAAGTGTTGTCCCATCATGATCCTCTGCTGCCCTGATGGATTGCAAAACATTTTGTGAATTAAAAGTTCCTTCTGGATGAGCTTGGTACAGTAGTGCTCTGCCCTGAGCAATAATGCTCTCGCTCCAGATCCTACTCAGGAATGCCACCACTTAACAACTGTAAACACAACGTGGTTTAATCCCTGAGTAGTACCCCTTCTGTGCTAGCTGGGTGCTGCTGCATCTATGCAGTGGGGATTTGATTCAGGTTGCATTGAAAGGCAAGCATGCCTAATTCTAATCACACTTTCTGAAATAATATGCAAACTGAAACACAGCCATCCGTAGAAATTAGCACTTTCCCAAAATTCACAATGCAGTTCTCCAGCCAAGTAATGTGTACAAAACATGCTGTGGTGAAGTGTGCCTAAAATTCCTGTAACAGTGAAAATAACACAAAAACATGTTTTATATTAGGGGAAATTGCTTTGCCAAAATATGTATATTAGGCAAGCTTTCATATCAACGTGTGAATATTCGGAGCAATTTGCACTAAAGTGCTGGATTTTCACGAAAACTCTTTAAAATATCAAAACCTGATGCGGAAATATGTAGAACTGAGTTTAAGACTGGAAAAATGGGAAATTGAGATAAACTGAACATGACCGATTCAACCATCCCTCTGTCAATAAATCTCTGAGCTTGTGCAGCTTCTGTGAGCTTTTTGTGTTTGTTTTATGTGGAGTCAGGCACCCTCATTTCAGAACAGCGGCAAAATGAACAGGCTGCAAATAGAAACCTGAGCTGACTGAAGTCAAGGGAGACTAATATAGCAACACGCACATGACACAGCATATTGAGTCTTTTGTTTTAAAAGGCACTTTGTGGGCCGCTGCAAAAGCCAAGATAGACAATACCAGCCTCTCTCTCCCCCTGCTGAGTAGGCAGCCCCTTGATCCCAATGGCAGACTCATCACTGGCCTAGATTAGGCCTGGCCAGAGTTAGGGGAAAGAGCACACATTCCTCATTTGAAGCAGGAAGTGCTTCCCTTCATACTACGGGCAATTGTTCATCTTGGTTGGACGGTGGTTAATCCTCATTCAAATGCTTTTACAAACTATGCAAAATTAAGTTAGTGAGCTTATATGATCAATTCGCAGCACATCAGAGAGTTGCATGCACCGGAAAACCGAAAGCAAAACTCACTGTGTCTTTTGGAGGAGATGGAGGGACAGATTACGTATGTAGGATTCCTGGCCTACATGCATAGTTTGTATTCACACAGGGTCTATTCACAAGTTCCATCAAACACACATCAGGCCGGGGAAGTGGATGCCATCTGGACCCTCTTCCGCACGTTCCTTGGGCATGGCATGTTTTGTGAACAGAGGGAGCTACAGATGCCAACTACACGTGCAATACTAAACCCATCTGGCAAATAGAAGAGAAGCCCTGGAAGCTGCAAATTACTCACTGAGGCCCTCCAGATTTTTTTAATAGAAACTTCAGATGGTACAGTAAATCAGAAGGGGCTAAGGTCCTAAGCTACGTGACCTTCATTTCCCATAGTCTTCAGCTGAAGACAAATCTGGTGGTAGAGAAGAATGAGCATCTTGAATATCTAAAAATCAGAGTGTCCTGTCTACCTCACTACTCAATGAAGCAGGCAGGTTCACGTGACCCAACTATAAAACAGACCTTGCCAATTTGAGTGGGGAAAGTTGAATAGATTTCAATACAAAACCCCCGGGGGAAATCATCAATCTATAGAGCAGCACCACACTACTTGGGGATCACAGCACATCCAGCTGTTTCCTCAGTTATAAGGCATACTATAGGGATTGTTTTAAAATCATCCCTGCAGAAGAGGTTTTAAATGGAAAACCAGTGGCACTCAGTGGCTTCAGAGGGGATTGCAGGAATCTTTGAAATCCCGGCACCACCGGTTGTTATAAAATGATGCCATTAAAACAGTATACACCAGCTGTGCTATCCCCACATAACAGAAGGGGGCAGGGGTTGCCTTGCTATAGAAAGATTGTCAATGCTTGCAGAATTTGCTAGAAACGGAGTGTGTATTCTAACTATGGAAAAGTGCACAGAGTCTCCTTAGAACAAGGCAATGTCCCCTGAGAGAATGAAAATTGACTAAGGAGAAGACAAAAGTGATGAGTGGGGCTTGAAAGTTAGGTATTATTCGCTGCTTCCAAGTTTTTCTTCCAGAAGCTTTGAGATGCATCACAGTCCCACAATAACCCTAACAGGTCTGTTAGGATGGCAAACAGTGACCTGCCTAAGGTCACCCAAATGAGTTTCATAGGTAAGTGAAGATCTGGATTGTGGCTTTCCATACCTAACCCAATTCAAGCCCCTTCAGCATATTGGCTAGTTCAGGTCATATTAATACCAAAGTGCCATTGTTATGTAAAGGTGGAGGCGGGGTAGAGTGGGAGAGATGATGGGGAGGAGAAAAAGGGATGGCAAAGGAATCTCATTACGTACATGCATGCCTGCATGCACACAGCCCTATGGTACAAGAAGAGTTTGGATTAGATATCCCGCCTTTCACTCCCTTTAAGGAGTCTCAAAGCGGCTAACATTCTCCTTTCCCTTCCTCCCCCACAACAAACACTCTGTGAGGTGAGTGGGGCTGAGAGACTTCACGGAAGTGTGACTGGCCCAAGGTCACCCAGCAGCTGCATGTGGAGGAGCGGAGACGCCAACCCGGTTCCCCAGATTACGAGACTACCGCTCTTAACCACTACACCACACTGGCTCTCAATCTGTAGCATATGTGTGAATACTGCAATAATGGGAAACATCTAAGCCAGCTCCTGAACCCCCCTCCCCATGAGCCACTTTGACGGGGGTTGGCACAGCCCACTTGTCTATCACATGATGCCTTTAACTTCCAGTGAAAGGATTGGGAACCCAAATTTAAGAATATGCTCCCATTTCTTTGTTTTCTTCCTTTGCAAGTGTGACTTGAATCGAGCCTCAGCTGCAAAGGGATATCCTTTGCATCCTGTGTATGGGTTCCAATAAGGGATGTAAAGGAAGTATGCAAGCCCTGCTTGCAGCAGAGATTGGCTCCACTAAGGAGCCAATTCCAGCATGATTTGCATTGTAAGGCACTGCAGGTAAGCCCTGCTTGCAGAGGAGCAATTGGGACTTCTCTCTAGCACTCCTGATTGTTCCTTTGCAGCTGCAGCTTTACCTGCTTGAAACCTGGTGTCAGATGTGGGAAGGTTGGTGTGGATGAGTGCGGGGAATAGCTTCATGGCTCAAGTAAGGCCCCTGGCAGCCCTAATTTGCCCCAAAGGACTGGGGTTCCCCATGCTGCTTCAGAACTGACACCTTGCTACAGAGACTGCACCATGTCTCTTCAGTTACACATTATTGCAGCTAAGCCTCCACAACGGCCTATAGGTTTGAGCACCTGTTTATAAATTCACTGACTTATTTGGAAAAGCCAAGGAGAAATGTAATCATTTCTAGTCTCGGGGTTAAAAAGAAGCCCACAAGAAAAAGAAAATCTGGACAAAGCTGGAAAACAGAAACACAGATCAAGAAAAGGGAGTGGGGGAATTAACAAAAGTGAAGGAGAGAGGACGGGAATTAAAACCCAAAGAGTGGGTGGGCAGAGAGAACAGCACAGGGAGTACACTGTTCTGGGAAATCTCTGTAAAGGAGAAGAGGATCAGCATCCAAAGCGAAGTGCAGCAAATGAGGCAAAGAGGAGCCATGTGCAAGAGAATGAAACAGACATGTATTCATAATGGGAAGAATACACAGCGTCATTATTCAAGGGAACTGCAGCTTGAGTCCTCATGTTACATAGCCTCTGCAAAATAATTTAATAATAATTTATTATTTATACCCCGCCCATCTGGCTGAGTTTCCTGGGCCACGTCAATGATGAGAGGGGTATCTAGCTATTTCGTCCTCTGCAGAGGCATTGCATGAACACCAGGTGACGTTGCCGGCCTGCCCTGAACCAAAACGTGGGCAGATTCCGGTGCTTGGGACATGAGCAATGCAGGCTGGCACTGAAAGGGCAGTAGATCTCTAGAGACACTCTCATGCGGGGAGGTTGCTTCTTGGGTGTTCCTTTGCCATCATGCACAGTTCACAGACCACATACATTTTGGCCAGTTTGTGAGAGGGAGAATGCATGATGCGAGGCGTCAGGTTACAAGGTTTTGTGTGATGCGTCTCCCCGATGTACAGTTTTGCAAGTCTGGAGTGGATTGCATTGGTGTGCCCAGGAAGTGTTGCAGGCACCTATTATGTGTGATTTGTGACGGAAGTTCTGACAGAGAGCAACACTAACTCCACCCCTGCACTTTACTGCCTGTTGCTCAAACACACCGTGACACTTTGCAAATCCTGTTTCTTCAGTTGTTTGTAGCTTCCATGTGCTCCCACCTCCTGCTTCCATAGTATTCAGAAGTATAGTATACCTGAGCCCTTGAGTGTATGTGTTACAGGAATATTCCTTTCACTCTGGCAGGATTTATTTTTTCGTATGGATGAATATTCCTACATGTGAGTCCCAACCATAGGCTGCCTTGCAGGCAGAAGGCCCCTGGTTCAATCCCTGATGATTCCAGGTAGGGCTGGGGGAAAAACTCCCTGCCTGAAACCTGGATGAGCCACTATAAGGCAACTTCCTCTCTTGCTACGTGGTACAGGCCAGACACAGTTTTACTCACTGAGGTTAATCGGAGGCTTATTGTAACATTAACCATTGTAGGCAGCACAAAAATCATGTCAAGCTTGAAAGCTTGTGTACTCCTTTGTGATTTTCAGTTTGATCCTATTAAAGGCATTATGCCTGGACCTTTCACTTGATCATGGGAAACCACCAGGGGCGGGGCTTTAAGGATCGGCTCCTTGTGACTCATTCCCAGGAAACACTGAGACATTGGCATTACCAGCTGGGCTGGTTCCCCAGGTCACCTGAGCAGAAATGCCCTTGCCAGGTTACGTTCAATTTGGGAAGGGCAAGAGAGCCTTGGGACACAGCCCTTCATGGCCATATAGACATCTCTTTATGTATGTATCTAGCCAGCCGGCCTTCCCCAACCTGATGTCCTCCAGATTTTGGAGGCTACAACTCCCATAAATCACATCAATCCTCCACTCTGCTTTGAACGTGGTTGGAACAGGCTCACATTGAGGGCCATAGATCAGTTTGGCAAAGTCCCTGCTTGGCATCCAAAAGGTCCCAAGTTCAATCTCTAACGTCTGACCAACTCTGAGCTTGGTAGACCAGTGATCTGACTCAGTATAAGGCAGCTTCTCATGTCCTGGGTTCCCATGTGACTAGATCGGGCTCACATTTGAAGGCACAGGTCTGCCACTCTTGTGTGTTACTTAGAAGCCTTCTGAGGCTGACCAGGAATATTCCCATCCACTCTCCCTCCCTCCACAACAGAGAGTTGTTTTTGGAGGGGTTGCCAAGCCATGGCCCTGTGTTTGACTAGAACCCTAACAAAAAGCCAGCATCCTGGGGGTTAATGGATATCAGCGTTCCAGTGGCAGCTGCTGACTCAACTTTGTACAGCACAAGTTGGACACACCCAGGTGAGGTGTCTGCAGGGCTGGCGAATGAATGCAACACACCGCAGGTGAAAAGAACAAAGCTAGGCAAGCCTGGGAGAGCAAGTTCTGGTTGGCCCCACCCCATGTCCTCCTGCCTGCCTGCCTGCCTGCCTGCCTGCCTGCCTGCCTCCCAACCCTCCAGTTAGTTTCCAGCATTTCCCCAGCTCATGAATGTATAGTCTCTCTTTAGACCCAGTGTAGCCCCAGTTCATTGGAGCTGCAAATCCTCCACTGTGCAGAAAAGAACAGACAATTCTTTCCCCTCCTTTAGGAACCAGAATGCTCCAGGCGTGTTCCCTGAACAGGACTCCCAGGGCTGGTTGAATGGGGCTAGGCTAGGATATGAACCCTGTCAACCCAAAGCAACATCTGGGCACATCACCAAAGCCCCCAGAGCCACAGATTATACCAGAGATGAGATTTAATACCAACTGTTTCCATGGACTTATATATTCCTCCGCTGCCAAGCTCCGCAGGGATTTAGATTAAGCAAAATACAGAAGCTTTGTATATATAATATCAGAGTGTTCATAAATAGAGCAAGAGGCAGGCTTTATAGCCTCCTTTGCCATTTCAGTGTTCGGCCAGAAGGACAGAGGAGGAGCCAAGTTAGTCTGCGGCAGCAAAATTAGCAAAAGAATGTTGTGGTGCCAAAAAATGCTAGGTACTTACTTACTTACTTATTTATTGTATTTATTATATATGTATTCAGAGTTCTTTTCAGCCGGAACTTGCCAGAACTCAGTTCTGGCACCTCTCAAGTAGGTGCCATTGCCATGACAAGAGAACAAAGGAGGTGTCCATGGTGGGTTCTGGCAACTCATTTCCTATAAAATTAGCATGGTATGTATTTCAATTTTGCAGGCCCCTGTCATACCTGTTATTTGTAAAGTGCCATGTTTACAAATATGCTATATTAATAAATAAATCTGTTTTCACCCAAACTAGTTGCCAGCTGGGTGTTCATGGTATACCTTGGGTTGATGTCGTTTATTTCATGAGCTGCCGAATGCTGTGGCCTGTATACTGTATGCGCATGAAGATTTATCTCAGACTTCCTTCAACAAGGGGAAAAAAATCTTGTATACAAAACCCCTGCAATTGATTCATTTTCTCTGACGGTCATTTACCTGACAGTTAATTCAGGCATTAAAGGGCCCATGCCATCAGCAGAAAGCAGGGGCCTGATTACTATTGAATCTAGCAGTGCCTTTCTTTCCCTGCCCCCCTCGCCCCTGGTCACCTGGTTCTGCCTCCTTCCACATGGTGAGGAGTGAAGGTCTGCAGCAGAGAGTGTGCTGTCTGCCTGTGTTTAGAAATCTGATTGTGCCTGGTCCTGAATTGCACAGCGAGGCTCCCCACTACAGACTTTCTCCTCCAATAGATGAAGGCTGGCAGCAGGCCTGAGTGACACAGATGTGACAGAGTGGGCAGGGTGAACTATCCCTCACATGTTTCCCATTATATACTCATTCACAACTTAAGACCAATGAGCAAAGCCATGGCATACATCCCATCTTGTAGGCAGGTCTTTTTGGAATGTGCCATTGTAGAGCTCCTCCACTCTTCCCATTGATGGAGCCACCCTATGCTTAAGGGAGCACCTGTTAGTCCTTTTCTCAATGAAATATTTTTTTCTGTCAATCTATGGTGCTTCCAGGTGTGGGTTTATTGTATGATAACTGCTCCATGCGCATGCAGGGGCTTGGCAGTGTCCACATGTGACATCATCATCAACAAAACGCCAGCCTGTATCTTATGCATGCGCATGCGCACACCCACCCCCCACACCCACCTATTTAATCTCAGGCAATACAAAAGCTCCTCCCAAATTATTTAATTGGAAGAGGCACATGACACGAAAGAAATAGGACTGGTGAGCAGAGCTAGACTTCAGGACCGCTGGGGCAAGGTCAAGCATTATTCCAGTGAGAGGTAGGCCCACAAATTATAGTGCTGGTTTGTTCTCAGCCACACCACCCTAAATACACACACATCCTTTCGTTAAAGAAAATGCTTCAAGAAATGTTAAAGAAAAATGCTTCAGGGCTGGCTGAAAATTAAGCATCAGCAAGGCAGGGCTGAAAAAGCAGCTTCCAAAATGCAAACAAAGCTTCCTTTCCTAAGTCCTTCAGTTCCAACCATCTCTGCTTCATTCTGCCTCCCTCCCACTTCATTTCAAACAGACTGCCAAGCTCCTCGATTTGTTTCAGATTCCAACTGGATCCCAAGCATTTTGTGCTGGCCTCGGGCACACCCACACAGCAGTTTTCTTGCAGGTTTTCTGCTGCTGACGTCCGCCTGTTTTGTGCAACGTCCGCACAGTGCCCATCTCATCAAAGTGCCTTCCCACATTGTTTCCCGTGTTACATTTTGGCCTTCTATTTAGCAGGTTTCCCATGGAAATGGTAAATCTGGATTAAGTGGGGTGGGAAATGAGATGGGATAGCAATTTGATTGGGGATGACATTGTGCAGACACAACGTTCCCAGCACAAAGTCCAAAAGAAACTGTGGGGTTGAGGAAACACTCATCTCCCTCCAGTGCCCCATTAGAGCCTGAATGTTTCTATCTGGATTGGTTGTTATTGGGAGGCACCTGTGGCTTCTCCAGAAATCTCCCATCAATCTGTAGGCCTCACAATGAGCACAATAATCTCCTCTCAGTCATCAGTGACATAGAGCTGTGTCCAGAGCTGTGATAAGAGTCCTTTGCCCCTTAGCAGTCCCCCATGAGATTCATCCCAGAACTGTGTACAAAGAGGAACTGGCTCAAAAGGTTAAGGTACAGCAAAGTACAGGTTGCCTGTGGCCATGTTTTGACTCCTTATATTTCCCGTACCAGTCTTCAGGCCACTTGTGATGTTGCTTCATACCATAGTCATATGGCCTTTTCCCGATGATCCACTGAAGAGCCATTGAAACAGGCCTACATTCCTATCTGTGACTCTAACAGCCTTACAGCATTTCCTGTCACCTCAGTTTTGATGAAATGAAGGTCCTATCTTCTTTCTCTGTTCAAACATTCCTCTTATTGGGGAGAAGAACCAGGATCAACCAGGGTTTTTCTTACATTCTAAAGTCAAGAAAAGGGCTCAGCATTTCTAGCAACTGATGACTATAGCCCAGAGAACTCTCCATAGCTGCATAGCTATTTGCTTGGGAGCATTGATGGTGAACTGGTGGCATGTAGGATCTTGCTTGACTCCATTAGACCCTGACAACATGGTCAATGGTCAAGGACAATGGGAGTGTAGGCCAGCAATGTCTGGACAGCCGTATGTTTCCTACTACTGCCCTAGAACAAAGGGGACTCAACATGGTGCCCTCCCTCCAGATATTGTTGGACCACAGCTTCTATTATCCCTGACCATTGGTCATGCTGTCTGGGTCTGATGGAATCCAACAACATCTGGAGGGCATCAAGTTGACTACCCTCACCCTAGAGCACGAGGAAAGGTGTATGGTGGGAAGGAGAGAGAAATATTTCATTGCCTTCAAAACACTTTGCTGAAACTTGTTCTCAAGCCATACCGTGACAAGTTCTGAAAGATAAGGGTATTTGTAAAACACCGTTCTGTAAGTATGACTGTACAATGCAACCTATCCAGATGCATCATTGTGGGGAGCTTCACACTGATGACCAACGTTTTGAAAGAAGAACTGTCTTGGGAATTGGTTTTGGGAACAAGCACAACTGTGTTCCATTCTATCATCTATCTATCTATCTATCCATCTATCATCTATCTGTCTATCTCTAATTCTCCACCATTCCTCCAAGGAGCTCAAGGTAGTATACAAACTTATTATCCTGTGAGGTAGGCTACCTCAAAGTCACCCAGTAAGCTTCATGGCTGAGTGGGGATTTGAACTCTGGTCTCCCAGGTCCTAGTCCAACACCCTAACCACTATGGTCTAATGGCTTGATGGGCTATGAATTCAAAGAGGCAACCTGCTACTTTATTAAAATACTGCACATGCCTTCATTTGTCACCTGACAGCCGTTGTCCTCTTAGAGGAGTCGGGTGGTGAGCATCCCCATTCATAATACTGTAAGCAGCCAGATCAACTTGACTGACTAGCTTGGCGAGCTAGAAGGAGAATGCAGCTGTTCACTCCATGCATGTGGCTGCCTGTTTTTGCCCTAGCACTGTCCATAAAGTATGCCTCACCTTATAAGGCCTGCTTGACCATTGCCTCTAGTCACACTTCACCAATGTTCCCTTTGGATTCTCCCCGACAGAGGCTTAATATCACAAACTGATAGAATTGTTAAAATATATTTACAGTGGTACCTTGGTTCTCAAATGCCTTGGTACTCAAACATTTCGGCTCCTGAACACTGAAAACCTGGAAGTAAGGGTTCCGGTTTTTGAACGTTTTCGGAAGCCGAACGTCCGATGCAGCTGTCAGCCATTGTTTCCAGGGCGCCTGTGCCAATCAGAAGCCGGGCCTTGGTTTTTGAACTTTTCAGAAGTCAAACAGACTTCCGGAACGGATTACATTCGAGAACCAAGGTACCACTGTACTGGATTTTCAGTGCAAAGGGTGAATTTGGATTAAATGGGGGGGGGTAAGAACTGGCCAACAAATGTCATGTGGACACTGCAAAAAAAAAGTGGCATGCGTGAGCAGCACCAATCCCACAATGCACCCTGCCCTGGAAGCCCATCAGGGCATTCCTACCCACTCCCTGCCTCGCTGAGTGTGACTGTCTCCAAAGTGACAGTCCCTGAGGGTGGGGCAAGTAGAGCAGAAACTAAGCCAGTGTGTGGGAGGGCGGGAGAAGGAGAGGCACCTGTGGGAAAGGGTGAGTCAGGCCCACAGGAATTTCCAGGATCCGCATATATTCACCAGGGCAGGATCTCTCTAAAACAAAATCAGGCTCAACAAGGCCTCACTCCAAGCTGCTTCCCCTTCTCCCTCCTATACAGATTGTAGAGTTGCACCTGTTTCATCCAGGTTCCAGTGGATGGGTCTCTGTGCATCTTCACAGAAATTGTGGGGGGTTGACTTCAAGCAAGATGGAGCAGAAGCCATGGAATGGGCTTCTGGGAATTATTATTATTATTATTATTATTATTATTATTATTATTATTATTAGTGCCCCATCACTCTAAGGTCCCAGAGCAGGTTACAATTAAAACCCAATAATGGATATCCCACTAACTCTTTTGCTTCCTGCTCCATTAAAAACAACCTGCCCCCAAACAAATATTCAGCTAAGAGGAAAGCAAAATGCATTAGTCAGTCCAAATAAATAAATCCTGCAAGTCATGCCAGCTTGGGTTTCCTGGCCAGAAGGTAGTCAAAGGCAGGTGGGCAAGTGGGAAAGTGCGCTCTACGTGGGGCTACCTTTGAAGGTGATTCGGAAACTACAACTAATCCAGAATGCGGCAGCTAGATTGGTGACGGGGAGTGGCTGCCAGGACCACATAACACCAGTCCTGAAAGACCTACATTGGCTCCCAGTACGTTTCCGAGCACAATTCAAAGTGTTGGTGCTGACCCAATATACCCGAAGGAGAGTCTCCACCCCCATCGTTCGGCCCGGACACCGAGGTCCAGCTTCGAGCGCCTTCTGGCAGTTCCTTCACTGCGAGAAGTGAGGTTACAGGGAACCAGGCAGAGGGCCTTCTCGGTAGTGGCACCCGCCCTGTGGAACGCCCTCCCACCAGATGCCAAAGAGATAAACAACAACATGGCTTTTAGTAGACATCTGAAGGCAGCTCTGTATCAGGAAGTTTTTAACATTTGATGCTTTGCTGTATTTTTAATATGTTGGAAGCTGCCCAGAGTGGCAATCCAGTCAGATGGGCAGGGTATAAGTAATAAATTACGATGTTGATGGGTGGGCGGGCAGGGGGTGGCTGCTGTACTATCTCTTTCTCTCTGCTTCAAAGTTTTTCAAGGGGCAGATATGGCTGCAACCCTTCTT